CCAGGATCGGAATCCCTAATCGTGTTAGTTGAGTCATCCCTTTTCACATCTCTCATATCTCTCATGTCTGGTTGATGGTCTCCACGAAAAGAAAAGCAGAATGACCTCAATCAGAAGATGGGTCATTTAAATAGTCAAGAAAGAAAGAAGTCGTAAAACTGAGAGGAATTAAAAGGAAATACTTGCCTATTTCCTTCGCATCAAGCAGAAAGTCGTAATTAGTGTAAAAATAGTGAACACCACTGCTAATAGTGTTTTTTTGATTTTTTATCGAGGCAAAAAAAGTTAAATACTATCGTACAGAGAATTGCAACGTTTGGTGGTGTTTGGATAGAAGCTAGAAACCCATTAGTTGTGCAGTCATACGAGCCGGAAGAATCATCAGGAGAGTCGGAACTTACGGCACAACTGCGTAGGGCTGTCCGAGTTTTTGTGGTGACGAAGGTGTGGTAGTAATCGGCGTTCCATTTAAGTCCACGCCACAGTTGATAGTCTTCATAGGACAAGTTGAACTAGGGATTTGTACCTTTCTTTGTCCAAAGACTGCCATCTTCAATTTATTCCGGTAAACAATACCCCAGCCCCGTCGAATGACAGCAACGGATATAGCTTCAAAAAGCTGTGAAAAATTAAAAAAAGTATAAATATAAATATAAGCCATAAATTTCCCAAAGAGGTGCATAAATTTATGGTGCATAAATTTGTCGTAATATATTCACCTGCGAACATATCCCTAAGTCGGCCGAATTGCTTAGAAACGGAATACATCAGCCATATCGCATTTCCAGGTTGATTTTTCACCATATTCACTAGTACTATTTTATCTGCAATAGTATTGTTATTGAAACATTTCAATGTAAAGATATCGAATATATGGATATAATGGATATTAAATTCGTGAAAAGCATTTGTCAACGTCTTTCCTCAAGTGACATTACGAGGATGTTGTATGTATGTACTTTGTGGGGTGACCAGAGTTCTCATTAATAGAGATAGCCAGGCGAGCGAGGATGTTGGTTTCATTTTCTGCAATGCAATGTTAAGCACATGAACGGTATATTAATATTTTATGATTTAGAGCACTTATTACTTACTCCCATTTCTCGCATTGCTTGTATTTCAGCATAATTTTCAATTTTAGGAGATACTGAGCTCAGGGAACTTATATACACTTATCCAGACTAGGCTTTAGAATTGCGTAAGCTGCTTGCCTTATGTTTTGTCCCAAAAGAACAAGTTGTTGCTGCTTTTGACGAAGTGGAGTCGTCTGGACCATTTCGAGGTTCTAGAACGCTACATGGATTATTTAAATAACAAATGGATTGGCGGATTTGATCGACGTGGGAATAAGAAATCCCTATTGTCTGCAATTGAGTACTGGAATTGCTAAGACTCCGTGATTCAAGAATTACCGAAGACCAATAATTTTTGTGAAGGATTTACTAATGCCTTCTCATCAATGTTATCTGCTCGCCATCCAACATTTGATCGATTTGCTCAGGACCTCCTCAAACGCTAGCGACTGACGGAGTGCACTATCGAATTTTTAGCTGTCACCGCCCCCAACCCTTCTGTTACCGCCGAGAAAATTGCAGGAAAACTGGTGCATTCCGTTGACCTCTATGGGACAATACCAATCCTTGAGTTTTTGAGGGGTATTGCGCATATTTTTACTACTTAGTATGAAAAATTTTAGTTATCATTATCACTGGAATTACAGTGTCGGACAGATGTCTACGTCCACATAGTCGCGTCAATTTCATTTTCAAATTGTCACTGAACTACTGAACCAATTTTCATCATTGATATATCAAATTCTCACAAATTTAACGTAATTTCATAGCACATTATTAGTTTTCCGCTAAAAAATTTATTTTAGGCCAGAGATGTATTTTAATTCAAAATGAAAACAATTGGATGGACAAAAGTCAACGTCCAGTCAGAGAAAACATACAAAAAAAACTGTAATTTATAAGGAATGTTATAACAATTAATTTTTAATATTTGGTTGGGCCTCCGTTCGCTTTAAGGACGGCTTCAAGGCGTCGAGTCATTGAGTTTACCAAATTCTTGGTCACATCTTCAGAAATGGTTTCCCAAACTTCACGAATTCTGGATTTAAGGCCCGGAATTCCTGAAAAAGATTGTTTTCTTATTTCTCTTTCAATGTGGTCGCACAGATGCTCAATGGGATTCAAGTCTGGAGATTGGGGAGGCCATTCTAGCTTCGGAATTTTTTTTTCTTGAAGTATTCCATGGTGGACTTGGCAGAGTGTTTCGGATCGTTGTCTTGTTGGAAGGCAAATCGTCGTCCAAGTCCAAGTTTTCGAACAGATTCCTGGATATTACGGTCAAGTATTCCCTGGTACTTGTATTGGTCCATAATTCCGTCAATAAATTCCATTTTTCCTGCCCCACTTGAAGCCATGCATCCCCACACCATTACCGACCCGCCGCCGTGCTTAACTGTGGGGTTGAGATTTTTTGGATTCAAAGCTTCTTTTGGATATCTCCACACTCTACGACGCCCATCTGACCCAAAGACATTGAACTTTGACTCGTCAGTCCATAAAATATGTCCCAGAATGTTTGTGGCTTGGAAATGTGGTCTCTGGCAAACTTCACTCGTTTGGTTGCATTCCTCGGTACAATAAGAGGCTTCCGGACTGCTCTGTGGGATTTCAAATTTCCCTTATTCAGTGTTCTTTGGATGGTCATAGGACTAACCTGTTTGCCGAACATCTCCTTGATCTCGGTAGATAGCTTTGGAGCACTAAGTGAGGGTGTAACGTTGACTTTGTTGAGCACGTGGCGTACTTCTCGGTTAGCCAAAATGGGTTTTCGACCACTTCTGACCTTGTTTTGGACTGAACCATTAGCTTTAAAGTTCTTAATGATTGTCTGGATGGTTGTCCTTGCTAATTTATACTTGGTCCATATTTGTCTCTGCGACAGCCCCCCTTTTTGTCCACCCTTCCAGTCCTGAATGACAAGATCTCGAATAGCGATAGGAATTTCCTTGCGTGTCGACGCCATCATATTTTTCTGGAAGAAAATTATTTAAAAATTAATGCGGCATATGTTATTGATAGATTTATTAAGTTACCTGATTTTATAAATTGGAGAGATTTTTGTTGTTGACAATTAAAGTGAAGTGGACGTAGACTTTTGTCCGCTCAAATTTCATCCTCTCTCGCTCTGCACTATGATTCTCAGTTTTCCCAGAATTTTCAGAAATAACTCATATGTTTTATGAAATTACGTTAAATTTGTGAGAATTTGATATATCAATGATGAAAATTGGTTCAGTAGTTCAGTGACAATTTGAAAATGAAATTGACGCGACTATGTGGACGTAGACATCTGTCCGACACTGTATACGTGTTTTTACCTTTACACTTACATTTATGTATGACATTTTATAAAGTTTTAATTTAATGGATGAGATTAATCGACATGTTCAGTCATGATTTTGTTGAAAAATTGTTATATTTTTTAGCTTAAAATGAGGATAAAAATAGATTAAGAAATTTGCATATTAACAATTAAAATATTAAATACATGATGTATGTATACGTGTACTTTTGATTGGAATACATATTTGACTTAAATTTGAATAGTAAATAAATTTTACTATTAGTGTTAAAATACGTTAAGTAGTGCCTGGAGTCAATCTTTCGCGGGGTCAATATGACGGGGGAAATCTGACGAGGTCAATTGGACGCCCTACCCACTTTATTAGCTACTTTATGCGAAGACTTTGTCCGTCTGTCCGTCAGTAGGATAACGGGAGAACGGATCAAGATAATCGAAATTGGTTTTCGACATTATACATGCGACCCCAGGAGCAGGATCCTATCAACTTTTGGGGCTACTGGGACCACCCCCCTTGGCGCCAAGGGGTGTGGTCGGGGCAAAATGAGATTTTTAGTGAAATTTGATCTATAGATGAAATAGAGTGAAATTAAGTGATCCCGAGTTGTGCCACACCCCCACCCACCCAGGGGGTGTAGTCGGGGCAAAATGAGATTTTTTCAAAAATGAATCTATGGATGAAATTGAGTGAAACTGAGTGTTTCCGACATATCGTGGGAGTGGTTGGGGTCAAATAGTCTGAAGCTACTTTCTTATGTGCGTTTACGATGGTTTATTTAATATTGTTATCCTGCTTTTACACAGTTTATTCAATATGATTTCATAGTTTGCAAACCAACTTGTAACCATAAGTTCGTTCATAAATTATGTAGCGCAAAACTCTCGATTTTCTAGACCACCTTCCCATTTTAACATGTGTGCTGATGTGTACCCATATGTACATATCATTGAAATGGATATCTATGTATTTAATTCACACTTTAACGAAAGATTCCTTTGTTTGTCTTGGTTGCGGTAACGAGAATGAGGGACCTTCATATATTACGTCATCAGAATATACCTTGTATACTAAATATTTATGTACCTCGTATGTTTTGTATACCATCCACCCCTGTCCTTATCCTACGCATGTTAAGCATTACACGTCTAAGGATCTTAAGATCCGACGATGGGCTACCCAAAACCACTAATCTCTCTGCTGACCTAATATATGGATGTTCTAAAGACATTAATCGCCGCATTTTTCTCATTATTTGTGACACATGCCACCTATGTATGTTCATACGGGTTTTATGTGTTTTTGACTGTGGGAAAAATTCACAAACACGGTTAAAGATATACATCTTTGTAAACAAAGTTTGTTTGTGTATATGCACACACATATGGCACGTAAATTCCAAGTTGTGTTTCCGAACTTACTAATATGTTTAGTTGTGAATAATTAGATAGTTACTTCTTGTTTCCATGTGGAATTAATGTATTAATGTAACTAAAAATGTCGTTCATGAATATCTATAAAAACTACTTGTTGATTGAATTTATTATGCACGCGCATTTTTTATAGGTTATTTCGTCATATCAACTTTTTATTGCGAAATACCTAATACCAACCGTCATTGAAATTTTATTTTGATTCCAGTCAGGCACAGGTATGGAGAAGAAGAGCTTATCGAACAAGGAGGTTGCTCCAGGTAAGGGTCAAATCCATTAAGGTACTCACGTCAATCTTCCCATATTTCGCAAATTGAGCATATAGCAACATAACTTTCGAAATCTTGCGAAATTTTCAAGATTGTGCAAAACTATTGTTGGACAGCCATGGATTTTGTTTTCACAAATTTACCCAGCACTTGGTTATGTTCTTATTTCACAAACTCGTCCTCAGCAGCAAGAGAAATTATAGAAATTCATCAAAACAACATCAAAATACATATGTATGTAGGTGTTTCTAGTAGGTTAGCGAAATAATATGTTGCTAATTTTGTCCCATTTTTTGATGTTTTCCAAGTGTGCTAAATGCGTTGCGAAATAATACGTTGTCGTGAGCACATATTATTTGATTTTTATCATCCAGAATAACGATCAGTTTATTCTGCATATTAATTTTCAGATGTGGAGTCGCCGAGACCAGTTAAATATTTATTGCCGACACAAAATCTTGGCATTCTGGGAAATTTGGTGGTCGCTGTGCTAAATTTTTTGAGTTTTGCACTGGATTTCTTTCGGCGGGGTGATCCATCCCTTGCAGAGAGGAGGCTCGCACTCCATAAGGAAATTAAGGTAATGCCCTAAAGTAATGGTAGTGTTAGAAATTTGGTATGTTTCAAAAATATGTACATATAAATATACATAATTACAATTTAGCCTGCGTTTTTCAACATCAAAAAGTAACAAAGAAATCGTAAGCATGCTCCAAATCCAAAGGCTCAATCACACTGCAAAAAAGTTAAAATATAGTTCACAAGTTCGAACAGAAATTGACGTGAAAATTCATTTGCAAATATCGGCATCTACTTCGGCTAGTATTTAGTTTCGTAATTTTGTGCTTCGAAATTATGACACGAGGCGAAATTTCGAAGTCGTAATGAATAATCCTTATGTATATTTTTATTACCAGGCTGATATAATTTCAAAAACTAAAGGCTCAATCACACTACGGGGTAGACGAGAAAAGAGAATTATCCAGAAAGAAATTGACACTTTAAATATCGACACGATGCATGAAGTTTTCTCGTTGCCGATAACTAAGAATGGATCCAAACCCTGCTTAGGAACGAGGCAATTATTAAGTGAGGAAGAACAAATTCAGGTATAAGGATTTTTTAATAAGAACAATTTTCTAAAAAATTTCAAATTAAGAAAAAATTAACATTTCGAATTATTTCAGCCAGATGGAAAATCTGTTAAAAAAGCAGTTTTCGGTGAATACAGTTGGCTCACCTATGCAGAAGTAGACCACATTGCGACGTCATTTTGCTTGGGGTTGACAACTTTAGGGTTGGCGCCACGCGGGAAAATTTGCATATTTGCCGAAACAAGGGCCGAATGGCTTATCGCGGCTGTAGCTGCGTTTAAAAATTCGTGCCAAGGTGACATAAAATTACCCAAAGAAGCCTGAAATTATAAAATTGATTAACAAATGAGGAAATCATTTTTTGCTTCTCAGTTGTTACATTGTACGCCACGTTAGGCGAGGAGGGCGTAATCCACGCCTTGAATGAGACGGAATGTCCCATTGTCCTTACATCGGACGAAGTGTTACCTAAATTCAAATCAATTTTGGAACAGACGCCTCACATTAAGCACCTCATCTTTATGGAGCATCCAACCAAAGTGTCGGACACATCGGGTTTCAGTAACAAAGTGGGGATCCATAAGTTTAAAGATGTCGTTGAAATCGGGAAGAATCTCAGTGGTCCAGGTACATGAATATGTGTACCAATTAATTAATTAACTATAGGGAACCATTCACTACATGGCTCCTAGTTCTTGATGCGCTTCGGATACGTCTCCGAAGGTTCTTTGAAGTTTGAAGGAATTTTGAAGGTTCTTTTACCCGATATTTAGTTGCTTTGTAGTGTCCAAGCTAAAACTCTTATACGGGAAATAACTCTTTGAGTTTTATATTGCGATTTTTGGGAGTGTTTGACAAAATGTGGATCCTCAAAAAATGTGTATGATCTGAAGACCACCTTTTAATTTTTAGAGTTGCAGCCTCCTTTACCGGATGACGTTGCTATTATCATGTACACTTCCGGTTCTACAGGGGCACCCAAGGGAGTGTTACTCTCGCATAGAAATATTGTTTCTTCAGTATATGGAATAGCGGATGGTTTGGGTGATACTACTGATGATGGTAAGCAGCCTCTGTATGCCAGTACGGAAATTGGCTTACAATAGGAAACTGTTAGCGGCCAAGTCGGATTTCGGTAGAAATCAGCAGCATACTGATATTTTTAGATTTAAGGAATTTTCAAGGTTATTCCAAGCAATCGTCAGTCAAAACCGTAACCAAAACCGTGGGCTTCATGCTCGACTTTTCGAATAAGCCAATTTATTTTGTTATTTCAAAACTGATATATTCAGGAAATTTTGAAAATGTACTCATATGTGAAAGCGATTTGACAAGTTTCAAATCGCTTTTAGTCTTTAGGCTAAAACAACCTCCGCCAAGCTACACATACGTACTCGAATGACAATTGTTCCGGGCGAAATCCTGATGTAGCCGCAAACAACTACTATTGTTAGTTGCACCAATGTGTATTCTGAAAACCAAAAATATTTTCTTTTCCCGAACTAACTTCGTCTCATTTTGACCCCGCTTAAAATTTCGACGCGACCTGGCCTCAACCTTGATGTACTCAATTTTTTTCAGATTTATACCTCGCCTATCTCCCGCTAGCCCACGTGTTTGAGTTGGTTGCCGAATCTCTCAATTTCTTATGCTGTGTCCCGATTGGCTACTCCTCACCGCTCACGTTGACCGACAAGTCGCCCAAAATTATGGAGGGCAATTCCGGCGATGCCAGAATCCTCAAGCCCACTATCATGGCTGCCGTGCCCCTCGTGCTGGACAGGATTTACAAAATGGTTTTAGATCAAGTCAATGGATCGGGTAAAATTAAGCAGGCCGTTTTCTACTGGGCGTACGACTACAAGTTGAAGTGGTACTACAGGGGCTTCTCCTGCCCCAAAGTGGACGCCTTGATTATGAAGAAAACGAGGGAAATTTTGGGGGGCCGGATCAAATTTTTGGGGTGCGGAGGTAAATCGTAGTTCTATGCATGTGCAGGCCATGCTTCTTTATCAATGTATTTATGGCTTGGGCAAGAAAGTTAAAAGTCCAAATGCTAGCAGCATGGCAGATGGGTTCCTGTAAAAATTTCCAAATTTATTTGCACCTTGTGGGGAAGTTGCCAAAAACTGGAAGAACCGAATATATACGTAGTCGTGTGTACATATGTACGACCACACCATTAAATTCGAAAGAGCAAAGTGTGGTTTTGAGTTGCAATTTTACAAGATGGTATACCAAATTTGCCGTTACTTATGTATTGTATTTAAATTGATGTCATCATTGACGCTAATTGGAATCCTATGTCGAAAGCCAAATCCTCTGAAACATACATACGTACAAACCTTATGCTAATTGCGCTGGAATTATTTTAGCTTGTGACAGAAAAAGTCAGATTTTAGAAATTTGCAAGACATATTTATATGTTGTTACATGTCAAATTCTAAGAGACGATTTGGTCCGATTATTCGCCTCTATAAGTACATATGTCCATTACCAATTTAAATCCGAACATACTTCCATTTAGTTCAGGCCGATTTTGACGATTTTCGGCAACGTCGCAGGCGAGTAAAATGACACCGGCGGAGTACGATTAGCAGTGTCGACCTCTAATTCGGTCATCTCCAAATTTTACTAATAAATCCTATTTCAGGGGCCCCACTATCCCGTGAAACGCAAGAATTTACAAAAAATTGTCTCTGTATTCCCCACCTTGGACCCGGATATGGACTAACGGAAACATGCGGAGGGGCTGTCAGTACGATGTGTATGCACATATTTAGTGATTAAATATGCGGGCGCCAAAAACTTAAAAAACAAAAAAGGAAATCCTGACAATTTTAAATTTAATGTAGTCGATGACATGTCCATGGGTCGGATTGGCTCCCCCGCCCAGTTCTGCGACGTCCGCTTAATCGATTGGGACGAAGGCAACCATTCCGTTCAAGATAAGCCCTTCCCAAGGGGAGAAATCTGTGTGGGTGGTCCCATTGTGGCGCTCGGTTACCTGAAACAGAATGGACCAAATAAGGACGATTTTTTCGAGGAGGATGGCACTAGATGGTTTCGAACCGGGGATATCGGACAAGTCGAGGGGGACGGGAGTTTCCGGTTAATTGGTGAGAAATTTGGAATTATTTTCATATATAGTTCCAAAAATTATTTTTTGATTAAATTTTCAGATAGAAAGAAGGACTTTGTTAAGTTATCAATGGGCGAGTACCTAAGTCTCGGAAGGGTGGAGTCCATCCTAAAAACGTGTCCTTATATTGATAACATTTGCATTGTTGGAGATTCCTCAAAAAACTTTTGTGTCGCGTTGATAGTTCCGAACGAAAAAATGGTAAAATTTTAAAGACAATCAAAATTCAGAACTTACACGTCGTTCAAAAAATAGTGAGGAAAAGCCCTGAAGTTTTTCTAAACGGTTAAAAGAACTGTATTTCATTTGAAAATATCTGCCAGATAATCTCTCAGATTTTGTTGTCTCAATTTTTTTGAACAAACAGTAATTTTAAGTACTTTTAAAAATCGCTCTTTGTGTATTTTATTTAGATGACCGAGGTTGCGTTATGTCTTAACAAATCGAACATTACTTGGGAGCAGATGTGTTCTGATGCGCAAATTGAAGCGTTCTACCTTCAGGAAGTTCAGAGTTTTTGCAAAACCGCGAAACTACAAAGATTTGAAATCCCTGCAGCGGTTAAAATCTGTTCGGAAATTTGGACTCCAATCAATGCCATGATTACGACAACGTTTAAAATCAGGAGGCGACCAGTGCAAGAGAAGTATCAGGCGGATATTGATCAGATGTATGCACGAGCTGCATAACATACTATTGTTAGAAATCTAATAGAATAATGTTCAGGTATGTATGGAATTCATGGAATAATTATTTCTCAATATTCTCCTTGTGGAAATTTTAGAAATTTGTACAGAGAATAAAATGTAAGCAAATTGCTACTGGACGGTGTCTATATAAGACCTCACCGGTTCGGTAGCGATTTACTACAGAATTGTAGTAAATTTGCTACCATCTTGAGCATTTCCTTATCCCGCTGTTACGGTTGGTCAAAATATGGTAGCAAATATACTGCAATTCAGTAGCAAATCGCTACCAAACCGGTGAGGTCATATATACCCACCGTTCAGTAGCAATTTGCTTACATTTTATTCTCCGTGTATTTGACTTAGCTACAGATTTAATTTTATGCTATCATGTCGTACCAATTCTGGACAATTAATTTTAATGAATAATAAATTAAATAATCAATTTGTAAACAATTTAAATCAATCAATTAATTTTACCCGGTCACTCATTACCGGGTGGTATTTAATGGCTGCCTTATTTGACTGAAACCAGGCCTTATTAAATATGCCTTACGATTGACTGAATGTTTGCCTTAAACGTTGAAAAAAAATAGAAATCGACTGAAAAAAGTGCCTTAATTTCCCGATATTAAAATTTGTTTATTTACATGATCTTTGAACCCAGATCACACATGTAATTAAAAAATATATAATTATTCAACGATAAGAGCTTGTTTACATTGTTTGGGGCGACCTGGGCGTCGTTTTATACCAATTGGAACATTTTTGCAGGCGTCAGAAATATTAAAATCTTTGCGGTTGGCAGCGAGCCCAATTAAGTGTTTACAAATATGCTGTTTTTTAAACATGGGACAATTGCAACGGGATTGCATCCAATTTATAATATCATACTCTATCACCCAAAGCTTTTCTTTCGTCTTCCGGTATGTTTCGAACTTTCTCCACGACTTTTTCTCTGTAAGCTGAATGTAGTTGGCTATGTCCTTTTCATCTAGTGACCTTGTTCCTTTGGCTGGTACGAAAAACTTGATTATGGTATCGTTAATCTTTTTTTGTCTCGTTGATGGACGAGAGGTATCTTTAAGCCAATTGTAGGCATCGGTCATGGCCGCAATTGTTATAACTGGTTCGAGTCTAAATCGTTTGTAATCCGGTAACTGAGGGTCTCTCTCACTGGACCAACCAGATAGAAGCTTGGAGATACAGTTGACGAATTCTCCAAGAGGTAGCCTCTTCCGAAGTGTTCCCTGACGTTTGATGAGTCCATTTATTGACTCGAGTCCATTATTAGTGGAAGGGAACCCTGGGGCAGTTCCTTCATACCAGCCGCACCTTTGGTCAATATATTCTCCAATAAAGTAGCCAACGAAGTTTTTGACGGCATCAACTCCGGACCATTTCTGCCTAAACAAATGTACAGCCGCATCGAAATCAAGTTTATCTTCTGCTAACTGAAGTAAATCTATGTCAGACTTTAATTCACGCCTGGTTTCCGGACATTCTATTTGTTTTAATCGATCCTTGATCTTTGCACTCACGTGGTACCAACAATACACTCGAACGAAGTTGCTCCCAAAAACTGATTCGAAGCCGTTTGTGATTGCTTCTGCTGAATCAGCAATTAATACTTTTGGCTCATATTTAGTGCCACATGAACTCGCTAAAATCCTAAAAATGTTGCCATAATCTTGCTCTGTTTCGCCGGTTGATACAGCAATGCTAATTGGGTGGAAATTTCTATTTTTGTCCGACGTCCCAAGAACAAGGACTGGAAAATTTTCCCATACCAATTTGTAGGTCCCATCAGCATGTAAGCAATCTCCAAATGTGAGAACTTGCATCAATCTTGGCGTAGATAGCATGAAGTGGAATGTTTTCTTTTCAAAGTCAATGATCTTTCCTACCAAAATTGTTTGATCTTGGCTAGTAGGTTCTGTTAGGAGTGCAGATAGTTGTTTTTCAAGGTCCCCTAATGATACAATTCGTGGGGCCTCAATTGATTTTAGGTAGGCTTTGGCATTTGAAATTTGCTTTCGATTTGGTATTGGAAGACCGGAATCACGAATACTTGCTTGGATTTGAGAGGGACCCGAGATGCCATTTTTAAGCAATTTGACCATTAATTGTCGCGTTGGGCCTTGAACTCCGCTTGTTTTATTTTTCTGTAGGTGGTCATGAGCAGTGTTGGTCTGATAACGAATTACGTCTTGTCCGTCTTCTATACATATATCATACAATATTGAGAGTAAAAGTAGAATATATAATTTACGATTACATTAGGTCATTGACTGCCAATCATTTACATACCAGCGAGAAGCAGATATAGCTTAGCAGAACACTTGCTGGATACTTTGCACTTATAAAAATGCTTCATGCCACATTCGGTTTGATTGGCAGATTTGAAACGAAACTCTCCTTCGGCCTTCAGAATTTCCTCCGCAATTGTTAAGTTTTCATAAATTGCACCCTTAAAGTAGTCTAAGAAGTTTCTTTTGAATTTGGCCTTCTTTCTTGGTGGTAAATTGTCTTCGTCTGATGACTCCGTATCAGAAATATTGAGAATTGTGGTTTCAAACTCGGTCATTGTAAAGTTTGTTTAGAAAACTACAGATAAATGTACTTTCTACTACAGAGTGGAGAGCTGGAGTGAACAAAAGTTGATCATTATGAGGGGCGTATTTGAGGATATTAATTAGGAAAATAAGGCCGTTTTCAGATATGTAATCCTACACAATTTAATGTTTAAGGCAAACATTCAGTCCATCGTAAGGCATATTTAATAAGGCACTGTTTCAGTCATATAAGGCAGACATTAATATTTACCCCTCATTACCGACACAAGTCCACAAGCAAAACAAAATCCCGCCAATCCCAGCGCAATCATCCACAAGTAAAATAATATTTGTAGGTGTGATGCTAAATCGAGTTTATGAAATTCATCGACCTCCTGAAATTCCGCTTTTTGCGTTACATACATAATCAACATTTTTGAATAACTGTCTAAAGCCAGCCACCTCGTTAAAACTCCCGCCTCGTCGATACGCTGCAGAATGCCGGCGGCCACTTCTGCATGAAAATATTTAAACCCGGCAAACATATTTATCTTTACGAATTCCATCTTTGGTAAGAAGAAACATTTCACGCCCAAAGTTGTGAATTGATCGTTGTCGATTTTCCTGTGTGCAAATGTTGATCCTGCCACCGTCGCGCAGCTTTTAGTTTCAACCATAATATTAAACATTTCTTGAGTATAGCGATGGGTAACGTTTCGATGGATAGTGTTCGTTCCGAGGGCTAATTTATACCCGTCTGTCAATTTGGCCTCGATATCCTTCTGCAAAAGGTAGAAAGCTGCGACTCCCTCTTCGTCTGCCAGTAAAATCCTGCACAGTTTAAAAAAAATCGAATTATAATTTTAATTAGGAAAATTACTCAGAAAATCTGCACGTTCTTATCTTGCAGGCAAGCTTTCAGTTTTGAAAATTTATGCTAAATTATGTAGTTGCGATTCAACTGGTTAATCATGTTACCTAATTAGGAATTAATTTTATACATACCCCCAACGAAAATGTAATTGTGCCCAATCAAAAGCAATAATCCGCGCAATAATGGAAGCCATATCCAACAACGGTAAAAATTCCTCCTTGTCCACTTCATTCCTTGTTTGGAAATTTAATTATATTGTTGGGTATGTTTATGAAATTTGTTGCAGAATAAATAAATATTGGTTTGATTTTTCTACGTGAAGATTGGAAGCATTATTAATTTTAGATGGGATAAAGTATGATTTCGTTGGACCCTTAAATTGGCACCCACTAATTATTTACCTGTACCCTTCAGTACGGAGGAGAGTGTCCACTTTTGAAATGCCTTGCTCGACCGGGTACGCGATAAAATCCGTCGTCATCACGGCGAGATATTCATTCACCAGAAATACATTCGTCACCGCAGTAAAGCCAAGAATTACGATGCCAACCTTCGCCACTAAATCCTTGTTGAACATCCCACTCACAAAAAATAATGATACGGAGAGCACCGTTTTTGAGTATTCAGCCACCAACGGGTAGACTGCATGACTCTTACCCTTAAAAATTAACCCACAAACCGCCAAAATTTGAATCGTCACCAGCACAAGGGCCCAAACTTTCGATGCGAACGGGCTTAAAAACACCTTCCATTCCAGCTTCCACCCTGTTCCAGCCCATTTGCAGTATAAAAACCGAATTTTTTCGATAATCAAATGCTTCAGGATGGAATTAGACATGACAAAAGCTGAAACAACGTCTTCATTTAACATTTCGTGTTGAAGAAACATTATTTTAAGTAAGAGTTGATTTGGGTCAAATGTAAGGTCGGCCTCGGTTTGGACAAATTTCAGGGTAAGATTTTCTCTCGATTTGACAATATTTATGGGTGGTTCGAAAAAAGAGCATTCGAATAAGTCCCGTGCAATGAATTTGTTCATGTAGCAGGATTCCGGGCGAAAAGTTATGCCTAATGCTTGCAAGGCGATTATTCGTGGGTATTTGTTACTCATTTGGTTAATTTGCGCAAAATAGTCGGAAGTCATTACTTCGTATGAGAGTAAACTATCCGATCTCCAATTTAGCTGGTTTTTCAGGCATGCAAAACAATACATTGCCCACATGACGCTGAGATTTAGGGGCACCTTAATTAAAATAAGGTGCACGTTGATCCACCATTTTTCGGGCGAATCTTCATCCATATCTGGGTCTGTATTTTTTCCTAGCTCTTTCAAAGATTCAGATTCATGGACCAACCAGAAGAACCAGGATGATGTTGTTTTGAAATTAAATCCAGATTTTTGTACCATATTGAAAGATTCGGCCCGTTTTAGAAAAACTAAGATGTGCAGGTAACACTGGGCATGGTATCGATTAGTGAAACGGAGTTGCTTTAAGGTTTGATCGTCCTTAAAATTTTGATTTTCTTCCGAATCAAGGGAGATATTTAGTTTTCCGATTAAGTTAATTCCCAAAATTTGGAAATATTCGTCCAGAAGGGAAGGAATATTGTGCAGCTGGAAAGTATGATCAGTTTGCGGTAGGACAAATCGTACTGACAATGGAACCTTTTTTCAAGCTACACGAGATAAGCTTAGTGACTTATACTAAAACATCAAGCTAAAAATTAGTAATGACGTGGTACTTATCTTTCCGTTGAATGGGCACTTGGAGGTCAAATATTTGAGGGCAAAGTTCACAGTAGCGGCCTGTTTTTTCTCAAGCGGGCGAGCGGAGGAGTGAAAATTTGCTCCTTCGATTCACTCCGCTGCCTCCCATAGATCGGAGTACTCCGGGCTTGGAGTACGTACTCCGGCCTCCGGAGGCCGGAGTACGCGACTATTTCTGGAGGCCGGAGTACGCGGAGGCCGGAGTACACGTGGCCAGCCGGAGGCCGGAGTACGCATGGCCGGCTGGAGGCCGGAGTACGCATGGCCGGCTGGAGGCCGGAGTACGCGGAGGCCGGAGTACGCAAAATTTCCGATCACATAGATAGGAGAAGTCCGGGCTTGGAGTACGTACTCCGGCCTCCGGAGGCCGGAGTACGCGACTTTTTCTGGAGGCCGGAGTACGCGGAGGCCGGAGTACGCGTGGCCAGCCGGAGGCCGGAGTACGCGGAGGCCGGAGTACGCATGGCCGGCCGGAGGCCGGAGTACGCGGAGGCCGGAGTACGCAAAATATCCGATCTATGCTGCCTCCACTCTCGCGTCTTCGGGTTTGCACTTTCATTCAATGCATATTATTTTTGATAAAATTTCACAATCTCGTAAATTGGTGCATACATTCATATAATTTTATATTTACTTTTTAAATCTATCCTTACAAAAGTGACGATGGGTGCAGTAAATTATAAGTGCGTCGCTAAAACATTCACCCAAATAATACAATTTCGAGGATGATGAATCGGACCCAGATGAAGAAAATTTCCTAATTCCTGAAGTTTTACTAGAAAAGCTGCAAGAGATAACTTACAATTACATACTTATTGAAGAAAATGAAAATCAGTGATAAATGAATAGCTATTAGCATTTGTGTTAATTATTACGAATTTACTCTTATTTTTATTAGGTGGTATAGTGCGTGATGTAAGTTTTATTGATTGCGAAAACGGGGAAATAATTGATACTTTTTTATAACGGATCGGTGGATAGTATGTAGGATCGATTTAAAATTATATGAATGTATGCACCAATTTACGAGATTGTGAAATTTTATCAAAAATAATATGCATTGAATGAAAGTGCAAACCCGAAGACGCGAGAGTGGAGGCAGCGGAGTGAATCGAAGGAGCAAATTTTCACTCCTCCGCTCGCCCGCTTGAGAAAAAGCAGGCCGCTACTGTGAACTTTGCCCTCAAATATTTGACCTCCAAGTGCCCATTCAACGGAAAGATAAGTACCACGTCATTACTAATTTTTAGCTTGATTTTTTAGTATAAGTCACTAAGCTTATCTCGTGTAGCTTGAAAAAAGGTTCCATTGTGAGCAAAAGTTATCGAATCTTTCAGGCTTTGAGATATGTTGCATAGATTTTTGACAAGCTAAAGTAAAAGTAAAAATAAAAATGTATTTCTGGTTGAAAAAACTCATTATTTGAATGATGAAAGACTCAACTCAGGATATAAAAATGTACGCAATTCAGAAATATCCCGAAAAATTTATGGTAAAATTGACGAATTAAAAACTAAAGATTTCTTTAGGGATACAATTAGCCATAAATTACACTTTATGCTAGCATGTAACTACACAAGGTGGACGTGTGAATCTAGCGCAAAATTCACCAATACATACATTGCTTACTGTTTTGACAAAATTTGCCTTGGCTAAAGTAATGCGCATATTAAACCTGTATTTATAAATCCTATTATTTAGTATCTAATTTCTTTGAAAATGATTGTAATTGTGTTGCTGCAAGAGTAATTATTGATGTTATTATATCCTATTTTATTATTGGCGTATGTGTGTATCAAAATATTGAGGATATTCATTCGTTATTCGCTTAAATAAGTCGTAAACAACCTTATATTACAAGTTCGTAAAAACTGCCGTGGAAATTTTCATTTACGAAGGTTCGTAAACTTGCCGACTTCCAGGGTATTGGAACGTCAATACATATATCACGTCATTAAAAATAACAGATTTTTAGGCCAATCACACAACCCTTCCCTATCCTACTTATTTTAAGCTTAACACGAGTAAGGCAGGCGACCCAAAATCATTCACCCCCCGGTTTGATTACGTATGTAATATATTTATGAATGTTCCCTATGTCTTCAGTTTATGAATCGTATTCACCAACACCCAATGCCCTCATGACAATTATGTAAGTCAAGTAGAAGATTTATATAGTAACACTTTTGTAATACATTAGGAAGCTGTCTACACGCCAAACGAGCGCATATTTTGTGCGGAAAACATAAAAAAGTTCTTTGTCTATGCGAACTTAACATAACGATTGAATACCCTTATTATAAGAATAAGCCATTTCAATTCTTCCATTCTCGAATGCAAGGCTTATCAAGGTAATCTTGCATAAGCGAATTGGATTTCACCCAATTTATTTGACCACTTAACTATCTATGTATGCATGTCCCAGGTAAGGCATGAATATTTTTACCCTTCAGTTAAGACGTATGTACATAATTTAAATAAACTCAAATCGTATGAAAAATCGATGTGCATATATAGAACTGAAACTAATCAAGCTCTGGAAGATGCCTAATACATTCATAGATAGATATGCATGCACATATTTACGTACCTGATCCGTGTTTTGACGCGTGAGCAAGAGACATAGCTAGAATCGTTGAAAATGGAGAATATGCTTCAGCCAGGTGGTTAACTTGTGACAACGCCATATGGATAAATTGGTAGTTTAGGGGAATGTATTAGGGGGTGGGTAACGCATTTGGAACTGTAACACAAGGACTGGTTCGTGTAAAACTAATAAGTGCACATCTATTTAAGGAATTGGTTTCAATTTAACTTAAATCTCCGTCATCCTGATTTTTTACTTAAGGTTTTCACTCACATTCAGTCATTTTCTTTGAATCCATTTGATATCCACATAGCATCTCATTTCATTAGACTTCATTATGCGTATGCGTGTGCGTACTTCCCCATACGTTAAGCATGCGTTTTAAAATGAAACGAGTGATGATCAATCCGTTCACGGCCATTGATTTAATCAAAGATGACGGAATCCTTCAGAGAGGAAATTTATATTCATTCACTACCTGACAAATATCATATCAGTAATCAGTCAAATGAATGAAAATGAACAGGTACGCATAAGACTTGTATGCACACGTCTTGTATGCATATGTTCTTGTTACCTAGTCTATGTAATAAGAGCAATCATTTCTACCACAGCTTATCCGTATTTATGTATATACATGTAGTTATTTACATACATAGCATGCCCAAGGTAACTGGTAGTAGCTCTTTACTCCGAAACCGCTAGAGATAATGAAAATCTGACAAGTGCATTGGATTCCTCGTGCGATTTTGCGTAAATGCCGATAATCGATTTTTTTATTATTGCAAAGCATATCAACAGGGAAAATATTAAAGGGACGCGGGCGGCGATAATTTTTCATCAAAACAATGGGAAGAGAAATAGCGAATTTGAAAAGTGTGACATGAATTGAACGTGCAGTTTAATTTAGTCAAACGGGCTACAAAAACGTTCATAGGGACCAACTCGACTAAGTACAGTCGAAGAAGAATTTTTTCAAAACCTCCAAGGACCACACCCACCGTGAAGGCGCTGAAAGACAGAATCCGAAGAAATCTACGAAATTCCAACGGAAAATAGCCTCACAGCTGACGTTGTTGACGCAGATTATCCAACGAGCGCTCAAACTGAACCTTAGGCTTGGGGCTTTGAAATGTGGTACTTGCCACCCCTTGATGATACCCACAAACAAAGCCCTACTAAAGAAATGAAGGGCTCTCCTCAAGCGGTACGCACCAAAAAAATGGAGAAGATTTTTTTTAAAGATGATAAGATTTTGACATCGAAAAAATCTTTTAACAAACGAGTTGACCTAATCTACGAAAAATCGGTCAAAGACATCTCCCAATATAGACAAAAGGTCAGAAAGGCATATTATCCAGGTTTTATGATGGTTTTAGTAGGTGGGAGCAAATTGGGATGATTCCTCTACATTTCATTGAAGATGGGGGGAAGGTGGGGAGATCAAATTTCTTAAAATACGTTTTTGAGTTCGTAGTACATCGCCTCAATGAGATCCAGTTCAATGGAATCGGATGGACCTGCCAGAAGGATTCGGCATCACCAAATAGTGGAAAAAATGATGCAAGCGTGGCTAAAAAACTAAATTCTGCACTTTACTTCCACTTCGGAATGACCATCACTCTGGCTGTATTTAAATCCCCGGATCATGAAAAATGGTCAAAGTTAGAGCAGAAGGTATGGTCTAAGCCTCACAGACGTGTAGAAGCTTTAAAAAAAATCTTTGACCACAGAATGATACACTTTGTCCAAGGATTTAGTGCGTGCACCAATCGAAGACTGGAGGCAGCGTCTTCAGCGCTGCATTAATGCAGGGGGAGGAAATTTCAAAAACTAAAAACTGTTTTCTATTCAGAAATTAACTGGCTTTCCATTAAAATTAACTAGAAGTTTGTAAAGCAAAAACTGTTTAAGCCACAGCGTTTTATTTCACTCCCAGTTAGCTTGGGCATGCTATGTACATACTTTTACCCAATACCTTTGATTAACCTTTCAGAAAAAATTGTACATATACTGCAGTCCAGTATAATTTCCCAGTGTCATTAAATGTCATTTTTGATCAACGAATTACCAATGGAATTATTTGTAAGTTAAGTTACAAAAATTACAGGATGTGAAGTCGCGCTACAACCCCATGCATGCAAAACCATCAAAACTATAATAATCCTGAATGGTTTAGAATTATCAAAATAAAAATCAACTCGGTTGAATTTTGCGAAATTTTCGTAATTCCAATAATTCTCATAAATACATTTCTAACCAAGTCTATTATTTAAGTTTGATAGCTTGAAATTAATGTTCAGCTGGGTTGAATACATCCGGGCTGAGAGCTATAATTGCGAGTCGCTGAAATTATGTGCAAAATCGTGTTGATTTGTGGCCAGAAGGTCGCAGAATGCTGCTCTGTTCTTCTCAGTCTACATTTTAGTACACACTTAAAAATAGTGTTCCCGTTTTGAAAAATAAATACATTCTGGATTCTAAATTAGATAAATTATGCTAGATCCAGCCAGAGTAAACTTCACTCTTTATGAAGTTAACGTTACTCTGGATTTAGACATCCCGGGTGAAAAAAATAGTCAGTCACCCTGACTTTTGACTGAAAATTTTCATTCACTTCGTTCAAATTCATTTCATTTCAAGTGAGTGGACTTCTTTTCTTACTTGATGCATGTATCTATTATGCAGAGGGTGCAAAATGAATGGAGTGAAAAGTCCTGTTGATTCAAAGTTATTCATCTGAAATGAAGAAATCTTTCAGTCATTTCCATGGAAATGACAGGAAATTAATTCACTATCCTTCATCGTAATAATCCGTCAAATGAATGAAAGTGAACAGGTACGGGTTTAGTATATAGTGAACGTAATACAGAATTCAGAGTTTGTACATACCTATTTCAAAAGGGGAACACAATTTTTAAGAGCGTACTGAAATATTTTTAGTACATACCTTTCAATTTTTCGGAAATGTATTCAAAACACTTCCCTCAACTAATCCGGCTAGCCCTCCTGCCGTCCGTGTTTCTTGGCGTGAACGGAGTATATTTTAACGGACAACGGAAAATTTTCTACATCGTGAAGTTTTCAAAATTTCGAGTGATCCTTTCAGCCATAATAATAATGCTATTCTTCGCATCATTTTTTTGTGGGAGAACCCTTCAAATATTTCTGTACAAAGGGGGAAGCAAAAATAAATATTTCCATGTGTCCTTCGCTTTCTCGTTCATTTTTATCTACGGATCGGCCATGCTGGTTTTTACGAGTGTTTTTCAAACTCGCATTGCTCAAGGGATGACGCAAATGGTGCGATACTGCTTAAATTTTGAACGTAAGTACTTAATCTTGTTATTTGGTTTTAAACGGGTGTTTTTCTGACTTTGAATCATTAAAAAATAAAAAGTAAAAAGGAAAATATCTGCGTAACCAATTTTTAACGGGTGTGCAACTCATTATTAAAAAGGCTAAACTTGGTATTCTATTTACATTAATTCCAGTAACAAGTATAATGAAGTAACAAAAGCGAAGTACTGAAAAATAATCTGCTAAGTAGAACTCAAGCGAGATTGATTGATTTTATTCATTCAAAAAGCTGGCGGAAAAATACATAGATAGATGAAGAAATCGCCCGCAATAAGTAGCTTTCTTAAGTCGAATCCGGAACTGAGTCAATATTTTCATTGGATTCGAAACCGAAACTGTTTAGCTCGTATTTGACTTACGAGGGAACCTTTTATAGTGCCCGGAGCTCCCAGCATAACTATTATATACATTCGACGTATTTTTTAATACTAGTTCAATGATGTGACAAAATCTCCGTGTCAAAATGACATTTTGTCAAGTGGTGACGATTTTAGTGACGCGCGGAACAGTCATTTTCCCCATGCTTTTAGTAGCGGAGATACCCGTTCACCACCCGCTCCTCATTCATCTCACTGAAATCTCAAGCCATTTGCTCATCGAGGTCACTGGCACCTAATTTAATTGTATTTACAATATAATTGCAATTTATTTACTGTTTATAGCTTGTCAATATTATTCTTTTCCTTTAAAATATGAGTTTAAAAATTATGTAGAAAAAAATGCTACAACTTTTTATGAATCTAATCAAGTGGAGGGATTTGTTCGTCACAGATTTCGAAGTGGGCGTCAGAATGTTGTAATCTTTAAACTCGACCGGAAAAAATAATATTGATAAATAGTAAATTATAATGATATTGCAAGGGTAGTTAAGTTAAGTACCAGTGTGGTCAGTGATTTGAAATGGGTTGAAATTTTAGAAGTGAGATTAGAAGCGTGTGGTGAAAAGAGTACCTGCGCTATTGAAATCATCGGCGAAAATGACCGTTCCGTGCGTCACCAAAATCGTCACCACTTGACCAAATGTCATTTTGACACGGAGATTTTGTCACATCATTGGACTTGTATTAAAAACTGTGTCTAATGTATATAGTGTATATGCTGGGAGCTCCGGGCACTATAAAAGGTTCCCTCATTAGGCATATTTACTATGTAAAACAGGGATTGGAATCGGACGCTAATTCGTTCCGTTTACTAACAATGGAACCTTTTTTCAAGCTACACGAGATAAGCTTAGTGACATATGCTAAAAAATCAAGCTAAAAATTAGTAATGACGTGGTACTTATCTTTCCGTTGAATGGGCACTTGGAGGTCAGATATTTGAGGGCAAAGTTCACAGTAGCGGCTTTTTTTTTCTCAAGCGGGCGAGCGGAGGAGTGAAAATTTTCTCCTTCGAGGTCACTCCGCTCCGCTTAAAAATTTATACAAGAAAACACCCTTCCTTTATTCGCACAAAATTACTATACCTGGTTTGCATAAATCAAATGTTTAAAATTACCCATGTTCCATATTTATAGTTTAAACCCAATCAATAAAGGTAACAAAAATCAGTGCATTTTGCGATGCGCATTCTTCCCATTTTCGGCGTAATCAATCAATATGCATCACGAATGGGTCAAACTTATTCTTAAAAGGTAAAATATTAACGGGCACGATATAATCGTCAATTTTCGAAACGGTCCTCTTCGGTCCGCCCGTGACCCGGATGGTGTGATCACTTCCGGCATAGTATCTCATAGGGTTGCCGCGGGTAGCGAAAACGCTACCCGTTACCCGACCCGCTACCCGCAGCACAACTACCCGTACCCGCACGGGTACCCGTGCGGGTACCCGTTACCCGCTACCCGTTATGAGAATTAATTTAAACACTAACCAACCTTCAGAATTAATTAAATTTAACGAATTATTTGCTAATTTGGGATGTTCAGTAGTTTGAGATAATGCTGTGCAGGTTACGAATGCCATAATTTGCTAGATATCATTAGATGATTCTCAAACCAGACTTTTTGGCTTACAATGCAACCTTTTTCAAGCTATGCCAGGATTTCTTAGCAAATTATATAAAAAAAATTAAGCCAAAACTTATGAATTATCACTGATCTTTCCGTTACATTCCCTTTAAAGAAAACTATGGGGGGGAGAGTTCAAAGTCCACCATCAACCATGGTCTTCGTCCAGTGGAGGCAAAAGATGCAGATCATTTACTTAAAAATTGAACTTTGGCTCCAATGTTTTTCTTTAAAGTGGACATTCAACGGAAAGTATCACACGATTCCAAACTTTTGGCTTTACTTTCTGATATTCTCGCTAGACAATCTTCGTGTATACCTTGAGAAAAGGTCAAATTTTTAGTTTGATTTTTTAAACTTTGATTTCAATGAAGTTTTCAATAAAAAATTGTCTACGAATAAAATTTTTGCTTTCAGTCGGATTGAGGTTTTCACCTTCAAAGCACAAATTAAAATCTCGTCAGTATAACATAAATAGACACTAATACAGGACAAATTATTATTGATATTTTAGGCTAATTATGCTTGAGAAACAATAATTTCTCTGCATTTTCGGGATGTGATAAGCATTTGAGGCTGCCGTAGGCTTCTGTGACCTCCGAATAAACACGCTCGCTATAAACGCCAGTTGCTGGCAAATGGCAAATTTTGAAATGGATAAATAATAAATTGTCACTTTTATAGGTAAATGGACTAAGTTGCTGCTAACTTTCTTTGTGAACTGATTTATGTCGAAAATTAAATAAAAACTGAACTACCCGTTACCCGTGCGGGTAGTTCTTGCTACCCGCAGATAACGGGTACCCGCAAGAATCGTGCGGGTATGCGGGTAACGGGTACCCGACCTGTTACCCGCGGCAACCCTAGTATCCCATCGAGGTTGTGTATACGCTGTACAACGCGGCCACAATGGCGTTCCACACCGCGTCATAGTCATCCCGGACAAAACCGTCACTTTCCTCCATGAGGTACTTGGCCTCCTCCTTCGTGACGGGTAAGTAGGACGCGACCGAGCTAAAAAGAGGCAGCAGGTGTCTTCCGACCGCGGTGGTTTCGTTGGTCAAGAAGTAAATCTGCTGGCCTCCGCCGTCCGGGTCGAAGCCGGAGGAGAGATACACGAACGCCGTGAACCAGACGCGACCCACGTTGTAGGTCACGCACTGTCCGGGGAGGAGCGTTTCGGTGAAGTAGTACGTGACAGCGACCGATAAGCCGGTGCTTATCGGGATAGCCGCCTCATTGCAGAAGGTCGTTTGTGTCCCGCCTATGGAAACTGTGGTGTTAAATATTAAAGGAATTATTATCTAATTGAGTCACTTTACATGTATGGAATGTTTACACAGGTGGAAATATATTTATGTAGATAATATCTACTAGATTTATCCATACCAACGTGTAATATGTGTGCATAAATATGTATTTATGTACCTCTTTTTTTCTAATGGACCCAATATTTCTGAAACTTATTTAGAAGCAATTGTGTAAGTGTAGGCGTGAAATATTCATGTATGTAATGATTGAAACTATGACAGCAAGTTTCTTAAATATTTTTATTTATGTAATTCAGCTGTGGTGGACTGGTGAATGTAACGTGAAGGAAGGATGGTTTGAGTAGTAATCCCACGTTGGAATTAAAACTTTATATACTTTACTTATGTAAATACACACGAGGGATGTGTGCGCATATTATCCGGCATTCGTGAATAGTTGTTAAAATTATGGTGTGACCGATATGAATACTTGCTTGGGATATTCTAATTCATAGAGTGCGATTACAAAAGAAAGAAACTTTTGGAACATGTATTTATTCATATGGAAGAAAAATTGCCACTGAATTGAAACGCCGTGGTTTTGTAGTCCATGCGATTAGCTACCCAAATCAGAAAACCGGAAGTCGATATCTCGACTAGTTCCAAAATGAGAACAAAAAATCGGGAACAACTCGCAAAAATGATTTGCCACTACTACGTAAACGTGTGCGAGCGTGTCCGGATAATGGTTAATAGCCACTTCGAAAGAGCAAAAATTCCTAATGGGGCAATTTGCAGAGTTTTAGATATGTATGAGGGGAGGAGGAATGCTGAATTCAAAAAATAAAAAAATCGTCCTGCTCGTGCAGCGACCCCCAAAGTGATACGAAGACTTCAGCAGGAATGCCAAAATGACCTTGGGATATCAGATGGTAATTTGGGCTACAAATTGAAAATAGCAAAATTAAGTTTACATGACATTAAACATACGAAGTTGGGGGTCAAATCCTATAGGGCGACACCTGTACCAAAGTACAACCAAGGTCAGCAAAAAAGAGCAAAGCCCAACTCTCGGCAGATTGCTGAAAAACGAGTCAAGCAAAACATGCCCGTGATTATGGTCGTGGATGATGAGACCAAGTGCTCGATTGATCCAGATGAAGTCCCTGGGAGGAAGTACTACTTATGTACTAATAAGAAAACCTTTAAAGATTCCTTCAAATACACGCCGAAGTCAAAATTCCCCACACAGCACATAATCGGGCAAGAATTGGACTTATTGGGGGACGTCTCAAAGCCATTCGTGACCACAGCCACCATGACCTCGGAGAGATATCTGAACGATTGTGTAAAGAAGATCTTGATCCCCTTTATCAATAATCGTAATGTACTTTTCTGACCGGACACAGCAGCATTTCATTATTCAAAACTTGTTCTGGACTACCTGCGGTCGAAAAAAATCGATTTTGTTGCAAAAAAGGAATATGCTCCCTACGTCCCTCGGGCAAGACCAATTGAACGATTTTGGGCATTATTCAAGAGAGAATATAGTCGTCGAACAAAACCAGCCAAAAACTTGAAATGATTCCGTCAGATTTTGTCACGCACCTCAAAGGAGGTAGCGAGAAAGAGTGGCAAAGCACTTCTGGGGACCGCGAGACAAAAGATTCGCCAGATAGGAAGGATGAGGGTCTGTGGACCGTATGAAGCAAAAAATTGAATGCTAAGGACCTTGTTCTTAACCCCTAAAAATATCATTGGAATTAATTAAGTTTTCCGGATTTTACAGGCTTTTTTTCAAAAGTTTCTTTCTTTTGTAATCGCACTCTATGTAGATACATAGACACTGGAAATATTTATTGCTGCTCGTACATTCAATATTCATAAGCATGTACATATGTAGATACGTATATTTAAGCCCACAGGTGAAATATGCGACGCCATCTATTCGTCCATACCGTTGCATGTTATTCTACGTGTTCACAAGAAAATCTTGTGCGCCACACCCACTGGCTCTACGGACTTGGTTTTGGTCTCAAAAAAAGCTCCAGAATGTTCTTCGTCTACTCCCGGATATAAACATTTAAAAAAGTTGCTGAAAATGTTTGAGATAATGTATCAAAGTTTTTAAAAAAGATAATTTGCATTTCCACCAATTAAAAAAAAATGTTTATGTCCGGGATTAGAAGAAGAATATTCTGAAGCTTATTTTGAGACCAAAACCGAGTCTGTAGAGCCAGTGGGTGTGGTGCACAAGATTTTCTTGTGACCTAGTTCCTAGTTTTTATTTTTCAAACAGCTGGCATTTCAACAATTGTGGATGGATTTGATTCATTGTTTTTTAGAAATGATCTGAATGAGTTATATTTTCAAATTTCTAATTGTTTTGAAATTTAAAAAATTTCACGCGCAAACGACAAAGGTCACAAGGTCAAATCTCACATAGCCCCATAAACTGGGTATCGTTGGAAAGGTCCTGATGAGAGGATTAAGAATATATATACTTTATGGGGTGTAGGACCACCCCCTGATTATTTAGAGACCGATGAGCATTATTGAGTTTTCCTCGATCTAGTGCCATGTTAGCTCTCAATCTGCTCCTGTGTTAACGTCTGTATACCTGCAAAACCAAAACTCAAAAATGTTCACTGGCCTCTAATTAATCAGGGGGTGGTCCAAGACCCCACAAAGTATATATATTCTGAATCCTCTCATCAAGACCTTTCCAATGGTACCCCATTCAGAGGGCTGTGAGCCTTGACCTTGTGACCTTTGGCCTTAGTACATTCAATTTTTTGACCTTCGAAAAAAATCAAAATTCTTAATGAATCTGAAAATACAACTCATTGGGATCATTTTTCAACAAAAATGAAAAAAATTCATCCAATATTGTTGAAATGCCAGCGATTTGAAAAATCGTTAGTTTTGTAACTTTCGTCAGTCACCCGTCCTCTTAAGAGAGAACAATAATAAAGGCTCAGAAGTATTACATATACATATTTAAGAGGTTCGAGATGGCTTCACTTTGTTGCCCACTCCATGGCTTCTGTTACGTGCACAAAATTGAATTACCATTTAAACACAGTGAATTCATATTTCCCGCCCAGAAATGACAAAACTTTCTGAAAAAAGTCAACCAAATTCCTTACGAAGTTCACTAATTCTAACAAAGTAAAATATCAATTTATCAAAAATAATTTGTGTCATGTGTCCCGTCTGAAATGTTTCCGATAGATTCTGAGACGATTTACATGTGTATAATATAGATATTTTTGGAGAAACCAGGTTTCAGGCGAATGACATGAACAGAAATGCTTTATATACTTACATTGTGTGCATAGGAACGTGGTATGTATATATGTGCCTACATACATATGTATTTATCTCACGATCAGGGGACGCGTTTTAGTCTTATCAGTTTTGAAGCCCATCTTATTGGCTTTGATCTTGCGAAGATAGTTTTTTTTCTGGGTGCAACCCTCACGGATATGTTGGGGTTTTCCGTAAAAGTTTTTTCATGTTTCTCGTCCGTGTTTTGGTCTGTTGGTGGACAGGTCGACAAGGCAAAATTTTATATTTTGGATTTTCACGATCCTTATATCTGCATAGTGTATGATGAATTTTGTCCGGTGCATCCCTTGACGGATAAAGTGGTCACGAGCCCTTTCCCGACCCGAGAAAATCATTTTTTTGCGTGAGTGGCAAACTAATTTTTCCACCTGCTTTACATTTTGTGGTGTCATTTTCTAATGAAAAGAGATAATCAAATTCTGTTTTCGGTTTTATGAAGCTAATCCAATTTGCCAATTTTTATGATTTTTACATATGCAAAATTAACTATTAACCGGTTGAACCAATAGGGGGAACCTTGACACGTAACTTCACCGACCAGTCCATAGTTATATAGATTACTGTGTCGTTGAATTTAAACCAGTTTAAATATGTAAACCGATTTCTTTTTTACATGCGAATAAAGGCTTAACTAAAGTACCATAAATCAAATCTATATTATAAGCTGGAAATGTTTGTTGGCAACGGAAGTGAAAGTAATTTTCCGTGACGGAAGTGAAAGTGGAGAAAGTGATTTGCATATCAACTGTTTTGGAAAGTTGATAAGTCAGTTATCCAGGACTTGCTGGTTAGCTTATCAGGAAGGGAAGTTAACGGACATAATTAAGTGCGGTTGTCGCTCTGCTGGGGGGAATAATTGGTTGTATCCATTTTGGCTATGGTTATCGCTCTGCTGGGGAGAAGGATGGGTGTGCCCCCTGGGATAGGGTTACCATTCTGCTGGGGGGAGTGGGAGGGCGTGCCCCCCCTGGGATCTGGTTATCGCTCTGCTGGGGGGAAGAGGAGGGTGTGCCCCCCTGGGATAGGGTTACCGCTCTGCTGAGTGGAAGAGGAGGGTGTGCCCCCTGGGATAGGGTTACCGCTCTGCTGAGTGGAAGAGGAGGGTGTGCCCCCCTGGGATAGGGTTACCGCTCTGCTGGGGGAAGTGGGAGGGCGAGCCCCCCTGGGATGTGGTTACCGCTCTGCTGAGGGGAGTGAGAGGGTGTGCCCCCCTGGGATAGGGTTATCGCTCTGCTGGGGGAGTAGGATGGCGTGCCCCCCTTATATATGGTTACCGACGTTCCGTTCAGGTCCATTCATTCAGGCCCGTTTCCAAACCAGTGATATGCCTGTATGATGGGAGGGAGAAAGGATTCCGTTCCCTTCATGGGTACCCCACATTTACATTGAATTGTTTAAATTACAAGATAGATTTACGTAGCTTCCACATAAGGGAGTGGAATTCCCTTCCTTTTCCCTTCCCTTTGAATATACTTCAGATGAAATAGCGGAATCTTCACATCAAGGGAAGGGAAAGGGAATGGATTCCGTTCCCTTCATGTGTGGAATAAAGTTATCGCTATGCGCTATGCTGGAAGTAATAGAGGGGTGCCCGACATTAGCTAGGGTTTGTCGATTGAAAGATGTTACACCCGTTTCACGTTCATCACAAATTCCTTTGACTTACGTCGGCGACAGAGAAGTTCAGCTTATAATATAAATTAAAATATTTAATTGGTTAGTGTTTTGCAAAATTCCACTCAATTTTCATAAAAATCAAATAAGCTCTCGCCCGGCGGGAGACGGGCTTATACGCTAGTATAATATAATACCAATACTTATCTTAAATGCCTATCTTTCCCACGAAGCAAGTAATAAGTATCATCATATAAATATATAAATACTAGAATAGATTTTTACGTCCGAATTTGCAAAACAATTTTGTGAAATAGAATATTGACATTGAAATAGAAGACTTAAAGTATGTCCACTCTAAGAAAAAATACCGGTATTTACCTATGGCAAAATAATGAATACAAATTTTATTAATCCAAATTAAGCGATTCAGTAAAAATAATTAAAACGATGGTTAATCTTAAAAATTATGAAAAAAGGGTTTCCTCTGAATTCCTTCCTATTGTTAATTCAACATACACGTTTATGTATATATTTTTTCTAAATTCGCTTAAACATAAACGACATAAGACTTAAGGGGAGCTCCATAAATTATGTAATGCAAAAATTGCGATTTTCCGACCCACCCCCACCCCCTTTAACATGCGTCACATTATGTGGCCCACATAGGCACGCAATTATTTGAACCTTAGACCCCCTTCCCGCCTCTCGGGTTACGTAATTAATGAACGTCCCCTAAGTTGTTGGTATTTTTCCATTTAATCTAAAATAATGAGCAAGGAGGGACGAATGTGTCACTAATTCTGTAAGAATGTATGCGACCTCGTCATGTGACCATACATATTTTTAAGGGTTCACACAAAATAAATAAATACATGTAATCGAATTTGGGAAATTTTAACACCATCCCGGACATATCATACCATGTACTAAAATTAACAAAGGAGAAATGTCGTTTCCTGGTAATCAAATCCATCTTCATTTCATGGATTGATCAACCTCATAAAATGTCACAGTTTGGAACTCTTGCAGAAATAAGGTGATAAGTTTTTCATCCGAGTAAATATGCATGTAAATACTTGTACACACGCTCCGGAATACAATTTGCGACAAAAATAAAGATTTCTTTCTTCTTGAATGGGTTCCAGGCAAGGAGAACAAAGATGGCTGAGTTAATTTGACCACTCATTTTATAGAACACTAATTGTAGAGACTTTTATTACAAATAAACACATATTTGTTTTATCTATGTACATATATTAAGAAATTATGAAAGTAAACGTCGTATTTTATTTTATTCACAAAACAATTTTTCAGATGTATTTATTCTGATTAAATAAAACTCATACATACATTTATTTAGGTTGTATGGACGTCTAGGCGAAAATATTGACATGTATGATGTAAATACACAAAATCATACCGAAATATTTAATTTATACTTAAAGTGGATAAAACTAAATAATTTAAGCAAAGACCTATGGGGGTCATAAATAGTAATTCATAAAACCAATTCAATTTCAAAGGAGGACACATTAATTTGAAAATAACATGAAAAATCAGTTACAACGTTTACCCACGCTACTTAGCAATCAATCAACACGCATTATAAACGGTTCAAATTTTTCCTTAAAAGGTAATATATACACGAGAATGTTGTAATCGTCAATTCCTCTTATGGCCACCGTAGGCCCACCCGAGACGCTGATTTTGTGATTTTTTCCGGCATACTAGCCCGTCAATTCTGTGTACTCGCTGTCCAACGCGGCCGATATGGCTCCGCTCACTTTGAACAAATTATTCTGGACAAAGCCGTCCCCTGCGGCCATGAGATTGTTCGCGTCCTCCTCCGCAACGTGTATGTACTTTAGAACGGGTTGTATCGGAATGTCAAATTGCCCCGTGAACTGCGCGCCGACCGCGGTCGTTTCGTTGGTGAGGAAGTAAATCTGATTAAGTCCGACGGGCGCGTCGTAGCGGGCCGAGGAGAGAAACGCGAACGCGGTGAACCAAACGCGACCCACGTCATAACGGACGCACCATTGGGGGAGCAGCGTCGCGGTGGAGTAGTACGTGATGCCGGCCGATAAGCCGGTGCTTATCGGGACGGCCGCCTCGTTGCAGAAGGTGGTTTGGGTGGCGCCCATGGTAGAATCTATCTATGAAGTAGAATTAGATATGAACGTTATTTAATTTAAATTTAGCGCTAAATACACACACATATATAAGATAAGCATTTGGTGTGGAACACATTTTTAATCTAGCTGTACTCTTTGGGGCCGTACATAAAGCGTGTGATCGATTTGAGGGACGTTAGTTATTTTGACCCCTATCCCCCATGTTACATACATGTATGCCCAATGTTAGAATTAACATGGGAATGCTAGGATGGCCTGGCCCTTCTCGACTCCCCCCTTCCCCTCAAATCGATCACGTGCTTTCTGCACAGTTCCCGTAAATATTCAATGTGCTTTAATGCATGAAAATTTCTAAAATTGCGTTAATTTCATTAATATTGAGATAAACGGAACTTTTAATGGAAATTTAATTTTTAATACTGACAAACGTTACATAGAATTGAAAAAATAGTGAACTAATTTATTGTAAAGAAGAAAGGACAAATAAAGCAGCAATTTTCTTTTCAATTCGATAGGTTTGTAGTACAAAAAATTAAGTTTACACTTTAGAAATGTTCATTTAAAAACGTTTAGTGGGGGCAGAGTCAGGTTTAAAATGTATAATGGTGTTATTCAACTTTAAACCCGCCTGTGTAAATTTATGCATTTAATATCATGCACGTATTTTACATATTTATACCAGGAAATAAATAATACTCAAAATTGTTGGCTTACAACTAATCTGTCTGTTAATATGTATTACCTGCACGTGAGTTTTTAGCTGAAGTTAATAATTTCCGAATTATGTAAGTGTGGAAATTTTGTAGGAAATTGTGTAAGGTGGTTAAGTGAGTATAATTCCAACCTCGTGGCAATGGTGACTCCAAATATTTAAATATGTACTAAAATATAAATTCAAGTTATGTGCGTATGTTGGCAGGAGAGAGGTTGTGTGGCGACTGATCCTAAATATGTGTTATTCATCCAACTTTATAAACTAGAAATGGAACCTTTTCAACCCACACTGGGATTGAGTACATACTTATAGTTATAAATATCAGAAAATCAAGCCAAAAACTAGGAATCACGCGACACTGATCTTTCCGTTGATTGGAGGCCCCTTTGAAGAAAAGGATTGGCCGCAAGGCTCAATTTTTCTCTCCATTTTTCGTTCAAGGGGCGAAAATCAAGGCGTGCGTGTGAATTTTGCCACCAATATTTATCCTCAAAGAGGTGATTCGACCGATAGATAAGTACCATGTTACCCATAATTTTTGGCTTAATTTTTTAACATAGGTAACTCGCTATACAATCCTGGTGTAGCTTAAAAAGGTTTCATTGTAACTTATAATGATACCTTTTCACAATTTGTACATAAAAGAAAAAAAAATGTTATCTATGTTCCCAACTCCAGAATAAGCACATTAAATTTAGGATACTGCTGCGAATGACCTGTGACAAATATGTACTTAAATAGAGAAGCCTGTGAAACAAAGAACAAACATGAGTCATCAGATCACGAGACTTGAGCAAATGAAAATATTAAGATAAGAATAACTTCTTGTGACTCAGAAGTATCAATCGAGAAGAATTCGGTTCCATAAGGTCAATTTTTACTCTTACTCTTACAGTAATTCGTTTTCTTGAGTAAGAGTCTTACTCAAGAAAATGAATCGAATTTTTTTGTGCCGACAAATCGCAATAAATATTTTCCATCAGAAAATATATAACAAATTCGTTACCGAGTGCACTAATTCATATCAAACAATAGAGAATTTTTCAATTTATCAAAAAAACATTATGGCTGCAATGTTTCCGATAGATTCTGAAACGATTTATGTATCCTATTTGTACAACATGACTAGAGATTTTCCCAAAGATCACATGTCAGGCGAATGTCATGAACAGAAACATTGTTTTATGTATGTACGTAGGTTCGTAGTACTCTCTATTCGCATACTGTTGAACTTTTACAGGAATTGAGAATTCTGATAAACTACGGCACTGTCAGTCTCAATTTTCCTCAAATTGTGATGACGAGGGACGAGCGTAGAAGTAGCATAGTTTTTCAGAAATCTCAATTTCTGAAAAAGTTCAACAGTATGCGAATGGAGAGTATGTACATATGTACGTATTATGCATTTATTTAACGACTAGAGTAGAGGCCCGTTCAAGAACGGGTTCTAGGCCCCCAGAGGGGGGTGTGCCCATAGCGCAAAATCCCTAAACTTTAAATAATTTCCAGTAGAGACTTTGTCCCTTGTCATAGCGCATACATGCATCAAAGTGCCCAAGTCATGCTGTATTTCAATTTCCCTGGTTACGGAACAATCTGATTTCCCCCTGTGGGAGTGGCTGGATAGCTAACCACTTAAATTCTCACGTTCCACGCTCCCATTGACTTCCACAAACCCCGTTAACTTTCACAAACCCCATTAACTTCCACAATCCCCTTTAACTTCTACAATTAACGCCAAGCTATCGACGGCGTTGGATTCAGCGTTAAAAATACATTCGAATTGATATGCGACATCACGAATAAGCAATATTTGAACCCCACGGTCACGGGAAGGTCACGGAGGCCTCGCAGGTCAAAACCATTGGCGGCGTTGGATTCAGCGTCAAAAATACATTCGAATTGATATGCGACATCACGAATAAGCAATATTTGAACCCCACGGTCACGGGAAGGTCACGGAGGCCTCGCAGGTCAAAACCATTGACGGCGTTGGATTCAGCGTCAATAATACATTCGAATTGATATGCCACTCGCTGTGGGTGGAGTTTATCAAAGTAAAATAATTAATTAATAGTGTTTATCAAGATCACTTATCATGATAACCACTATTGATGAGTGATGTATGTATGTATACTGCTCACTCACTCAATTTACTTGCACACTGTGTTTATATACAAAGGCATTTAATTTGAGTTTGATGGCAAGTGTACGTACGTGAAAGTCACGTGCAGGCGAAGTTCAGACTCATTGTGCAGACTCATGCAGTAGGGAGCAGCATTTTCATGCATGCAATTCACTCCGCGTCCTTCTTTGTCTTCTCTACGGGGTAACTTGGACTCGATCACAGAGTCAGGCAGCGACTTAACACTAACGCTTTATGGAAGTAGATAAATAAGGGGACGTTTATAAACTATGTAATGTAACACAAAAATCTCGATTTCTTGGATAAATCATTCCAGAATAAATGCATGTGAATCCAAAGCCCAACTACACAAATATGACTCATCAACATATTTATACCGATGTATGTAAATAGTGGACTATGGAGTTATGTACATACTTCCAATCAAATGTACATATGTAAGTATGCATTTATAGATGCTAAACCAGTCTTACTCACTCTCTCACGCTCGACAGCTGAATTGTTTATAAATAATTATTCTACTTTTGCTAATCGTTTACAACCTTTGCTTACACAAGTGCACATTTACGTATACTAATACGTTTCTGAAAAATTGTACACATAAATACGTGAAGCCCATAGGTAAACATATCTGTTACTCAAATATTTACATATCTATGTACATACACTCTAATAATTCTGATATATTCAGTCAGGCAGCCATGCATTTCACGGTATTAAATTTGTCACCGCATGGTATTAGAATTGCTCCGATTAGTACAAATTTGTTCCCGCTATGGTAAAACTTTAATACTGAGCTGATCCTACACAGCTATGTAGGTACAGATGATTTTAATAGTATTAAAATAATTAAATAATGCTTTTTAGTAGACAATCCAAAATTTTCATGTTCTTAATAAATTTCACGCTCTTAATAAACCAGTTAGGAATTATTTATTGTAGCATTATATCCGATTATTAAATTAATACTGGATTTCTAAAAGTGCCTGCATAAATACTTATTTAAGTATTTGTGGCCAACGTGCCCATATGCACATACGAATATGCTAATTCGATTAATTTAATAACACAAATGCATGCATAATTTTTCACCACAGATTCTCCCATGGGGGCGACACAAACGACCTTCTGCAACGAGGCGGCTGTCCCGATAAGCACGGGCTTATCGGTCTGGGTAACATACTACTTCACCGAGACGCTCCTCCCCGGACAGTGCGTCACCTATAACGTGGGTCGCGTCTGGTTCACGGCGTTTGCGCACCTATCCTCCGGCTACGAACCGTGGTTCGGCACCAACCAAATTTACTTCCTGACCAACACCACAACCGCGGTGGGGGAACGATTTTATGTTAATCCGGAAATTTATTATCCCCCGGAATTGAAATACTTACACGTCACTAGGGAAGAGGTCGACTTAATCATCAAGGAAAGTGACGATTTCGTTCCAGATAATTTGGAAACAGTCGAACGTGCCATTTACGACGCTTGGGACAGCGTCTATATCAAATTGATGGGTTATTATGCCGGAAGTAGTCACAAAATCAAGGTCACGGGCGGACCGAAGAGGACCATTCCGAAATTTGACGAGGATAATCATCAAGTGCAAATTTTACCTTTCAGGTACAAGTTTGACCCGTTCCAGTTGCACATTGATTCTTGAGCGGATTATTTATGGGAACGTCCATGTATTATGTACGTTGTTAAAAAAGGCTTATTTTTTAACCTCGCACCCGCCCTTGCACAATCTTACTCATGTTGAACTTAGATAGGCGAACCAGTTACCACTTGTTTGATAACGTAATATATGGACGTTCCATATTTTTTGCAGTATAATGATTCGTTATCATGACAGGAATAATATTTACATAACTAACAAGTGTCAAATTGACACTGTCAATTAGAAGGAAAAGCGAAATAAATTATAAATCATTATTAATTAATTTATGTATGAAGGTATTCATTTATTCATTTTAATTTCGATCTTTGGTGCCTGAATATCTGTAAATTCAAAATTTAATACACCGCCAGCACATTACATGTACAGCGCCGAGGTGTGGCGCCAAACTTGAAAATCTTCATTAAAACCCAATTTCACACCACAAGTTTTGCAGTTTCCTAGGGATTTTCAAAATTTTGGGTTTAAAATGATCATAAAGGTCAAGCATTTAAGAAATATCAGTTAATAAAAACTTTTTAAGTTTTGGCATATTCAAAAAAAATTGTTGCCTACTCCCCATGATTAAGAAAATCTCAAAATTTTGCACAAAATGTAAACAATCATTTTTTATTGATTTCACGATCTTTAACTTCATAAGTTTCCCTTTTCAGTCGTTTTGGTTGATGTCAAAATTTCCCCAATCTATCACATACTTCTTATGAAAAGTACCCAAACTATATGTATATCGGTATCATGACATTTACAGCCACTTATCGTTAAATACTTCTGTACATATCCACGACTAAAAGCAAAGCTTCTGCGACATTCGTCTCAAACGTGGTGTTTCCCATTCATGTTCTGCAAGTAATGATAAATATTTTCAGAATCAATCACAAACATTTCGGCTGGCATGGCACAACAAGTCTCGTGATCTATGATAATGACTCATGGATGGTTCTTTGGTGCTGGAATAAATACATTGAAGTATTTCTTACAGGCAGTCAATATTATCCTATGCCAAAATACGCATATTTGTAAATTACAAATTGTAATTTATAACTATACATACATACGACAAAATATATCTTGGAATAGACTGTTTCTTTCGCGAGGATGCTTTTTGGACGTGGGAAAACAACTTTTGAACACTCATCCATGCCCACTCTCGTTCTGTTTTTCTCTCCTCTTGTTTACTCAAGTCGAATAATTATACTGGAGAATTAATTATAAATTATAACAAATGTTCCAAATAATTAATAAACTTCAACCTTCCTTCTTTAATTTATTATTTTGAACTGGTTCTTATTCTCTTCTGTAGTGATTGGGGAGTGAATTTTGTAAATTATTTTTGGTAAAATTGCATTATTACGGCCTAGCTCGGATTTATTTCAGTGGACTAGCTCGGATTTGGCTGATAATTTTTGTGTAAATACCTATTATGGTCCCCTGAGCAAGAAAATACTTTTTTTTTGCGGCGGTCTCGAAAATTAAAATTTCTAGAAAGCTTCGAAATTTTGTATAAAAATTATTTTTTGCCTCAGATTTTCCTGAAAATGATTTTATAGACTAATTAAACTATGCTGAACAAGAATATGAAGGATTTTTTGAAAAACATTCAATAGTAAAAAAGTTATAAATTATTGAAATTTTGTATACAAATTTTTCTTGGATGTTCCAGAGAATTTCAAGACTTTGTCTCAGTTTCCCACACGATAGGAATATTTTGTGGTAAAATCAGATTTTCGGGGTAAGATGAGATTTCTAGTTTCCAGCACTCCTAGCTAGCTCTCCTAGGTACCACTACTAGCTAGCTCTCCTAGGTAGCACTACTAGCTAGCTCTCCCAGATAGCTCTCCTAGGTAGCACTACTAGCTAGCTCTCCTAGGTAGCACTACTAGCTAGCTCTCCTTTTTCAAAAGCCATTTTCATGAAAATCTAAGAGAAAAATTATTTTTATACAAAATTTCAAAAATTTTTAGAAATTTTATTTTTTGAAACCGCCGCGAAAAAAGGTATTTTTATGCATATGGGACCTTAGGGTATTCACACAAAAAATTTCAGTCAAATCCGAGCTAGGCCGCTATACTGCAATTTTACCATAATTTCTATACCAAATTTCAAAAATTGACAACGTTTTTGTTTTTCGAGACCGCCGTGAAAAAATTGAAAACTTATTTCCGCTATTTTGATTAAATTATAACCCATAAAATGAATGATTTTCGTTCAGATCATTTGTTGTATTGTAATATGATGCACACTTTTCTGTGTGGACGTGCTCTGGTGCTAAGTGTGGAAAGGCCCGTGCACCGCACCAAGTTGAGGCAAGTTGAGCTATCTATCTAACAGAGCTACATTTCTTATCGTGTGCTATACATATACCCTCCTTAGTTTATGTAGAGTTGGATGAATCGCACGTATTCATTTAATACACAGGAATATGTAGTAGCCATGCAGCCTCTCTCCTGCCAACATACACAGAATATAGATTCTACCAGAAGGATCGATCTTATGTATTTGAGTGACGCTTATGGAGGAACGGGAGAGCCAACCAAATAACTCGGTGTACATTTGGCCCACCTCGGGGATGGCCCTCCGCATCATCATCATCGCCACATCTCCTGGCATCAATAAATGATGATGAAAGCACATAGGTGGCGCTGGCACCCCCATTTGTGCACCAGAACACACCATTCTGAGCTGCGTCTCCACAAATTTGATGCTCTACGAGGGTGTGTTCTGGTGCACAAATGGGGGTGCCACCGCCACCTATGTGCTTTCATCATCATTTTTTGATGCCAGGAGATGATGATGATGCGGAGGGCCATCCCCCAGGTGGGCCAAATGTACACCGAGTTATTTGGTTGGCTCTCCCGTTCCTCCATAAGCGTCACTCGAATACATAAGATCGATTCTTCTGGTAGAATCTATATTCTGTGGCCAACATAAATACTTAACTTACGCGAAGAGGGTGGAATTATACTCACTAATCACATTCAATCCCGAAATTATTACTTTTAAAAACCACCAATCAAATACTAATTTGCAGGTAACATTTGCATCATAGTTAATCAATAATTTTTGTCATTATTTATTTCCCTAGTAATACTCCGAACTCGTACAGATTGAGATATATATTAATAAGTATAGAAATTAAGACATCTCGTTAACAATTTATTATTTAATACGTGCACAACTAAATTATGTAAATAGATACATATATATAAATTTTCTCCCCAGATTCCTATGGGCGCTGCACAAACAACCTTCTGCAACGAGGCGGCTGTCCCGATAAGCACCGGCGTATCGGTCGCTTTCACCTACTTCCTCACCGAGACGCTACTCCCCGGAAAGTGCGTAACTTCTGACGTGGGTCCCGTCTGGTTCACCGCGTTCGCACATATCCCCTCCCGCTACAAGCCGGGCCTTCTGCGCAATCAAGTGTACTTCCTGACCAACGACACGACCGCGGTCGGGATGGAGTTCAACTCTTTTCCATTTCACCTTCCTCAACGACCCGTTTTGAAATACTGGCACGTCTCTCGGGACGAGGCGGACTATATCATGGCCGAAAGCGACGGATATGTCGAGGATAATTTGTCCATAGTGAGAAGCGCCATATCAGTCGCGGTGAGGAGCATGCACACGGAATCGAGCGGTTTTTATGCCGGACGTTACTATAAAATCAGGGTCACTGGTGGACCTAAAAGGATCATAAGTAGCTCAGACTTGTCTTTTGGCCAAGCTCATATTTTGCCTTTTAAGGAAGAATACGACCCTTTCAGGATGCACATCAAGGACCGTCTATAAATCATGTGACGTGGAGGGGAGGGGGGTTCAAGGCTGCAATGATATCGTGTCTATGTGACACATGTTAAAGGGGGCGAGGAAGGTTTAGAAAATCGCGATTTGTGCGTGACATAATTTATGGACTTTCCTTAAGTCTTATGTCGTTTATGTTTAAGCGAATTTAGAAAAAATATTATTAAATATATACATAAACGTGTATGTTGAATTAACAATAGGAAGGAATTCAGGGGAAACCCGTTTTTCATATTTTTTAAGATTAACCATCGTTTAAATTATTTTTATTGAATCGCTTAGTTTGGATTAATAAAATTTGTATTCATTATTTTGCCATAGGTAAATACCGGTATTTTTTCTTAGAGTGGAAATACTTTAAGTCTTCTATTTCATTGTCAATATTCTGTTTCACAAAATTGTTTTGCAAATTCGGACGTAAAAATCTATTTTAGTATTTATTTATGTACATGTTATGTACAAAAGGTGATTAGACATGGTTTGCACAAATTCACAATTAAATCACGAGATGGGTTTTCGTTGGAGAGATTTCTAGCATTTTTTATGTGAAAGCCCATATCTCAAACTATAGGTGAACATATGGTGAACATATCCGGTTTTGTGCACTCTGGGTCATGAGGCAAGGTCAAATTTGGAGAGGTATCCTTTTTTAGTTCTCCAAATCAGTGTTCTTACAAAATGGCGTCGAACAAAATATTTTTTTCTAAGGTCCTGATGCAAAAATCGCCATTGCGACTATTTTTAAGGGACTTAGCATGCCTTTCACTGTATAAAAACACTTTTGTCTCATGCTTATCTTTTAAGTCCATTTTGTAGTCTAGATTCTTACTTGTCCTGATGGAATGCTCTTGTGAACGCAACTCCTTCACTTTTAAGGCCCCCACATTTTAAGACTTTGATGCTAAAAATCCCTAAAGTTGTTTTTATCCAACGTACATATAGTATATTGCACTGTAAGTAGGTTGACAAAATTTTGATAAGTGGTTACACCCCACGGACTTAGTTTTCATCAAACCCTATAAATTTTTTAGAAAAGCTCCCGTCGTTATCCGGGTCGAACTTCAGAAAGAATTTAACTAACCAAAACGCATTAATTTAAACATCTTGTCACTTGTACCTTGTAGGTAGAATAGTTCTGCAGTAGGGGACACAAAAAAGTTATTAAAATTTATTTTCAACAAAATTTGACCATTAATTTTCCAAATTAGTTCACGAGTTTTTTTTAAGATTCGGTGTCAGCTGATTAGCTCGGGTCCTTCTCCAAAACTGTTTACCAAAAATGCTGACTGTTTGGTTTAATATTACTTAGCACACTTTCAGCTTTACCCTCAATCGTCATTTGACCCAGTGGGTCAGCTTTCAAGGTCAGCAGGTCAATTTTCCCGTGCAAGCTCGGATTGATCGCATTTTGGGGCAAAATATCAGCGATGTTGGAAACCCCACATTATTTTATTCATTACGGATTCTTTTATTATTAGATACAATAATTATCTGGGGTTATAATAAAAACAGTTTTTCACCTCTGAACTCTTTGGTAATCATGCCACATGAATAGTTAAGTTTGGAAAGTATGTTTTTGGCACATTCCAACTCTGGGGGCACTGGAGAGGACATTTGTGAAACTATCGCCTTAAAATTTTAGAGATATCTTTTTGAGAGTATTATCTTGCTTGACTATCAAAATCAGCTCAAAATTCGAATTTGCACCAGAGATATTCAAGCGCGAAATCGTGAAAACCATGTCTGATCGCCTTTTGTATTTATGAATATGATGATAGAAAATTCTAATGCAACTAATTGTATACTTGCTTCGTGGGAAAGATAGGCATTTAAGATAAGTGTTGGTATTGTATTTGGTTTACTTTAGTCAAGCCTTTATTCGCATGTAAAAAGAAATCGGTTTATGCACATATTTAAACGGGTTTAAATTCTACGACACAGTAATCTATGTAAATAAGTATGTAGGCAAGTATTAAAATCGTAAAAACACTGAAAAAAATATTTATTCATTTTCTTGTGTCATTCTTATTTATTAGTAAAGATAAGAATAACAATTGTGAATATGGGACCGAATTGTGCTCGATTTATACTTGTGAGTTATAAGTTATTAGTTCACCTTGCGTAGCATGAGAGCTATTGAATTCCTCTTGTCCGTCCGTCTGTCTGTGTGTTCACGAGTTTTTTGCCTCAATTGATGCTAATTAATACATAAGTCCCAAGACCATTTCAACCCTAATTTGTAGCACAATTGGTATCAAAAAATCGTTAACTCAAAATGGTGCGAAATAATTGGAGGAATCGATGTATTCTGCACCAATTGTTAGGATTAGCTGAAAGTTCTAGTCATTTCGGCTGCACCATTGGTGCAATATTATATCAATTTTTTTATTTCCCGTTTATTCTGTAACCATTGGTGCAAAATTATATAAAAATTATGAATCTATTTTATCCACTTATTTTGCACCTTTAGTGCAAAATTATATTCAACTAATTATTCCAGGGTGAGCTACTTCTAACGTTACAACGGTTTATTCTTATCTTAATATTTCATTTGCTCAAGTCTTGTGATCTGATGATCCATGTTTATACTTTTATACTTTATTTTATCACAAGCATTTCTATCTATTTAAGTTCTTCCAACAAGTCACCGCCAGCCAGTGTTTCTGCTGTTAAAAAACACCTGCGCGAAATTAGTGCATAAAAATGTTTTTAAACGTTTGATAACACCCATCAAAAATCCGGAAAAGTGCATGAAAATGCACGAAAATGCACGAAAATCATTTACGTGCAAATAATATTAGAATAAACCGTAGTAACGTTAGAAGTAGCTCACCCTGGAATAATAATCAGGATATAGCTTTGCACCAAAGGTGCAAAATAAGCGGACAAAATGGATACATAATTTTCATATAATCTTGCACCAATGGTACAGAATAAACGGGGGATAACGGAAATTTGATATAATGTTGCACCAATGGTGCAGCCGAAATGGTTAAAATTGGGACTAAATTTTGACACGATTTCAACAGGCGAGGCTAACTTACACTTTCAGTTAATCCTAACCATTGGTGCGGAATATATCGATTCCTCCAATTATTTCGCACCATTTTGCGTTAACAATTGTTTGATACCAATTGTGCTACAAAGTAGGGTTAAAATGCCCGTGGGACTTATTAATTAGCATCAATTGATGCAAAAATATCGCTAACAGACAGACAGACGGACGGACGGACAAGAGGAATTCAATAGCTCTCATGCTACGCAGGGTGAGCTAATAAACCGTAGTAACGTTATTAGCTCACCCTGCGTAGCACGGGAGCTATTGAATTCCTCTTTTCCGTCCGTCCGTCTGTCTGTTAATGACCTTTTCGCATCAATTGATGCTAATTAAAATGTACCAGGTCCATTTTATTATAAATTAATAGCACCATTGGTGTCTAACAATTGGTAACACAAAATGATGCGAAATAATTGGGGGAAGCGATGTAAAACACACCAATAGTGCAGAATATCCGGAAAAGATAATCCTACAATTTTGACATAAAGTTTCCAAAGTTAAATATGGCCCTTGGTTTCTCATACTGCGCAGGTGGTGCATTCTGTTTCGGTTAAACTGCACCCTTTGTGCAAGAATATATAAAAATTATGATCTCTTTTGTCGGCTTATTCCGCACCTTTGGTGCAAAGTTATGTGTAAATCATTATGAACCTTATCCTCGCCTTATTCTACACTATTGATGCAAAAAATCTCAAAATTCTACACCTACATATTCCGATTATAATGCACCATTGGAACCAAATTATAGAGTTTTATACTTACTTTGTGCACTTATGCGGCACCATTGGTGCAAAATTGTATACATCCTAATTTATATTGCAGGGTGAGCTACTTCTAACGTTACTACGGTTTATTAGCTCACCCTGTCATAATGATTTCCATATAACTTTCCACGAAAGGTACGGAATAAGGTGACAAAATAGATTATAACTCTCATAGATTATTGCACCAATGGTGTAATATAAACGGAAAAATAAAAAGAAGAACGAAAATAGTTTGCACCACTAGTGGAACATTAGCGACCAACGGGGTACATAATTTTGAAAACTTTGAAAAAATTGTATGGTTCTTTCTCCCGATATTCTGCATCATTGGTGCGTAGGACATCCATTCCCCAATTATTTATTATAAAATTTATATATTTTAGCGTCAATGGTGCAGGAAAATCGAACAAATAGAACAGATTTTTGGGGGGAAATAGATGGTCCAATTGTTACGCCTCATTGATTTTTGGGGGTAAATAAAGGGCCCAATTGTTACGCATCATTTTTAATAACCAATTGCTCGATACTAATGGTGCTACTTATTCCATAATTATAGTCCTATCTCGATGTACTTGCACAATTAATTCGCACCATTTACGCCACGGATTATTCGATACCAATGGTGCGCCGAACTTATCCAATAATGGTCAAGGGGATTTTTAATTAGCATCAATTGATGCAAAAAACTCGTTAACAGACGGACAGACAGACGGACAGACGGACAAGGGGAATTCAATAGCTCTCATGCTACGCAGGGTGAGCTAATAAACCGTAGTAACGTTAGAAGTAGCTCACCCTGGAATAATGATTAGAATATAGTTTGGCACCGAAGGTGCAAAATAAGCGGACAAAATGGATACATGCCACGCCGTGGCGTGGCGCCAAACTTATTTGGCGAATGTGGCGCCACGCCATGGCGCCAAATATGACTTTTGCACGTATATATCCATGGATCGTTCACCTAGGGTCCTAGTAGATTAAAAAAAAACATAGTGGGTACCCTGAACTCGTGGAGCAGTCGGGGACCTTCCCTTGTTAGTATTTATCTTACCTATGTACATATGTAGATATATGTACACATGCATAAATGTTATAAAAAATTGGAAAGCGTATGCATAATATTTTGAAATGAACAGGACGAATTGGACTATGACTACAAAAATAGAACCAAATTAAAAAATTTTACTAGATTATGTATTAGTATTTATACATACTAATTATGCCAATACACACACGTATTTACATATATACATAGTGAATGTCAATACTTTCACAGAACACATGCAAAAATTAATTCATGAATATTTTCCAATACAAGTTGAATGCCATGCATTTATCTCAATAAAGAATAATTTAATACAAAGGTATGTAAATTTATGCATGCAACAGGAAACTTGGAGTGGGCAACAAAGTGAAATCTCAAACCTCTTAAATCTATGTACAAACATAAATAAGTACTTATGCATGTAACGATAAATAATTCCAGAATCTATCTACGTATGAATTTGTATGTGCATTTCATGCCAAGCAACTCAAGTATCAGTCACACGATATTTTTAACAAGAAGTTCCGAATTCTGTACAACATATATGTATATGTATGTACATCCCTCGTATGTTTTTATGTACATACATATTTAGATGAAGTTTTAATATCAACGTGGGATTATACCAAATATGAATATGTACTACTCAAGCCTTTCCTTCCTTCACTCTACATGCAGTCCACGACAGCTGAATTAGAAATATTTAAGACATTTGTCTAATTTCAACCATTACATACTTCACGTACACGCTTGCACTACATATATCTTGCAAATATATACACAAGTTCCTGAAATATTGTGTCCACTTATAAAACAGGTAAATACATAAATTACATGCAAAAATCTGGTATATATTTACTATCTAAATGCATTTCTACCTACACAAACTTTCCATACATAATAAAAATTACTGAATTGATCTGTTCAATACTTAAAACTAATTCCAGTTCCCACCGTCGCTATGGGCGCCACACAAACGACCTTCTGCAACGAGGCGGCCATCCCGATAAGCACGGGCTTATCGGTCGGCGTCACGTACTACTTCACCGCGACGCTCATCCCCAATTGGTGCGTCACCTATGACGTGGGTCGCGTCTGGTTCACCGCGTTCGCGCATATCCCCTCCCTCTACGACCCGCCCCTCAGATTTAACCAGCTTTACTTCCTCACCAACGAAACGACCGCGGTCGGCGCGCAGTTTACTTACGGTCCGCTTACCTTCCGCAAGCACCCGTTTTGAAGTACATACACCTCTCGAAGGAAGACGCCACGTATCTCATGGCCGCAGGCGAGGGTTTTGTTAAGAATAATTCCCGGGACGTGCCCAGAGCCATATATGCCGCGTCGGCCAGTGTGTATACAGCCTCGATGGGCTATTATGCCGGAAAAAGTCACAAAATCCATGTCTCTGGTGGTCCCACGCGGGTTATAACATCAATTGACGATTATAACATTCTCGTGCATATTTTACCTTTTAGGCAAAAATTTGAACCGTTTGTGATGCATATTGATTGATTGTTAAGCTGTGTGTGCAAAGGTTTCATCGGGTTTTTCCATTTCGTAATTTTGTATATTATTTTCGAATTAAATGCCCACCTTTGAAATGGCATTGGTTCCATAACTCGTCAACCCATTGGCCTTTGTTTCGACTTGTTTCATCCACTTTACAAATTATTTCGATATGTATATATACATTTCGATGTGTATATATTATTGAATTATTTCTAACTGACAGAAAACAATTTGTTTACATGAAATGTAATAATAGATGCTGTTCTTCTGATACGTTACCGACAAATATGGGTGTGGCTCAAGGTCTATGTTTAAGCTGTCTTTTGTTTCTCATAATGATGAATGACCTGCCACTATGTATTTGTAATTCTTTGTGTATAAAATTTGTGGACGATACGGGAATTTTAATCTCTGGTGAAATTGGTAATATTTCTGAAACTGTTAGCAAACTTGAATCTGATTTATTAAATATATGTAATTGGATGAAAAGTAGCAGGCTTGAACTGAATAATGATAAATGTGAAATGATGGTCATTGCTGCAAAAAAACATATCCAATATGTTCAGGATATTAGTGTTAAACTGGATGGTGTACCCATGAAAAGAGTTAATTTTATAAAAATTCTCGGTATTATAATTGATAACGATTTAAAATTTAATTTACAATGTGATAAGGTAGCGGAGAAATGTAACTTTGCGTTATGGTCGCTATATTCATTAAAGGGAGTCCTCGATGTAAGACATAAAATAATGGTGGTGCAAGCCTTAATTTTACCTATTATAATGTATTGTTGTCCGATTTGGTTAGTTGGGAGTAGCAACTTAAAATGTATTAATAATATTTTACGAAGATGTGCCAGGTTTGTGTATGGTAAATCTAAATTTGACAGCATTTCTGATGAAATCATTGTAGATCTCGAGTGGTTAAATGCAAATTGTTGTAAGTTTGAAATGAGTAAAATTGCCTTTAATATGTATAATAATATCGGACCGGGAATTTTCCGGGACTATATTTGTCAAGAGAAAAGAATAGTAAGGGCAACAAGAACTGTAACGTATTCTGAGCCTAACATTATATGTAATGGATTAATGAGAAAGTCATTTCAATATAGGGCGTCAAAAACGGTACTGAATTTACCGGTACGAATCACTGAAAAGTTAAGAAATCTAAGTATAATTGAATTTAAACGACTAGTTAAATGTGAGCTTGTTCATGAACAATGTACCGAGAGAATGGTGGAATTATTTGATATTTTAGACGATCATGATGCACTTGGATAAATTGTATTATTTATTTTCTTAAATCTAGTGTAATGACAAATTTTTTACCTTGAGGCGTAATAACCCAGCATTGGGGTGTCTCATTGAAATAAATAAATCAAATAAATCAAATATACATATGTCTGCACATCCGTTTCGATATTTTCGTCGCATACTTATTTATGTACGGAATATAACCTAAATTACCTAAATATTGTATAACCTAAATAAACATAGGAGTATTGGAGTTTTATTTATGCAGAATAAATATATCTAAAAAATTGTTTCGTGAATAATTACGGTTGAAATTAATCCAGAAATAAAAGAAAATATCACAATTGATGAGTAAGTATATTTTTATGTGTTGGTAATTAATAAATAAAATGTTGTTCCATAAAATGAGTGTATATTGTCAAGCAAGCCAAGTTAGTGTGTTATAACCAGACGTCGGATATGAATGATCGATAAAACCTCAAAATATGAATGACAAATGACCGTAGAAATCCCCAAAATATGAACATAAAAATGACTTCATTTTTTTAATTTTTGGTTGCATTTTTTGATACATTTTCTTGTGATACTCAATTTTTATCAAGAAAACAATTTCTGGGGTGATTTAATTCATTCCCAGTGAATTAATCACATTAGGCGAAAGTGAGTGTAAATTTCTGCAAGTTTCTCACATTGAATCATTGTGAGAAAACTGAATTTTTTGTCATTTTCTGTCGATTTGGTTGCAAAATCTTAGAATTTGATCAAAAATGATAAAATGAACGAAAAAAGCCCGAAATATGATCGGGAATATGAATATGTCCCAAAACCCGAAAATATGACAAATATGAGAAAATATGCTTTGACCTGCGTGACCTACTAGTGACCGTAAACATTCTGTGAAAGTTTGGCGACTGTAGGTCAATAAATGGGAAAAGTCATTTTTCATTCATATCCGACGTATGGTTATAACTTGTAAACCAGTCTAATCGACTGAATGTGGCTAACACTTGAAGAAAGGTAAATTGAATTGAGCAACTTTGTTCATCTTGTCGGGAACCCATTCAAGAATAACTACTCGTAGGAATAAAGAATAAATTATTTCTGCTAAAAATTGAATTCAAGAGGATACTGGGATCTGGATAAAACAAAAATTGGTAAAGTTATCAATTTATTTCCGAAACAGTTTCAAACTTTGACATCTTCTGAGATTCGCCAATCAAAAGGAATGAGCAAGTTCGAAGGCATAATCTTCAATTTACTGTAGTATTGAGAATCAATGCATTGCTAACAACTTGTGCCGTCTGTGATAAGTATTAAGAGCAAAAATAAGATACGTATCGTTCGATAAGTATTTACAGAAATATACAGATCGATATGTTTAGTTCAAAAATAAAATGTTTAACATGCAAATCCGATTTACATACAAGCATCATATACTTAAAACATGCAACAAGAACCATGGAGTGAGTAACAAAGTGAAATCTCAACTCAGGATCCTCCTCCTCAGCTTATACATAAATCATTTCAGGATATTAATGTGAATCCAGATCCAGATATGAGCAATCAACATACATTTAAAGTTGTATATAAAATAACTGAATGTATGTACAATCCATGTAAATATCTATGTACATATTTACTTATACGGGTTAAACCAGTCCTACTCATTCTCTCACCCTGAACAGCTGAATTGTTAATAAATATTCTAATTTTGCAAATCGTTTACAACCTTTGCTTGCACAATTACTTGTTTACATATAATAATAAATTCCTGAAGTATTGTACACATGCAGACGTGAAACAAATAGGTAAACATGTGTATTATCCAAATATATTTACCTATGTATATGCACATGCGCGGTTAAAAATGCACTACAAATTCGCGAACACGCGGAACTGCTGCCGGAATCACAGACTCCACTTGAAAATGTAGCGTTTTCGCGGACTTGGGACGCCCCTACCTTGCTAAATTTTTCGCATCTGTGCAAGTTCCGGACTAAATGTTGTTCATAAAGAGTTGCTATTTTAAACAAACATGGTCAAAAAATAATATGGGTTGAACATGGTTTGGTTCCCCCATTGTCAGTAGAATTTACTCTTTAACTTTACTCTTTAATTTACTCTCAAGTCAACTTTAACCTGAATTTAGGATAGTTTACTTGATTTAAAATTGAGACTATTCACTTTTTAAAAGGGCTACAAATTTTTAAGTGTATGTATGTACATATAAGTTATATTTATATATATATATATATATTATATATATATTTACTTTATTTAACAACACAAATGCATTTTTAATTTTTCCCCACAGCCTTAAAATGGGCGCCACACAAACGACCTTCTGCAACGAGGCGGCTGTCCCGATAAGCACCGGCTTATCGGTCTTGGTGACGTACTACTTCACCGAAACACTCCTCCCCGGACAGTGCATAACTTATCACGTAGGCCGTGTCTGGTTCACGGCGTTCGCGCACCTCAACTCTGGCTACGACCCTGACGGCGCACTCGAGCAAATTTACTTCTTGACCAATGAAACTACTGCGGTCGGAAGACACATGGAGGCTCCTACATACATGAACGTCACCAAGGACGAGGCCAAATACATCCTCGAGGAAAGTGACGGTTTCGTCCGGGATGATCCTGAAACCGTGCTGAACTCCATGAATGCCGCGTGGAATAGCGTGTACACACTCTGGATGGGATATTATGCCGGAAGTGATCACACCATCCGGGTCACGGGCGGACCGAAGAGGACGATTCCGAAAATTGACGGTTATAAAATGCACGTTCATATTTTACCTTTTAAAGAAAAATTTGAAAAGTTTCAGTTACACATTGTTTGATTCTGACGGGGCTCATAGATACAAACCTGTTCAAAAGTTTAGTTTTCATTCAAGAGTTAGTCATCCCGAATTCTAACGGAAGTTCCCAGTCATTTCGTTTAAATCCAGTTCGTTTCACTTCATCGGACTTTATTTCCTTCTTAGCCCCATATGTTAAGCATAGGGTGAAAAATTAAATGAGTTAAAAAATTTTCATTTATAATAATTCATCTGAAATGACGGAATCTTTCCGTCATTTTCATTCAAATGAACGGAAATGCATTTTAATTCACTAGCATTCACTATCAGTCAAATGAATCAAGGCGAACAGGTATGTAGGGGTGTTTTCTTTGCTAATTGTCGTGTTCATGATTCGGTTTGGATTTCGCCAGTGGCGATATTTACGTTACGTTAATACCTATAGAAATACATAATGTATAAGTGTTACTTAATAAAAAATTGTAATAAACTGTATGTATCTACAATATTTTGAAATGAGCAGTACGAGTTCGGCTATCAACACAAAAATAAAACCAAATTTAAAAATTGTACTAGCATATGTATTTACATATTTATACCCACCTTGTGTATGTACTAATTATACAAATACGTATGTACGTACATAAATAGGTACATAATGAATGTCAATACTTTCACAGAACACATGCCCAACATTAATTTATGAATACTTATTTTCCAATGAAAATTGAATCTCCTGAATTTATCATGAACTAAAAATGGCAAGATTAAAAAATCGAATACAAGCGTCCAATTGGCAGTGAAAATTTGAACTGAGCACATTCGCTGTTTTCCACGAGTTATGCATTGTGTTGCTGCACGAGCAACAAATTGTTTTAATGTTGGTAATAATTTTTCGTTTTACTAAAGTAAAAACATAATTGTTGGTAATAATGTTGCACCAATGATGAATGGTAAGCCGGATTAATAGGTACAAAAGCCTTTCATAGTTATGCATTAATGGGCGAGAATAAGCCAGGTAAATAGATACGTAATTTAGACAGAATTATTAACGGTTCTCACCGATCGTGCAACAATTTCTAGATTTACGAACCGTAACTACATGGAGAATTTTTCAAGCATGTTGCACCAATGATGAAAATAAGCCGGATTACTATGTACATCATATGTACATAATCTTTGCATCACAATGCATTAACAGGCCGGAATAAGCCAGGTAACTACACGCGTGATTTAAACAGCATTTTTAAAGATTTTCAGCGATTTTCAGCGATTTCGAGATTGACGAACCGTCACTACATAAATAATTTTTCAATAATTTTGCACCAATGATGAAAATAAGCATTTTTTAACTAATGGCATCTTATCCAACGCATAGATTAACAAAACTTAAATTACGGATATCCGGAAAATAAATAAAGTCAAAATAGAATTATCTTGTCGGATTCGTTCATTATAAAAAAAATAAAATCCTTCCAAAAATAATACTTATGCACAGTTCAGCTCTAATAATATTTTATGATAAGAAATAAAACAGAGAACGTGATTTTATACAATTTTATGCAACACGTACATATTTACATACATTTGTATACAGGTGAAAATTAAACTGATTTGATGCGGCAGATTAAAAATTAATCCGTGCATAATTTGAGATAAATACTTACATAGACTCGAGACTCGAGATTTAATCCGTGACGTAAATAGAAGGCGAATTACATTTAAAAAGCTGTTAAAGCAAAGTTAAGTTTAAGTTAAATTTATCAATCAATAAATTCCAGCCATTATTTGATTGAGGTACCGCATAAATCACATGTAATAATTTGCATAAATACGCCAGAAATTCAACTACTTTTATGCGGTAGATAAGAAAGTAAGTATGATTTCAAATTAATTTATGCGGTGCCTCAAATCCATAATAACTGGAATTTATTGATGGATAAATTGAACTCGTCTACCATTTGCGTCATAGACAGTTTAAACCTCGGATTAAATAAGTATCTCAAATTAAACGAAACTTGCTTCACTTTGTAAGCAGACTTCAAAGGTTTACCAATTATTTTGTGGGTTAGAAATTTTACGAAAATGAAGGCCCTGTTGGTTTTCCTTTTGACAGTGATTGTCTCATTGCAGGCAATTCCGACGAATGTCGAAGTTTCGAAGGTTGGGAGTGGTGATGAGGGCTTTTCAGCCAGGGTGCATCCCCCAGGAGAAGATGTGATCCATCTCAACTTGAGAAAATCAGGTGCAAAACTATTTAAACATACGGTCCCTACTATGGAATTATTGCTACGTGTCATTTTATTTGCATAAATCTCACTATGCTCAATGTAGAATAAATGCGTGAAATTGGTACATATGTGCATATATAAATAATATGACTAGCCGCAAAAATTCTACTGTATGAATTTCACTATTTGTTTAGAAAATCTATAAAATTTGTGTAACGTATATTTTTTAATTTGAAAAGCTTCCCTGTTTTTCACGACAACTTCAAAATTGTATCTGTCCGAAGACGTAACGTCACTGCGGATACTCTTTACGAGGATGTCACACCCTCTAAAAATGCCCTGATGGAGATGGAAAACTCCATTTTGGAGGATCCAGAGCAAAATGCGGTCGTTAAAGTTAACCCGGATGGGAATTATCTGGTACCCAAGTAATTATTATGCAAGACTACTGATCATCCGAGAAAAATGTGACCCTAGAAATTCTAAAAGGTCACTTGGTGCAGTTTGCTTATTTTTGTTATTTTATCCCTTATAGAAATTTATTTCGATGCTAGAATTCAAAGTTGCTAAGATATTCCTTAAAATTATTTGTACATAGCTGCCACGTAAGATTTTAGAGAAAATTGGCTCGGCGAAGGCCACATTTTTTCGGATGAACAGTAGATAAAAATTCTAAACTTTTTTGCGAATTTTCAAAATTTCATATAAAGCTTATTACCAAATACATAAATAAATTGCTCACTTAATCTATCTTTATTGCTAATTATATCACTCAGCGAGGGATAGTTAATGGCCGGCAGATAAACCATGATGACGCCGGTGTCCACGAAATTGGAGAGCTTACCACATTTGCCGATCAAAACGCAGATTTCGGTATAAAATTTTACTATTAAATGATAAAACGTTTTTGTCAAAAACCAAGTGATAAAATGTTCTGCCGGTACTTCTTTCTAGTAAATATTCCCGGCGATGGGCAAGATTGGTTGAAACAAACAAACTTAAACAGTAGGACGATCGGCATCCAAACTTTGGCCGTTGTTGAGCTCGGTTTGGTCGTCGATTTCTCACTTTTCACTCTTTTTAACGGCGACATTTCCACGATTACGGAATATTATGCCATCTTCGTGAAAGGAGTCAACAATCTGTTTTCCGTCGTAGGAGATCCAAATGTTGCGTTTCAGTTGGTGGGAATTTACGTGATGGAGGTAATATTTTTGGGGTATTGGGGTTTTGCAGTGCTTGGGGGGTTTTGGGGTAGTAAATATATATGAGCAATTCCAACGGGTAGTCGGGATTTTCACCTTTAATTAAGTATGATAACAGGGTTTTACAACAATTCTACGAATTAATCAGTGATTAAAACTTAATTAGTAAGCAACTTTGTTGCGACATGTCTGGAAAGTAAGATTGTTGTCACAATTTATCCTCAGTTTGCTTTAGGACTGCCAATAAGTTGAGTTGAGTTGAGGGTTAACTCAACTCAACTCAATAAGAAAAATCACCGACTCAAACTCAACTCGACTCAAATTAGTCTCAACACAAACTCGACTCAGCTCAAATGTTGACGACTCAAACTAAACTCATATCGACTTGCTTCTTTTAGAGTAAAATATTTATTTCAATAAATGAGTTCAAAAGGGGTTAGAAATCTCGTTAAACGTATGATTTTTAAATAAAATTTCCGTTGAGCACGATATTGGTAGTCGCTAATTACAATTTTCATCTACAGAAGACTATAATCTACAAATATGAAATTGTTGTGTTAATTTCGATAAGCTAATCAACAAATCGGTATATGATGACGACGGGTATGGAGAGGACAGTTTAGTATGTGTATTTGTGTAACGGTGTAATTTTTCATTCAAAATTTTTTGACAATTGCACATTTTTCAATTTTTTTTTCAACCGGCCCGGCGAATCCAATCTTGAAATATTTGGAGAGAAAGTGATTCCCGAGGTTGCAAATGTGCAAAATCGAAAAATGTGAGTAATTTTAACACAAATCGCTGACTACAGATTTAGCAGCTTGCTTTCATCAAGGTGAAAATCTCGAAATGGACAAACTGGCAGTAAAAAAATCCTTAATGAGTTGACTCATGAGTCAACTCGAACTCATTTTCCGTAACTCAACTCAAACTCATTGTTTTTCAACTAATTCATTTCAAAGTGAGTCGAGTTATACTCTCGACTCAAACTCAACTCAACTCACTAACTCAATGAGTCAAATGAGTTGACTCGAACTCATTGGCAGTCCTAGTTTGCTTCGAAAATCCATACTACCCCAAAAACCCAAAAACCCGGGTAAAACCCGTGGGTATGCGTTTTCAAAAGCAAAACTCTTACCCTTAGCCTGATTGATGTCACATTCTAGTCTCGAGGTGTCCAACCGTTTGTGGAAAATTATAACAATTTTGATGGAAGTTTTGATATTCACGGGATTTTGGATGAATTCAGTAAGCACATTTCGCAATTTCGACGAATTTATGAGGTAAATTGTTGGCCGTCACGCTTATTTAACTTCCTGTGCGACTCATGTTTAAATCGTAGGTGACTACATGGTTACAAATGCCGCCAATTACGTCCCTTTTGATTCTGTGGGTTTAATGAGTACGGAAAATTTCGGATCCATCGGTGAGGTCGCGTGGTTAGGGGGGACTTGTCGAGACAGGGCCAAAACAACGGTAAACCGAGATGTGGGCCAGAGTTTTTCCGGGGTTAGAATTTTTGCGCATGAAATGGGTCACAAGTAAGCAAATAGAATTTTAATTAAGTGAAAGTATCCTCAAACTGTTTTTCTGCAATATTTCGGGATGTGGTGGATATGAAAATTGATTGGTTTTAGTCGGACTCTAATCTTAAACTATACATGTAGCATATAATTGAAGTGATACATTTATACTAACAGTGGGACCTTTTTTCAAGCTACACCAGGATTGGAAAGCGAGTTATATCATAAAAATCAAGCCAAAAATTAGGAATCAGGAGGCACTTACCTTTGCGTTCATGAAGTCATACAAACGTCCGCCCTGAACTTTGCTAGGAAATATGCATATTTCATCAAGGGGGTGTGATATGGGCCACGTGATTCATTATTTTTTGATATAACTCGCTTCACAAATCACAATCGCTATGTAGCCTGGAAAAGGTTGCATTGTAGGTAAGAATCAATTATGTATTTACTAGCGTATAAGCCCGTCTCCCGCCGTGCGAGCGAGGATTATAAGCTGCAATATTGAATTACACGAGTAAATGCTAAATGACCATGTCTAAACCTTTCACTCCCACTCCCACAACTTCATTTATGGTATCTTCTTCAATTTATTCACTTATCAGTCTCGGCTCGCCCCATGATGGTGAGGGCACCTCGGCCGCTTGCCCCTTGTCGGATGGATACATAATGCACACATCCGGAGGAATTGGAGATAGTTTAAATTTAGTGACTGTAGTAAGGCCGCCATGCGAAGTTATATTGCTTCCTCGGGATCCTGCCTATTCGAAAAGAACGCACCCGGTAATCCGCTCCCCGTTCCGGACAAAAACCCGGGAGATATATTCGACATACAAATGTACTGCGTAAAAGTCCACGGCCCAGGTTCCACGCCCATTGTTGAGGATACCATGTGTGATAAGATATGGCGCAGGTGGACCGGGCCCTGTGATCCGCCGAACGAAGATATGACCTGCAATTGGATTGGTACTGAATACCAAAATGCAGCCGATGGCGCACCGTGTGGAGATGTTGACGAGGGAAAGGTGAGTTTTTGAATTACGTAGATATGTGTGGGTACTCTGTGGGGTGACCAGAGACCAGCGGCAGTAGCGCATATTCTTAAATGAGCTCTTAAATGCTATCTTTTGACTCCTCCCCATCCGTAATGGTTCGTAACGGAATTTTAAAACGACCTACCTGCCTTTGAAGTGCTGCGTAATTTAAAATCGTCCTCTTAGAGGGGAAACAAATTTGAACCTGAATTTGAGAATTTGTGTTCAAATTTGAAATTTGAACTCGAATTTGTGCTAAAATTCGAAATGCCTACTTCAAATACAGCACTGTTTCTTGGGGAAATGTGTGACTGATGCGGAACTACCGACGACCATTACCACTACGGTCGCACCTTCGACCACAACAACCGCGCGAAGTACGACCACCCCAATTCCTGGCTTTACTTGTACGGTTGCCGGAACATTTGCTTATCCATTAGATTGCGCAAAGTACATGAGATGTGTAGCGATTATGGAGAGCCTGTACCCTTATTTGTACACCTGTCCAGCGAAACATGTATTTAATTTGAGCAGAAGCCTTTGTGTAATCGGAATATGTTAGTCATTACTCATTAGGTAACTTTTTTTGAAATATGAATCAATAAAAGGACAAATTTTGAATTAACTAACACGGTAAACGAAATTATTTTGTAAAATTTGATAAACTGCAAATCAGGGTTCCAAAATTGAGGCAGTGGGGAATCAATAGTCCAAAATAATTTTATAAATTATATCCAGTCACCAGTCATATTATTGTGGATTATTTATGGATACGAAATTACGCAAAGTTTAAACCATCATATTCGTACATCGAAATCGTTAAAGTGCGAAATATATGTAATATGTCTGACATGTGCACATATTTTTTGATAAAGTTTCTGTCAAATGATGAGTCATCGTTGATGACCCTTAATTTGACGATAGTTTGACCCAGCATTACTTTCAATATTGTTAATACTACTCTGATTACGTGATAAATATGTATACTTCTCAATACTGAGCGGTATTATTTTTATGCTGGATTCTAAAAGTATTATAATGTCTGCTTAATTTTATGCATCATACTTTTTTTATTTAGTCCTAGCGACTCACGGCTACATCAGTTAATTTCCGCCCTCAATTACTCATCAACTCTTATCCTTAATTACACACCTAGTTGCACTTTTAAATGGAAATCGTCTAATAAAAATTATCAGTTCTCGCTTATCGGTAACCGGACATATGCATCAATCACCAAAGCTTTTTCGGAGAAACGAATGACATGCTCTGTTTAATATTGTGACCAATTAGTGTTTACAGAATTATGTATGTACACATGTGCACAGTGGCGGGTTTAGCCAGCTCGGGGCCCCTAGGTGACTTTCTTGTGACGATTTTTAATATACTTACAATGTGCAGACATGGGCTTCTCGGACTTTGACCGTTAATTTTAATGCTCAGCAACAAAGAAACCTACAGTTTTGCTTATTCATGCATGCGAGTGTTTTCGCGGAATTTTTAATTAAATTTCGGACAAACTACGGACTTTCCAAAACCCTATCACTTTTCTTATTTTAAGCCGATGTGACAAATTCAAAACGTAGCTTTCTGAAAATTACCTACTTCAAATTAGGAAAATACATTTCTAAAAACGTCTATCATTTAATATTTTCATTCATGTATTTGTAAATTTTAACAAATGCAAAAGAAACTCAAATTACTGAAAATTTGATGTTTTTGAGAACCAAATTTTGTAAAATTAGGTAATATAATTCTGATTAAACTGTACTTTAATGTTTGGAATTTGTTTAAAATTTGAAAGGCTGCAGCTTGTTTAAAAAGTCATGATGAGATGTTGAAAATCAATCAAAAATTCCTTCACGGGTGGAAAAACTTCACGGGTGGCAAACTAAATGCAAAATACGGGCTCTCTCATTTATTTGTGAGGGTGAATAACTTAATGTTAGTTCAGCGAAAATGTCCTGAGCATGCCTATAAGTTAAGTTACGTAATTTTTTCAATTTAATTAAATCATTAGTTCTAGCTTGACGGTAAAAATTACATTATTTTCCAAGAACTAATCTGATTTTCGTTCGGCAAGACGGGAAGCCAAGAATTCGCAACCCGGGCAACGCCTAATTTATACTCGTCACTTTAGCGTCATTTTAATTTCACTTTCACGATCAACTCAATTTATAGATTTTCGGTTTCATTTTGTTGTCACGAAAAATTAACGCCATGCTAACAGCAAGATGATTACATTTTATAGTTGCGTTCATTTCATCTTGCTTTCATTTTGGTTTCATTTTCACGCCGTTTTCCAAAGTTGAAAGTGTTTCAACTTTTGCAAATGAAAATGGCGTTAATTTATTCATAATCAACTGTAACTATGGTTGTACTATATCAGGCTGCATTGTAGGGTTTGTATATACATATAGGTAATGTACTTTTACTTGATACTAGGGCATCCAAAATCGGTTTTTCCGATTTTGTAAAACCGGTTAAAAACCGGTTTTTCCGATTTTGTAAAACCGGTTAAAAACCGGTTTTCGATTTACCCGAAAACCGGTTTTATAATTTTCCAGAAAAACGGTTTTGTAAAAACCGGTTTTATCACACTCGAAAACCGGTTTTCGATTTTTGATAAAAATTGTTTTAGAACCACTAAATATTTGTCATTTCTTGTTTTTCGTCCAAAAATAAATTGTTCTGAAATATTTTTTTCCAAATTAATGCCCTAAGTGTGTTCAACTTTAAATTTTACCACTTTATATTTATCAAATTTCTTAAATTTTGTAGAACCCGGTTTCAAAAACCGGTTTAAAACCGGTTTTGGAGAAAATCGAAAACCGGTTTTACGAAAATTTGAAAAACCGGAAACATACCTGTGCAGCTTCACTCAATTTAGGCAGATTGAGGCTTCATTCACGATGAGGGAATGAAGGAGAGTGAAGCTGAGTGAGGGAGTTGAAAATTTTGATCGAGTGAGTGAAGGTGAGTGAGGGAGGCCCAAGCGAGAAATGAGTGGAATGAAGAAGGGTGAAGGAGATGAAGGCTTCATCACTTCATCTCTTTCACTCGTTCATCTACGGGGAAGAAGGGTGAAGGAATGCAGGGTGGATAATTAGTTTACATACTCAAATAAGCGTGGCAATATTCACTTACTACCGTCCCTTATTACCCCAGAAAATTGTCACTGTGCCCCAGTCAAATCTCACGTTCCCCAGTCCAGTCTCACAATGCCCCAGTCCAGTCTCACGTTGCCCCAGTCCAGTCTCACGTTGCCCCAGTCTTGTCTCACATTGCCCCAGTCGAATCTCACGTTGCCCCACCAGGTGGCGCCAAAATATTTAATTTATGATGACACGAGGGACTGAATTGAGTGAAAGAAAGAGTGAAGGAAATGGATGAGTGAGGGGAATGAATGGCGTGTTAGGAATGAGGGAGTGAAGGGAATGAAGGAGTGAGAATGGGATTTATCAGTGAGTGAAGCCTCACTCAGCCTTCCTTCACGTGAGTGAGGGGAGTGAAGGGCAACTTTACTCGAGGTGAAAATGAGTGAAGTTGAGTGAAGCGCAACTCACTTGCACAGGTATGACCGGAAAAATCGAAAACCGGTTTTACGAAAGTTTGGCAAAATCGGAAAAATCGAAAACCGGTTATTCAAAATTTTCCGATTCTGGATGCCCTACTTGATACGTCCTGTATCCTAGGTTTTACTTCGTTACATCTTAAATATTTTTATTTCATTTTGCTTTTCTGAACCAATAGGGAAACAATTTGGATTCCTTCCAAATTCGGGATTTTAATTTTTAGTTGCTGTGAACGGAACATCAATATTTCATGAATTTCTGTGAAAAAGTATAAATTGCAAAGATGAAAATGACGAGAAAGCTATAGTAAAATGAAAACTAAATTAAAATGAAATGACGAGTATATATAAACACGAGGTAACAGATTAAAAAAGACTAGATTAAGATAAATTTAATAATTTAACTTTTTTATTGGACCAAATAAATATCCACAAAAGCATCAATCGCAGGAATACGTTAAAAGTCATGTATTTTGGCTAGCACGTCAAGGGGCCCCCAATTTTATTAGAAATTATTTATCTGGCAAACATACAGAAATTTTGCGGAATCACATGCAAAAGTTATTGGAGCCCTTAGTTAGTACCTTATTCGTTTATGTGTACATTATCTACCTATATATGTAGCTACTTATCCCTTGTTCGTGGTTTCGCAAACTACCTGAACATGAGTAAATACCACCAATTAATTCCTATACTTGCATTGCTTTATTACCCTAGAATTTATTTTTAGAAATTCGCTGGGAACTCTTGTAACTGTTTACGCATAGTCCCAACCGGGACTATGCGTGCGGGCCCCGCTGCGCGAGGGCCCCTACGTCAGAAATACCTCACCTCCCCGGCTTACCCGGTACTGCACCGAGATGACGCAAGGCTGGGGGCCCCCGTTGCGCGGGGGCCCCTAGGTGTCACCTATGCCACATACCCGGTTTACCCGCCACTGCATGTGCAAATAACATAAATTCGCTATCAGTTGCATGCATACATACATATTGTGCAAATTCTGCTCCTTTGACAGGATGGCTGTATGTGATCATGGTCAAGGCTAATGAATCACCTGCGAAATTGACATCTATTTAATAACAACTCCCACCCAGTTATCAGTCACGTATTTACATAAATATGTAGACCTTGCACCAACACAATCTCTCCTGGCAACAGATTTGGATATGCAAAAATCCGTACTTAAGCGACTACTTTTCCACTCCAATAAATCATTCGTATTTCGGCAAAGCTGTAAATTTTGGCAAATTCGCAACCATTCTTTATACGGCAACCATGTCTCGAGTAATGCAGGCGGAGCCGAGGGGTCTCCAGTGGGTGGCCATGTCGCGAGGATCCTTCCCAAAATTCGCCGTGGAAGCGGGAATCGATTCTGGGAAGAAATTGTACGTCGCCAGAGCCTCCCACGCAGGGGGTGTGGTTCCTGGAAAACTGCACGTGGGTCATTCATCCGCATACATTGCGTATGACGGGAAGGAAATCAGCATGCCGAATTATGAGGTAAGATCTTTTTCTTGGTTTCTGTGTTTTTGTACACTCTAAACAAAGTTGTAAAACAATTACCCAATGTCTAGAATTACGCAGCAATTGGGCTAATTTTTTTTGTCAACCGTTGGATAAATTTTACACAAATTTTACCCAATTGTTGTCTCATCCTCTTTTTCTACTTAAAATTGAGTAAATTTTGCAGCTTTATTTAGGGTTTGGGTTTTATTAATATTTTACTTAATTGGTTTTATTAATTTAGGTCTTGATCGGACCCACGGCCAGTTTGAGCTGGGTAGAATCCAGCAATGGGCAGGTTCCGCAGCACGCCGTGATCGGAGGTACATACATATATGTATGTACCTCCATTCGGATATAGTAGAACTTTTACTGAAATTGGGATTTCTCAGAAACTACGGCACTGCCAGTCTCAAAGTTTCCCGTCATCATAACTTGAGGGAAATACCGACAGTGTCGAAGTTTCTGACAATTCTCAATTTATGTTAAAGTTCAACTGTGTGCGAATGGAGAGTACATAACTAGGCACACTATTAGAAATCTGGTATAGTCAGACTTCTCAAGTTACTACCGCTTGATGTTAAGACCATACTGATCCGTACAAATTTGTGACAAATAAGATAAAATTTTAGTAAAACTTTTGCAGAGGATAAGCTCGTAAATCTGACACCTGATAGAATTGTACATTCTTTGCTTTAATATCGAGCTATTTCTACACCGCTTTAGTAGTAGTCATACAAGAATATGCTTGGCGCTATTTTAATACTGAATTTCTAAGAGTGCATCAAAGTTCCTGAACACGTCTCTGGCTTATTATTTCGTACACATTTCATCAATAAAATAAATACTTACCCTTTTCTCCTCTAACTCCATTGTCCGATAAGTGCCATAAACACTGGCTGCTGCTCCAGTAAAGGCCCCAAACATTTGTCCCTGGGCCTAAATAAATCATCCCCAATTTTAATATTTTATAAGATAAGATGAATTTACATATTTCAGTGCAGTTTGATTTTAGATTTTACCTCGCTTGGATTCGAAAGGAATGAAGGTAGCCCAGAAAATCCACCTTTCCCGTTCATTGTTATAAATTTTAGTGCAAAGTAAGTGACAATTAGCTGATGAATTACTAAAATAAGGCTAAAAATCGGCGTTCCAACTTATACAGTATCTATTTAAAGTTTTTTCCAATTAAAGGCTAACTCCAACTGAATCCCTGAAATTTTACGACTCAACTTTTTGTACGGTACGAAATTGACCGTTGCCCTAATACAAACAGGATACAAATATTTAATTTTTAACGAAGTCCTCAATCTGAGCAAAAGTTTACAGAAGTAAGCAGTTCATGATAAGTGCAAACGGCCGTTGTGACCGATATAACCCGGTGAGTAATGAATGAATTATGTGAATGAACTTTATCAATGTTTGCACAAGTTTTATCTTAAAACTGAATGATTGTATTCACATATAAATGACTTACTGATTGAGTGCCTTACTTACCCGATTTACTACGTAATGCTTAAGTACGTAAATATTTTGCTTGTAAATATGTAAATATTCTATTTTTTAACCCATTTTGTGCAACCAGGTTTCTTTCATGTGTGAATATGTAAATATATAAATGGCCTAGTTTAATTCGAATGACGCATCTTAAAATTGTTAATAATGTATTTGCATGTGTTAAAAGTTTTTATTGTAATTCATAGACCACTCTGATAATAGGTTATGTACGTAAATGTACATATGTCGCTTAGGAAACATTTCGTTTAGGAAACATGATATGTAATTAATTACTAATCCTAAGTAATTACGTCAATCGTGTAATTAATTACAATAAGTACTTAATTACTGAATTACAAATTAATTAAATTTATATATATATAATCATGAAGGAAAATTTACTAAAGAACTGTAATTAAAGATTACGATGTTAATTAATATATACGCATTCCAACAACTCAAAACAGAAAATGAATAATAATAACTAGGAGCGTAATTAACGACAAAATTAATCTTCACGATCGTCTGAAACCGATCTTGTATAACATCATTGTCCACAATTATCATTCCAATTTTCAACATCAGTAATTAATTACCCTGTATGTATGTATGTATTGGTGGGGTGACGATCCTGCCATTGTTAGACAGGACCAGCCAGCTGCGTAAGCACTTATGGCTTATTGCAGTCTCCCCATACACGGCACGTGCCTTAATGTGCTGAATCCCCCTCTTTTTTGAGATTCTTGACCAAATCTGGCGAAATGAGTTCAAATTTTTGGCTGGAGTTTTTCGTTTACGATATTCCTTCTTACATAAAGCCCAAAATTTTTCAATAGGTCTTGCCTGGGGTACGTTTGGTGCATTATTTTTTTTTCCACAAAATCGATATTTTTCGACGCAAAGTACTCCACAACTGGACGAGAGTAATGACAACTTGCCATGTCCGGCCAGAAAAGAACATCCCTGTTTTTAATGAAGGGGACCAACCTCTTCTTTATGCACTCATTCAAATACCTCTCCGTGTTCATTGTGGCGTTGGTCACATAAGGTTTTGAAACGTTTCCCAAAGAGTCAATCGCTTGCCATACTAGGTACCGCTTAGGAAATTTTGACTTAGATTTATACTTATATTTTTCTGGTACGGTTTTTTTGTCAGTTGAAGAGTAGTACTTGGTGCCAGGAACGTCATTTGGATCAATTGGGCAGTAAGTCTCGTCATCCATGACAAGAATCTTGGATAACTTCGGGTCGAGTCGTTTCTCTGCAATCTTCCGGCAGTTGGTCTTTGACCTTTTCTTTTGCTCTTCGGTGTATTTAGGAGCTGATATAGCCTTATAAGATTTGATGCCCAACTTCTTAACTTTAATATTATGTACGGTAGTAGGCGATAACTTCAATTTGTGAGCTAAATTTCGCACCGACATTCCAGGATCCTTTTTGTACTCCTTGTCAACGGCTTTTATCGCTTTGGGGGTAGCCACATGGACTGAACGGCCAGATTTTTTTTTGTAATCAGCAGTTCCCCTCTGCTCATACCTCTGTAGTATACGACAAATTGTCGATTTTGGAATTTGTTGATCTATGAAGTGACTGTAGGTCAATTTCTTGGAGCGCGATACCACATTTTCGTAGTAGTGGCAGACGTCCCTTCCTAGTTGCTCGCTGGTTTTTGACCTCATTTTGGAACGGTTGGAGATACCGACTTCTGGTTTTCGGATTCGACTTGATGGATGCCTGTACTACAATAATCCCGCCATTTCGAATTTGGGGCACATTGATATCACGATGATATATGCATTTGACCAAAGTTGCATTACATCCGGAACACCCTCTATGTATGATTTGCAGAGTAAACTTTGGCATTTAGTTTGCTCAGTATCCTCAGAGCAACTTATGTATGCATTGATGTGGGTACATATTTATGTATGTATGTATCCATGTATGTTTGTATGTACATACAGGGTGGTTTAAATGTCAGGTTACAATAGAAATTTTTTCAATGGGAAACATTTGTAAATTTCCATTAGTTACGGATTTGGGATCGAGATTTTTATTAATTTTTATCAAAACTTATGGAACACTGATGACAAAATTCTTAAAATATTGAATTTCAGAGGCAAAATTTCAGTAACTAATGGAGATTTGCGAATTTTTCCCATTGCAAAATTTTCCATTGTAACCTGACATTTAAACCACCCTGTACATATGTATGTACGTTACAGAGTAAAGAGAAAAATTTTCACCAGCACGATAAGATAAAAATTTGGAGGAAACTAGGCTAATATCTGTATTTATCATAAATTAGGGCTTCAGTAATTATTCCCTCCCTTACAAATCTAGCATTAAAATAATACCAAGCGGTAAGATCATAGAGCACGACAATAAAATTTTAAAAGTAAATGGGTTACATGCAACCCACTTGAAACGTAAATATATCATAGTTTCAATTTTCCAAAACCAATAAAAGTTACGAATTTCGATTAATGAATATATTTATTTAGATAACTAACAAATTTGACAGTTTTTCAGACGACACAACCTGGTTATGTTTTATTATTAAAATTAAATCGTTGCTACCAAAGTTATTTTAAGACCTATTGTTTTTGATAAGACAACTTAATATGCATACATACATATGTAAGTTGGTCAATACCGCAATTAACTTATATATCGTAAAGCTTGAAAAGAATGCCAAATTGGTGAATGTGGATAGATACATATTTAGATATTTACATATTGTAAGTTCTAACGCAATGATGGATCTTCATTGAAGCATGCACTACACATATGTATGAACACTCTAAATAATTTGGCGACAAATCGTCACCCCCAGAGGTATTATAGGACTCTATTTTTGGGTAATTATAAACCATTCGTTTTGTCACTAACCAAAAATATTTCAGTCACGAAACAGGCAGGACTAAAAATGAAAATCCTCGTTAATCACAAAATTCAATCCTGATTTTTATTTTCATATGCTAAAAATCCTGGGTTCGGATAAAAATGTTAAGATTGTTTTCAAATTATGACGGCACGTGTGTTTGGTTCAGGAAATGTTGACTTATTTTCCATCGGTGACAAAATGTCTCCTAAATCACTGCCCAAAAAGAAGAGCACTACCATGCTTCGGCGAGTGTTTACAAATTATTTAGCGTGATTTATATCCTGAATTTAGTGTTTTTTATATAAAATTTCGCCCTCTGTGTATGTATATGTATCCAGTAATTTAATTCCCAAGTGTGTTTGTAGTTGAAATTGGAAAACCGGTCGATTTCAAAATACAGAATATTTCATATTATGGGTCTGCAAGTACACTAAAATATTGTGTAAAGCGGTGGTTTTTTCAGTCGTTCTGTTAGATCTGTGTACAGTCTTAAAAATAATGTTATCTTTTTTATTAGTAATTGCACCCTCAATTCTACATTAAGTAAACTATTTATACTTAACCCAGAGTAAACTTTACTCTTTATCAAGTTAACGTTACTCTACATTTGATATAGATTACTTATTTAATGTGAAATTGAGAGCCCCTTAATTACTGTTCAGTAGGGTGAAATTATTTTTAAGAGTGTATAAATGTCTTAGGTCGGGCTTCTTGAAAATAATTGCAGAATTGCACATTTTCTACATATCTATACACATAATCATCACGAATGAAAAAGTTCTTTGTTGCTTGCTGGTCATATGCACATACTTAAGATGAATAAATGGATATATGTTTTAATAATGTGAGGTACACTTTTTATTCATGGACATAATCAGTGGCCACTGTAGCCCTGGGGGACATTTGGGGACATAACTTTATATGATTGGGAAGGGAGATGATTATATATATTTATAACATGGGGAGACGATGGGGACATCGAAAAACCGTGGTGACATTGTCCCCACGCTTCCACGGCCACTGAACATACAGATTACATTACATCTTCCTCATTCCTGCTACACACGCATTTAAGATATTTATTATAATGAACTCTAAATAATTTAGAGACAAGTTGATAGGGTAAATTAAAAGTCAAATTCTTAAGCTATTCTTATGATTAAGGAGACGTTTTATCACCAACGGGAAGTACTTAAGTCAAAAATTCGTTCACGAAACACGCTTTCCCAATGGTGACATGACGTATCGCTAATTATTACTCAAAAATAAAGCACTGTAGTGCATCCGTGCATTTATCTCCAAATTATTTAGAGTGTATATTACATATTTTGACCTACCACAAACTCCATTAATGCTTATAAATAGAAGCGAGTTATTTTTGCTTCGTTTCACTTACCATCTTTCTCGTATTGGAAGCGCGTTTGTATTACTGGTTAAGCGCATTCCATTGTAAGTTTCCTAGAAAAAAAATAAAATTCTGAAAATTTCCATTCAGCCAAAATCGTTTTTTTGCATAGTGCTAACACGGATCTGTAGAGTTCAAAGATACCGGGATGGCTGCGGCGTCCATTCGTTATGAAATTATTACCGTGATTTGTGCATTCCTCGCTTCACAAGTCATTTCACATCCGGTAGCAGGACAGCCTGTTTCTGACTCAGCAACATTAGAGGTACGATTTGTGTAAAAAAAAATTTCTTCATTCAAAATTGGTTCAATGTCAAAATTGAAAAAAAATTGTTCATTCATTACTCATTTTTTCAAAATCTGATTTTTTCAAAATATTTTTTATTAATTTGATCTCAAATTCTCTTTATTAAATAAATTTCTCAATAAACCCTACCCATGTATTTATGTAGCATGGCGTACAAAATGATTAATGAATAAAATTATTCAGGAATATATTTATTGTTAATAAATGTGAAATGAATAAATAGCTATTCAATTTCCATTCGCTTAAAAATTTAGACAAATTATTCACCCATTATTCATGGATTTATTGAATAATGCATGAATAATTTATTCATTCCCTAATGAATTAATTAATACTGTAGTGAACAGGTATGTTTTATGCAATTAACGGCCTACTATATAATATATCATCCATATGCTAAACGTATTTTATTTATAACTTTTAACTTCCAGAGTGGCCCAGCTCCCAAAATCATTCCTTCTTCTCCTCAACTGCAACAAGAACCTTTTCTAAGTAACAAACAATGGGGGTACTCATCACGAATTCGTTCATAGTTGGCAACATTAGCAAAAAAACAAAGTTTACAAAATTCGCAAAAAATTACCTCGAAAATTCGTTAACGATCTTCAAGCCTAACAATTTTTTTAAACTATGTTAGGAGCAGCCGAAGTCATAATGAGAACCCCCAATATTTTTTTTTACTAATGTATACAATTTGCATGTTAACTAAAATGTAATTCAATAATATTTATCTCTGTTATTTCACAGAACCCAGCCATTCATCACCAAAACAAGGATCAAGAAGCAGTTTCTCGACGAGTGAGGCAACACCTTCAATTTCAATTTGGGCGCGGACATTCAAAAGAGCCCCATTCCCGGCCAAATTCTTCCATCGGTGGGGTCAAAGCTGAAAGTAAAAATGATCTCGCTGGAAGATATTTTTAGACTGATGGTGATTTTTATTAAACAACTTGGTTTTAAGGTTTTGACAGTACATAGGAGACATTCATACATATGTAATAATATGTGGTCAGAAGTGACCATACAAACTACGCAGAGTTATGCTCAAACGAAGTGTCCCTTCTAATGAGGCATAAAAACAAAAGGACCCTTTTAATCCCTTGTCCTGGGAAAAAGGTTGGAAAATGCTCAGCCCTCATAAAAGTCGACAAACTTAAAAATTGATAAATATGGAAAACTTTGTTAACATGCATATTTTAACAAAAGCGATAGCCCTGCCCAACGGGAACATTCTTATGTCCACGTATCTAGGACATATTCGAATTAAGACGCCACACGAGGTATGTAAATACGAAGGACAATTCACAATTCATGCAGTCGCTGTCAACTCGTAGATAAAATCCATGCATTGTGTACCAAAATTTTACAAACTTTTAAAAAGATGCCCTTGATCTGATAAGGTTTAAAAAATTTTGTGAGCTAATTTTCTTTAGAAATGTTTGCAAAATTAGATAAAAGTTTGTAAAGTCACGGAATTTATGATGTTAGCAAAGACGCATACTTACATTGCGTCATTATTATTTTAATTTATTCTTTATTAAAGTAGCAACCAGAGTAATTTTTTAAATCGTAAATTTGTCCATAGGCCTCAATCGACGTGTCTCGCACGGGTGATTCGCACATCTCAGTCCCTGCCGGGCCCCTGGTAAGGGTGTCACGGACAGGAAAAATTTCAGTCAGTCTAGTCAATCGAGCCGTGACCCAGTTGGATAGTAATGGTGACGAAAGTTCTTCATCGCGTAAGACTGATGACTATGCTGGAAGAGGCGCGTTAGGTGACTTAACCAACGTGGCAGAGATGACTGACACGTCAGCAAATGGTTCTTTCCAGTAAGTTGGTCAACATTTTTTATTACGAAAAATAACATTGGTTAATTTTCGCGAACCACTAATTCAAATTTGACCACTAATTGACGTACAATGGGGACGCAAACCATGTTCAACTCGAATTATTTTTTTTATCACAGTCGTTTGAAAGAAGACCTCTTTAGAAACAATATTTAGTTCGAGATTTGTGCAGGTGGGTAAAATTCAGCGCCTTATGTATGGATGTCGCAATTTCGCCAAAACGCTCGGGTTCCAAGCAGAACCAGTGGCCGCTGAGGACATCTGGGGAATAATAGAGCAAGGATTTATATAGCATGTGCAGATAATTGCAACATAAAATAATCGTGGTGACATTGTCCCTCTGTCCCCACACTTTTGCGGCCACTGAGCGGAACCTGTATTTTCACCAATTAACGGAGCGTTTTCACGAACTTATGCGGCGTCTATATGTTGGTCGCTGAATTTTACCCATGTGCCAGTCCCTAAGGGAAGGTCCATAAATCATGTCACGCGAGAGGGGGGGTTTAAGGCTCCAATGGTATGGTGCCTATGTGACACATGGAGAAGGGGGGTCTAGAAAATCGTGATTTTTGCGTGACATAATTTATGGATCGCCCCTAACTAAATGTTCTTTCTAAAGAGTTGGTCTTTTAGCGTAGGAGGTAAAAAATAATCTGGATTATTTAAACATTGTTTGTGGTGTAACATCATTAGGATATGTATCCCTCAATTGACAATATTAACTTTAATTAAATCTTAAAACATAAAATACAATGCCACACCCTTAGAAAACTGGTATTAAATTATTATTGACCGGAGTAGATACGCATATGTATAACCTTAGTGGCACGGAAATAACGAGCATTACCGCTTAGTAATGTTGTGATATTGAAAGATTTTTATTTTTAACATTCCAGTTCTGCTTTGATATTTAGTACTACATATCATAATAGTTAATATATTGGTTATTATAATGGCGAACTATATTTTAATGGTCAATAGTTGGCCAAAATCTGTATTATTCAAAAGTGCAAAATTAACAATTAAGCCGTAATCAATATTTTTAATCAGACCAATTTTACTTAAGTCTAATTTGAATTTCGTATCCTCCTTAAATTAAGCTTAACTTTACTCTGACTTTTTATAATCTTTTACTGATAATTTAATCTAAATTAAAATTGTTAGTACATTTAAAAACCTTAGTTGTTACCTCAATTTCTCGTAAATTTTGGAACTCAGGAAAACCTCTGGGTGTTTGGTTGCTTTTTAATTTTTGAAATTTAGATATTTCTTGAGGCGATTTTTGCACATTTAAATTTTTTCTGCATGGTCTGATAATTCTTCGAATCTTACATACATAACTCCAGAGTTTATATTTATATAGAAAATTTCAAATTGAGATTTAGTTTCACAAGAACTATTACAATCCAGGTGCACTCATTCGGACGAAAAACTAAAGTTAATCTAGATTAACCTGGATTAACTAAGCTTTAATTCCCTCGGTTCATGTAAAATAATTAATTTAGTTCAATCCTGGCCCTGAAAATATGTTAATCTTCATCTTACCCTTAATCCATATACTTGAATAATTTCTAATCCCACTTCTACACTCTTAGCAAAACGGTATTGAATCAATTTGAATCATCACCAAACGGGGAGCCCACATGACTTAACCAAATTGTGATAATATTTACCCCACATTGTGATAAATCTTCCCCACAATGTGTTAAATCCTCACTATCCAGTGTTACTTTTACACATTGTGGGGAAGATTTATCACAATGTGGGGTAAATATTATAAATAACAATTTGGTTAAGTCATGTGGGCTCCCCGTTTGGTGATGATTCAAATTGATTCAATGCCGTTTTGCTAAGAGTGTAATCATTAATCTTGATTACTCATTAATTTCCCAGCACACTAGGTGAGAGCCTAAACGCAGGAGCGGGAGAAGCACTTGCTGTTTTTTTAAATAATCTCAGAGATATGACTAAGCGTGCATCTAGTGGAAATGATTGTGAGTGGACATTTTCATACCGGAAGAAAGTTGTAAATATTTATTTATTTGAATTAATTTCTCAAAATTATACATCAATTATTTCACAGTTTGGAACCTGGAGCGGAATAGTGGGGGTAGGAATCCTAGCTATAATCCTCCAACTCGCCATCACTCCTTCCGGTCGTGCTGTTAAGCGGTGGTGCGTAGTCTAGTCGGTATGACCAATAGTGAAATCTTAACAATTTGTGAGTACTTGGCATATTTACTACAAATACGTGGGTGTTTTATTATTAATTTTCAAAAGGTATGTTCCGCACTGTTTCTGACCAAACTTTTGATGAAATAACAAACTTCAAATACTTTTAGGATGCTGTGATTTTTTTCAGTTCTGTAGGTTAACATTAACACTAGCAATAACTCATTAAAATTTACCTCGAAAATATGCCAAAATTTACAACTTGATTTCATTATCATCCGAAAACCGTTTTCCCCTGATGTTTTTCTTTAAGTTTCGAAACGAATAATAATCACTAAGGGACAAGTCTGGACTGCACGGGGCGTGGTTTGTGCAGGTAAAGCGATTTTCGTCTGCACTAACCCTCGAAAAAAGCCAGGTATTAGGTGGCGCGTTGTCGTCTAAAAAAAGGCCAACTCTTTATTTTGACCCCACGTTTCTTTTCAACCGGAGGACGCAGCTCCTTCGGGGTTCCTGCATACACGGCCCCATTTATTGCAGTATTTCCAGCAATAAATTTTATAAGGAGGGGACCTTTGGTATCCTTGAAAATGGTCATCATCAATTTTTTGATTTTTCAGATTTTTGCACTTTTCAATTCACGGGCGGCGGCAACCCCTCGTGCTTCCAATGAGGGAATTATTATTTGGTCACCGGGTCATAATAGTAAACCCAAGTACCATATGCAGCTAATAAAATATTGAGCAGGTTCCAGTTTTCATTTAATAGGTTAAAATTTGCATTGCAAAAGTCGACTCGATCCTGTTTGTGAGATGCCGAAAGCAATTTTGGTACCCAACGGACGGAAACCATTTTCATACCTAAGTCTTCAGTTAACATGGAACAAATTGCTGGTTTTGGAACACCCATCTCATCTTCTAAATAGGACAGTTTCAATCGCGGATCTCTCATTATTGGTTCCTCTAGTTTCCGGAGCCTTTCTGTGGAAGAAGCGGATTTTGAGCGTCCTTGCGACTTTTTGCCCGAGACCTCGTTTCGCCATCATTAAAAATTATTGACCCAATTTAATTTGTGTTTTGTGTTGGGCAGTTTTCATTGTACATTTTAAGCATTCAACCATAAATTTGCGACACGTATTGCCCATCCAGCATTAAAAATTAAATCACACTACGATATTTAATTTGCAAATCTAGCATTTTTTTCGTCGAGGTAAAGTTTGCCGATTTATTGCTAGTGTTTATGTTAACCCACAGAGTTGAAAAAAATCACAGCCTCCTAAATGTATTTGAAGTTTGTTATTTCATCACAATTTTGGTCAGAAACAGTGCGGAACATACCTTTTGAAAATTAATAATAAAACACCTACGTATATCACTTTTAATTTGTTTAATTATGTAATAGGGACAGAGAGTTGGGCTGCATAGATTATCAAAACAAAAAATAAATCATTAAATACAAACTGCATTTGGAATTCGATCGACCTAATTCACTCCAAATTTGGTGCAATAAATACACAGTCCCTAGTTTTTAACCCATTCAATCATTCGTTTTAGTTACATAATTCGACTTATTTTGTATTTAGTCATATGTACATATGATTAATTTCTTAGATGAATAAGAAGGTTGAAATATGTACATATTGAAATCCTTTAATTAAAAAAAATATTAACCGCGATATACAGATACCTATATTTAGACCTGTGCTCCGACAAATGACTAGTTTTAGTTATTGGTACAATTATACATATTATGTATATTATTAATATGTAACCATTCATGATGTGCAAAGGCTGTTGGCCTGCAATGATGATGCAATAAATCAATTATTATTATTACCTCTACATATATATTTATATTACCTACATATTTGCATGCTCACGTTTTTATTGTTTAATAAATTTTAAGCTATCAGATCTACTTAGTATAACACACTGTTAGAAATCTGGTATAGTCACGCATGTATTGACTTCTCGGTATTAAAGTTGCTACTGCTTGGTATTAGAATTATACCGGTCCGTAAAAGTTTGATACCAATATTGCAAAACTTTAATACTGGATTATTAAATACATACACGGTATTATTTATCAATACCACGTTGACAGAGTTATATATGAATACCGCCTGGGATTATTTTAATACTGGATTTCTAACAAGAGTGCAGTGTTCATACAGTTTCTCACGGATCTTCTTAAAACTAACACTAAAAAATCAATTAGCCTACCACAAACAACAGTTAGTCTAGCATTTGAACGCTTCTGTATAATTTACAGGGTTAAACAGATTTGAAGTTGGTAGGAACGCGCATTTTCACCATTGGAAAAAGGAGAGGTGAAAGTCGCATAGTTTGCCATGATGAAAATGCGCGTTTTTCACGATGGGAAAATGGCTGGACTTTCGTGATCCGTGAGAAACATGACTGACGTGTGCATTGTAAATATGCATCAGTAATACTGTACATTATTTGGGACCCAATTTCTGCTACAAAAATTACACATGAAATAATTACAAATATCATGAAAAAATATTTCAACCCGACAATTAATCCGAGATGTATCCCGACTCCTGAAACGATTGTAGGATAGTAATTCTTACTTAAAGAATTCCTTCTTCTCCGGTAAAACCAATCGTGATACCATTCGTAAATCCCGGAGTGAATTAAGCACTCCAACTTTAAGTACAAATATCCACCCTGTAGACTATCAAAAGTTTGTAGAATCCAACCAAACTTTGCCCCCGTTATGGGCGTTTGGCCCTGAACAAAAATTCGGTTAGTGTCTCTCATTACACCTGTTAACAAAATATTTCTTCATAAAAATTCATTCAATTCCAAAAACAATTATTCATGCATTACTAATTTGTTCATAATTTGATCATAATTATTTATTCATCATTCATTTTGTATTTATTTTATCTTAAATTCTCCTTATTAAAAACAGATTTCTCAATATGCCTCCATGTACTGTGAATATGAAATGAATGCATATTTTTATTTGTTCATAAAATAATTTTGAGAAAAAATATTCACTCCTTATTTATGAATTTATGGAGTAATGAATGATTTATTCATTCTCTATCGAATAAATGAATGTTAACAGGTATGTTCTCACCTTGCCCCGCGTGATTGCCAGCTTGTTTATTAAAATAGTTGAGATAACCATCCAGCCCGTCGACATCACTAATAAACGCGGTCTTATTACAATTCCAGATAAAGTCCAGAAAACCGTTCTTATTTTCCGGGTGGAACGCTAAATGTGTTCCGTTCATTGTTAAATTTATGATAAATCGCTCGTACAGAAAGTTGAAATCTTCACTGATCCATTTGGAGTACACCATCGAAGTTAACGCCCATTGCAACGGGGTCATTTCATACGTAATTTGACTACTCCGATTCGTATATTCTCTCGAAAAAAATGTTGGCGTTGTGAAACTGAAATTCTCCAGGTCCGTAAACCTCTTAAATATTGAGAAATACGGATTTGACACCGTTTCATTACAAATTAACGCACTTTTATAAAGATTAGTCACAAAGAGGCTAAAAAGTGCGAATAATATGCATAACACGCGGACCAAGATGTTAAAATCCTTGCCAGATATCGGTCTTCCATTATCGAGCAACGTCCTAACTACGAACATCACACTTTGCGGAATTAATTCACCCTTCGAATTAACCCGGGTAGAATGTCGAACGAGTGACAGGATTCCCGCCATCGTTACACAAACTAAACTTATCGTAATCCAAACATTACTCTGAAACGAGTCCAGTAACGCGCCAATTTTTGTGATATCTTCTTTCCTGTCATCCCCAATTCTTCGAACTCCATCGCAACTTATAAACCCAAACATGACCGGATCCGCCATAACGATTTGTGACTGTGGCTTCGACCACCCCGTCGCATAGTATTCCATGGAATAGAACAAGCTATGGGGGAGATATAAGACTTGTACCACGTTATAACCCAAACTATCTAGACGTTCGGTCACCTCAGAATTGAATCTCGACATGTTAAGCGTACCAGAAAGCATGGAACTTATCACTTCAACAAAACCGGGTGGCGGCATGTTCTTTTTCTTAGAAAACGGGGTAAATTGATACAAATCACCCTTATACGTTCTCGAGCTTCCGTGCCTCTTGGAGTAGGACATGACCGGAATTTGGGAGTCTTTTCCTCCACCAACCATCCGGGAGTGATGTGCTGTTAAGGACGCAGCAGAGTAACGTTCGCCTTCCGGGATAGCAACCACGATGAGGTTCGAATCGAGGCAAACCTTGCAAAGCAAGGTAACCATAGTTACAGTGGCGGGATCATTCAAATTTCTTATTTGAAGAAGGAAAGTTGTGGACAAGGCGTTGTCCGGGTAAAAGGTTGCCGCTTGAAGTAAATTACTGCCAGAAATGATATTTTGATCGTGCCCATAGATGAGGAAGAGGAAGTGCCGTTCGATCGAGTAGAGGGACGGACAGAGGTGGAAGATTCGCGGAATATTGGACAATTTGTGATTGATGCCAATTCGGCGGAGTTTCGCTGGGATAAAACATTCGTCGAAGTGGGACAGATTTTCTGGAAGGATGATAAAATATGCGATACAGTGGAGGTATCTGCGCGGGTGGGTGTGCCACATATTTTTCGTGGACTTGTTTGAAAGTATGACGGGGAAGTTTAAAGTGATATGGGTTAGTTTATTGGAGTTGGAGAGATTCGAGACGGTCACAATGCAGGGGGAAAAAGTTGAGATGAATTCGGCTAACGGCGTAGCTGAGTGTACTTGAAATATGATATTAAAGAAATAACTAATTAGAAGAACAATGTGGAAATTTAGGAGCATTTTTAGTGCGTACAATTGTTTAACGTTTAAACCCGTGTGGTACAAAGCAATTCGATTTAGATGCAGATATGTATGTTTGTAGGTCGCGAATGATTGATTTTTGTGGTGAATGATTATCTTCATTGCTTATCAGTGTTTCCGGTGCAAGTAACCACTTCAAATAAATATCTGCAAGAAAGTGGTTTCTTGCAGATACATCTTCTGATCTGCAAGAAATGCAAGGTGTAATAAAAGGGTTCCAAGGGCTTTAGTAAATATGACGCGTGGGTTTGATGACGCATTTTCTTACACCTTGCACTTTCTCACATTTTCTTGCACCTTGAATTTCTTGCATTTCTTGCTTTGCAGTGCGAGAAATGTACGTACCAAACCCGCAAACAACGAAACACTGTTTGTCATTATATAAATCAGACTTAATAGTACATATTGGCATATTTGTCATCCACTTTCTTTTATGGTAGTAAGCATACTTACAATGTACTTACGACTTATGTAAATAATTTTCCAAGAGGTTTTGGAATTTCGTAATAAGGGTTAGTAATCGAATACCTGTACACCCATTTATTTTTATATAAATATGTCTATACTTAGGGTACATAATTATGAAGATTTACAGGTATTAATAATTCCCCTTATATAAAAAGAATTTACTTTGTCGTAATTTAACGTTTAGGGTATATACATGCATGCATATACGAAGAAACCATGGTTTCTTCGTATCCCGATCAACAAAAGCTATCACTTTTACGCAAAAGTCATACAGTTAAATTGCAGCAACTGATGGCCGGCAAAAATCCGTGAAAAGATACTAGATATTTAACGTAAAATAAACTGTCAATATTGCATAGAATTGACAGTCATATTCATGCAATTTAGCCTCAAGAATATTGCGTAGAAATAACCGTCAAATTAATGAAATTTAGAGCGTAGAATATTGCGCAAAAGAAACGAATAATTTGATGCAAAACTTGCAGTTAAACTCCATGCAATTACTGCAGTCAAATAACACGAATTATTAATTTTTATCAAAATCATTTATTTCATAACAAAAATTATATTGTTACATTATACAAGGGAATGCAAATGTTTTCATCTATTTTATCCGACGGGAGTAACCAACATTTCTTATCAATATCATTAATACCTATTATGGTTACGCTATTTGATAATTTGCTAACTTTAATTATTCCTAAAATTTTACTTTCACACGGACAAGTGAACAAGTTGTCCGAGTGTTTGAATTTTCTACAATTTATATGTTTTTTATCTTTACTTATACTACTTATAACAACTACTTTCCCATCCTTTAATATAAAACAATGATCCTTTCCGTTCGATTTTATAATACAGTGTCTATTTAAATTCACAGGGGACTGGTACTTATGATTTTCTCTCTCAGCAGTGCGATTCACAGTTTGCTCAAAAGGTTTATAGTGAGCTCGTAGCGAGCGCTTTATTACTTGCATATTATTTTCGAAATCGAAAGCACTAAAAGAATCTAACGGGCCATGCTTTAAAGCGTCATCACTAATATGTATAAGAGAATGCATATTATATGATAAGAACTCTTCTTCATATAAATTGGGAACATTTTTAACAAACTTCAATAAAAGCTGTCGTGTATAATCGTTCCAATTATTTGCTTGCGCCTTGGTAGTTATAAGAATCGTGACTGCTACGCAAAGATTTAAAAAATGTGTATACTTTTTCGGCGACAATAATCCTTTTAAAGCGACGGGTCCTGTATAAAGAAGAAAAGTTCTAAACTCTGTCGCTTTCCACATATCTAACTCTTTTACTGACCTCGGCTTACGACAAAATTCTTTAGGGCAACTATGCGAAAATAATACTAATTTACTTGATAAGTTGAAATATCACGAGAAGATAATTTAAATGGCAATGGACCTTTTAGCCAACTTCTTAATAGTTTTCTAACCACACCTAAGCAAATGAGGTGCATGTAGTCAAGAGGAACCGAAGAAATCATCAAAATTTTAAGCTCCGTAAACGGGGAAATGCCTACATGGTGGTGTTTATCTTTTTGAACATAAAAATCTTGATCTGTCCTAAGTGGACTATCGAATGTTCTGAAAATTACACGTCCCTTCCAGAAACCTGGATCTATACATTTCTCGCATCCATTGTATGCATTATGACTTTTACATTGCTTTAAAAAACTCCTGGCTGGCGCATCAGCTATTATTTTTGAAACCTTACAAAATATTTTCAAATTATTGTAACTAATCCCAACTCGCAAACTTTTTAACTCTGCTATCAAATCCATCAAGTATTCGTCAATACTTTCTGGTTTTGTCTTGCCATAAAATAAACCCACGAAAAATACGCCGTACGTACTTTCTTCACACTTTGCTTGAATTGGCCAAAACTGGTTACTGTTACTCTTAGAAATGGGCAATCCATCAAAACTAAATATGAGGTTTAATTTAATTTCGCTACCAGAAGCAAGAATACAATTGGAATCTATTTGCCGTTTTATATTTTGAATAACATCAAAGTGTGCATATTGACCCTGACCGATAGTTTTCATAAAGTATTTAATTGAGTTTTTAAGCAATGTCCTACTATCCAATGGAAGAAATCTAAATTCTTGATAAAAGTTAAATATGCGTAGAAGATCGTTTAAAGCTACTCCCGTTATGTTATGTCGAAGCGACCAGTCCCTCAAGTCCCGCGTTAGATCTAAAATATTCCTATTATTAAGTAGCTTCAGCTACTTTATGTGAAGACTTTGTCTGTCTGTCTGTCTGTCTGTCTGTCTGTCCGTCTGTCTGTCAGCAGGATATCAGGAGAACGGATCGAGATAATCGAAATCGGTTTTCGCCATCATACATAGGACCCCAGGGGGAGGATCCTATCAACTTTTGGGGGCAACCGAACCACACCCCCTTTGGCGACAGGGGGTGTGGTCGGGGCAAAATGAGATTTTTAGTGCAATTTAATCTATAGGTGAAATAGAGTAAAATTATGTGTTCCGGAGTTGTGCCACACCCCCTCGGCGCCAGGGGGTGTGGTTGGGGCAAAATGAGATTTTTAGTGCAATTTAATCTATGGGTAAAATTAGGTGAAATTGAGTGAAATTAAATGAAATTAAGTGAAATTAAGTGAAATTAAGTGCTTCCCCGATTGTGCCACACCCCCTCGGCCCCAGGGGGTGTGGTTGGGGCAAAATGAGATTTTTAGTGCAATTTATTCTATGGGTAAAATTAAGTGAAATTGAGTGAAATTAAGTGAAATTGAGTGTTTCCCCGATTTTGCCGCACCCCTTCGGCGCCAGCGGGTGTGGTTGGGGCATAATGAGATTTTTAGTGCAATTTAATCTATAGGTGAAATAGAGTAAAATTATGTGTTCCGGAGTTGTGCCACACCCCCTAGGCGCCAGGGGTGTGGTTGGGGCAAAATGAGATTTTTATAAAAAATTAATCTATAGATGAAATAGAGTGAAATTAAGTGTTCCCGAGTTGTGGTGGGACCGTTTGGGGTGAAGTACGTCTGAAGCTACTTCCGTATGCGCGTTTGCGACGGTTTATTTTCTACTACACCATTGTCGCTTAGTGAATCGGAAACTAATGGCTCGTCACTATTATGGATAACATTACTGCTTCTATCATTATTGCTAATATTACTACCTGAATCGCTATCCTCAACGACAGAATCACATATATCTAAATTTACAAGATTATTACTAATAGCAGGTATGTTTTTTGCACGAGTGAGATTCTCTCTACCCCGTTTTGCAATTATTCGCCTAATGTTTCTCGGTGATTTTCCATCTCGATCCATGATTATGATGCAATTCCCGAGGGAGCGTCGTCGTTGCAACTACTTTTTGAAGAACGAAACCAATTCATTGCTGCAGTTTGAATTATATCATCGGTGGGAGTACGGCCGCTGGGATTTTTGGGATCGGGAACGGACTCAACTGTAAAGACGTTTCGCACGGTTTCTGAAATTTGCAATCCAATTAAACATTAAATAGAGACCAACAATTAGAAAATTTTCTTCATTTTAGAATATATTTTAGCACCTTTTACGACTTCCAATAGTTTTAGGTTTTTCATCGATGTCTTGTTTCCTTTACCCGTAAAATTAATTCGCCTGCCAAATTCATTCGTAAATAATTTTTTCAAGATTTTTCTAGTGCTCGCCTCGATCTGTGTCGCAGTTGAAAATGCCAAATATTCAACCTAGTATCAAATATAAGAAAAAACATTAAGGTTTAATTATGCATGTAAAATATCTCGATTAAATCGTACCAGTAATTCGCGATTTGAATCCACCTCGAGCCAAGATTCAAACTCCGCCAGTGCTACCTCGTTGTCGAGGGGTAATTTTGGAATGGCACTGAAATTGGGAGCCTTCCTACCATCCGGCCTTTGTTTCACATTAATCAGTAAAGCCTTAATGTCTTTAATGTCTTCAGCCTGCTTTTCCAACAAAGTTAGCACACTTTGCGTTGTCCCTGCAACGTGATTACAAAGCGTTAACATAATACATCAATTTTAATAAAATTATTTTGCTTGTACTAACTTGAAATCAACAGCCGTAAATCATTTAACTTCTGCGAATTTACAACAACAAAAGAGGTGTCTCCAGTTTCAACTTGATTTCCTACTTGTAGATTGCTTTGCTCTTCAGTTTCGGGAATTATTTCAGGAATGCTCAATGGTTGGTCTAAAAAGCATCACCATAATGATTAGTATAAAATATTTGTGGCAGTATTATAAGCCTACCCAGCTCCAAATTATCCTGAAGTGAGCCAGACGGAGGACTGTTTTTGTTCGCGTCGCTATCCTCCTCATCGGATGAAGACGTTACATCCCCTCGTGTGCTACTGGGCTGAATATCGGGAATTATCTTCTTGCTCCTTAATCTGCTTTCTGATTCTGTTTCACTTTCCAAGTTGGAAGTGTCCTCGGCTACTTGAAGTTTTTTTGTCGCAACTTCATAATCATCTAAAATAATGATATTTGTTAGTAAATGTAAAATAATTGGAATGACTTCTCATAATTTGAATTAAATAGCTATTTACCGTAGCTAACTCTTCCCCACTTGACATCAGGAATAGCAGTGCCCTTTTTTATCAAATTTCTAATACTTGGCCCAGAGTTTGGTGGCCAGAGACAAACTTTCTCTGCGGGGATAACCCAGTGACTTGGAACAAGCTCCACAGGCGCTGAATTGTATTTATCAGGGGGGAATTCAATTATGTAATATTTTTTTGGCGACATTGAGACAACAGATAAATTAACAGGGAATTAAATTAACAGGGAATTTACGAGACTGCGAGGGTGGGAGAGAAAAGGAAATACCACGCTTCTCTTAGATTCAAACTCTCGCGCGTTGCCTGTCTCTTCGCACCCACCATTCATTGCGTATAAACTGCATGATTTTAACGCCTCATGTAATGTGGGTATTAACGAGATATTGGTGCGGTATTTTTACGCAATATCTCAGCACGTTTGGGTGCAATAATTTTTCAACCATAGGTTACAGTTTTTTAATGCAAATTTAGCGTGTCTCACGGTGCACACCAAACTTAGCACAAAATTTATGCAATAATCACGCCTTTTTTGTTTGTTAAAAATTTTCACCATGGATGCGTTACTTTGACGCAAAAGTAATAATTTTTGTTGATCGGGATCCTTATCGAAATATGTAAGTGCATGCCCAATTGCTGAGTTGATTTTTTTAAATCGCATCATTTCTTCGTTAAAATTATTGTGAAATCTCGCACAGAGGACAAGTTAGGTGATGTTGCTATGCTCAATTTGCGAGATATGCGTATGTCGGTACGTGAGCACGCTCAAAGATAAATATAACGAATTTTACTATAAACAGTTATGGCATGAAGTGAGTTTTATTTTAAAGTCTCAAATTTTGGATTCACATACAGAATACCAGATATGTACATATGTAAATAGTAAATATTCTGACACCTTAGCTCTGTCAAACGTTAAGCGCTCGTCCGAGCAAATTCCTCACCAAAATTTCATACGTGGTATGCTTATGTTCTTTCCCATCTGTAAAGACGAAACAATATGATTAAATAAAAGTGGAATAAATAAATATTTGTCTTGCTGATTTTATAACTAATTACATGTAATCATGTCTTAATTAGTTTCACAAGTGTAAATAAATATGTATTATGTTATTTAACCTATAAACATACCGTATGGGACATAGCACGCCTTGTGGGTTGGATGCACTTTCCCCACCGTTACAGTGCGATTGATAACGACACGGCCAATGTAATAAGTTTCACCACCTGGATCCCGACCTGTCATGAAAATCATTTGAGAATTTTCATCTTCAATTAACCTGTCAAATATTTATGTCTGTAATGTACCTCCAATCACAGCGTGCTGTGGAACCTGCCCATTGCTGGATTCTACCCAGCTCAAACTGGCCGTGGGACCTATCAAGACCTAAATTAATAAAATCAATTAAAATATTAATTGAACCTATACTTTAAATAAACCTATGTAAAATTTATGCAATGTAGAGTTAAAAAAGGAGGATGACACAAAAATTGTGTAAAATTTGTGAAAAATTTTCCAACGGTTGGGTAAATTTCACACAATTGTTAAGTCATTCTCCGAATTGGGTAACCAATTTTAGACAATTTTATTTAGAGTGTAAGGTTAATTAAACAGCAAAAAAATCTCACCTCATAATTCGGCATGCTGATTTCCTTCCCGTCATACGCAATGTATGCGGATGAATGACCCACGTGCAGTTTTCCAGGAACCACACCCCCTGCGTGGGAGGCTCTGGCGACGTACAATTTCTTCCCGGAATCGATTCCCGCTTCCACGGCGAATTTTGGGAAGGATCCTCGCGACATGGCCACCCACTGGAGACCCCTCGGCTCCGCCTGCATTACTCGAGACATGGTTGCCGTATAAAGAATGGTTGCGAATTTGCCAAAATTTACAGCTTTGCCGAAATACGAATGATTTATTGGAGTGGAAAAGTAGTCGCTTAAGTACGGATTTTTGCATATCCAAATCTGTTGCCAGGAGAGATTGTGTTGGTGCAAGGTCTACATATTTATGTAAATACGTGACTGATAACTGGGTGGGAGTTGTTATTAAATAGATGTCAATTTCGCAGGTGATTCATTAGCCTTGACCATGATCACATACAGCCATCCTGTCAAAGGAGCAGAATTTGCACAATATGTATGTATGCATGCAACTGATAGCGAATTTATGTTATTTGCACATGCAGTGGCGGGTAAACCGGGTATGTGGCATAGGTGACACCTAGGGGCCCCCGCGCAACGGGGGCCCCCAGCCTTGCGTCATCTCGGTGCAGTACCGGGTAAGCCGGGGAGGTGAGGTATTTCTGACGTAGGGGCCCTCGCGCAGCGGGGCCCGCACGCATAGTCCCGGTTGGGACTATGCGTAAACAGTTACAAGAGTTCCCAGCGAATTTCTAAAAATAAATTCTAGGGTAATAAAGCAATGCAAGTATAGGAATTAATTGGTGGTATTTACTCATGTTCAGGTAGTTTGCGAAACCACGAACAAGGGATAAGTAGCTACATATATAGGTAGATAATGTACACATAAACGAATAAGGTACTAACTAAGGGCTCCAATAACTTTTGCATGTGATTCCGCAAAATTTCTGTATGTTTGCCAGATAAATAATTTCTAATAAAATTGGGGGCCCCTTGACGTGCTAGCCAAAATACATGACTTTTAACGTATTCCTGCGATTGATGCTTTTGTGGATATTTATTTGGTCCAATAAAAAAGTTAAATTATTAAATTTATCTTAATCTAGTCTTTTTTAATCTGTTACCTCGTGTTTATATATACTCGTCATTTCATTTTAATTTAGTTTTCATTTTACTATAGCTTTCTCGTCATTTTCATCTTTGCAATTTATACTTTTTCACAGAAATTCATGAAATATTGATGTTCCGTTCACAGCAACTAAAAATTAAAATCCCGAATTTGGAAGGAATCCAAATTGTTTCCCTATTGGTTCAGAAAAGCAAAATGAAATAAAAATATTTAAGATGTAACGAAGTAAAACCTAGGATACAGGACGTATCAAGTAGGGCATCCAGAATCGGAAAATTTTGAATAACCGGTTTTCGATTTTTCCGATTTTGCCAAACTTTCGTAAAACCGGTTTTCGATTTTTCCGGTCATACCTGTGCAAGTGAGTTGCGCTTCACTCAACTTCACTCATTTTCACCTCGAGTAAAGTTGCCCTTCACTCCCCTCACTCACGTGAAGGAAGGCTGAGTGAGGCTTCACTCACTGATAAATCCCATTCTCACTCCTTCATTCCCTTCACTCCCTCATTCCTAACACGCCATTCATTCCCCTCACTCATCCATTTCCTTCACTCTTTCTTTCACTCAATTCAGTCCCTCGTGTCATCATAAATTAAATATTTTGGCGCCACCTGGTGGGGCAACGTGAGATTCGACTGGGGCAATGTGAGACAAGACTGGGGCAACGTGAGACTGGACTGGGGCAACGTGAGACTGGACTGGGGCATTGTGAGACTGGACTGGGGAACGTGAGATTTGACTGGGGCACAGTGACAATTTTCTGGGGTAATAAGGGACGGTAGTAAGTGAATATTGCCACGCTTATTTGAGTATGTAAACTAATTATCCACCCTGCATTCCTTCACCCTTCTTCCCCGTAGATGAACGAGTGAAAGAGATGAAGTGATGAAGCCTTCATCTCCTTCACCCTTCTTCATTCCACTCATTTCTCGCTTGGGCCTCCCTCACTCACCTTCACTCACTCGATCAAAATTTTCAACTCCCTCACTCAGCTTCACTCTCCTTCATTCCCTCATCGTGAATGAAGCCTCAATCTGCCTAAATTGAGTGAAGCTGCACAGGTATGTTTCCGGTTTTTCAAATTTTCGTAAAACCGGTTTTCGATTTTCTCCAAAACCGGTTTTAAACCGGTTTTTGAAACCGGGTTCTACAAAATTTAAGAAATTTGATAAATATAAAGTGGTAAAATTTAAAGTTGAACACACTTAGGGCATTAATTTGGAAAAAAATATTTCAGAACAATTTATTTTTGGACGAAAAACAAGAAATGACAAATATTTAGTGGTTCTAAAACAATTTTTATCAAAAATCGAAAACCGGTTTTCGAGTGTGATAAAACCGGTTTTTACAAAACCGTTTTTCTGGAAAATTATAAAACCGGTTTTCGGGTAAATCGAAAACCGGTTTTTAACCGGTTTTACAAAATCGGAAAAACCGGTTTTTAACCGGTTTTACAAAATCGGAAAAACCGATTTTGGATGCCCTAGTATCAAGTAAAAGTACATTACCTATATGTATATACAAACCCTACAATGCAGCCTGATATAGTACAACCATAGTTACAGTTGATTATGAATAAATTAACGCCATTTTCATTTGCAAAAGTTGAAACACTTTCAACTTTGGAAAACGGCGTGAAAATGAAACCAAAATGAAAGCAAGATGAAATGAACGCAACTATAAAATGTAATCATCTTGCTGTTAGCATGGCGTTAATTTTTCGTGACAACAAAATGAAACCGAAAATCTATAAATTGAGTTGATCGTGAAAGTGAAATTAAAATGACGCTAAAGTGACGAGTATAAATTAGGCGTTGCCCGGGTTGCGAATTCTTGGCTTCCCGTCTTGCCGAACGAAAATCAGATTAGTTCTTGGAAAATAATGTAATTTTTACCGTCAAGCTAGAACTAATGATTTAATTAAATTGAAAAAATTACGTAACTTAACTTATAGGCATGCTCAGGACATTTTCGCTGAACTAACATTAAGTTATTCACCCTCACAAATAAATGAGAGAGCCCGTATTTTGCATTTAGTTTGCCACCCGTGAAGTTTTTCCACCCGTGAAGGAATTTTTGATTGATTTTCAACATCTCATCATGACTTTTTAAACAAGCTGCAGCCTTTCAAATTTTAAACAAATTCCAAACATTAAAGTACAGTTTAATCAGAATTATATTACCTAATTTTACAAAATTTGGTTCTCAAAAACATCAAATTTTCAGTAATTTGAGTTTCTTTTGCATTTGTTAAAATTTACAAATACATGAATGAAAATATTAAATGATAGACGTTTTTAGAAATGTATTTTCCTAATTTGAAGTAGGTAATTTTCAGAAAGCTACGTTTTGAATTTGTCACATCGGCTTAAAATAAGAAAAGTGATAGGGTTTTGGAAAGTCCGTAGTTTGTCCGAAATTTAATTAAAAATTCCGCGAAAACACTCGCATGCATGAATAAGCAAAACTGTAGGTTTCTTTGTTGCTGAGCATTAAAATTAACGGTCAAAGTCCGAGAAGCCCATGTCTGCACATTGTAAGTATATTAAAAATCGTCACAAGAAAGTCACCTAGGGGCCCCGAGCTGGCTAAACCCGCCACTGTGCACATGTGTACATACATAATTCTGTAAACACTAATTGGTCACAATATTAAACAGAGCATGTCATTCGTTTCTCCGAAAAAGCTTTGGTGATTGATGCATATGTCCGGTTACCGATAAGCGAGAACTGATAATTTTTATTAGACGATTTCCATTTAAAAGTGCAACTAGGTGTGTAATTAAGGATAAGAGTTGATGAGTAATTGAGGGCGGAAATTAACTGATGTAGCCGTGAGTCGCTAGGACTAAATAAAAAAAGTATGATGCATAAAATTAAGCAGACATTATAATACTTTTAGAATCCAGCATAAAAATAATACCGCTCAGTATTGAGAAGTATACATATTTATCACGTAATCAGAGTAGTATTAACAATATTGAAAGTAATGCTGGGTCAAACTATCGTCAAATTAAGGGTCATCAACGATGACTCATCATTTGACAGAAACTTTATCAAAAAATATGTGCACATGTCAGACATATTACATATATTTCGCACTTTAACGATTTCGATGTACGAATATGATGGTTTAAACTTTGCGTAATTTCGTATCCATAAATAATCCACAATAATATGACTGGTGACTGGATATAATTTATAAAATTATTTTGGACTATTGATTCCCCACTGCCTCAATTTTGGAACCCTGATTTGCAGTTTATCAAATTTTACAAAATAATTTCGTTTACCGTGTTAGTTAATTCAAAATTTGTCCTTTTATTGATTCATATTTCAAAAAAAGTTACCTAATGAGTAATGACTAACATATTCCGATTACACAAAGGCTTCTGCTCAAATTAAATACATGTTTCGCTGGACAGGTGTACAAATAAGGGTACAGGCTCTCCATAATCGCTACACATCTCATGTACTTTGCGCAATCTAATGGATAAGCAAATGTTCCGGCAACCGTACAAGTAAAGCCAGGAATTGGGGTGGTCGTACTTCGCGCGGTTGTTGTGGTCGAAGGTGCGACCGTAGTGGTAATGGTCGTCGGTAGTTCCGCATCAGTCACACATTTCCCCAAGAAACAGTGCTGTATTTGAAGTAGGCATTTCGAATTTTAGCACAAATTCGAGTTCAAATTTCAAATTTGAACACAAATTCTCAAATTCAGGTTCAAATTTGTTTCCCCTCTAAGAGGACGATTTTAAATTACGCAGCACTTCAAAGGCAGGTAGGTCGTTTTAAAATTCCGTTACGAACCATTACGGATGGGGAGGAGTCAAAAGATAGCATTTAAGAGCTCATTTAAGAATATGCGCTACTGCCGCTGGTCTCTGGTCACCCCACAGAGTACCCACACATATCTACGTAATTCAAAAACTCACCTTTCCCTCGTCAACATCTCCACACGGTGCGCCATCGGCTGCATTTTGGTATTCAGTACCAATCCAATTGCAGGTCATATCTTCGTTCGGCGGATCACAGGGCCCGGTCCACCTGCGCCATATCTTATCACACATGGTATCCTCAACAATGGGCGTGGAACCTGGGCCGTGGACTTTTACGCAGTACATTTGTATGTCGAATATATCTCCCGGGTTTTTGTCCGGAACGGGGAGCGGATTACCGGGTGCGTTCTTTTCGAATAGGCAGGATCCCGAGGAAGCAATATAACTTCGCATGGCGGCCTTACTACAGTCACTAAATTTAAACTATCTCCAATTCCTCCGGATGTGTGCATTATGTATCCATCCGACAAGGGGCAAGCGGCCGAGGTGCCCTCACCATCATGGGGCGAGCCGAGACTGATAAGTGAATAAATTGAAGAAGATACCATAAATGAAGTTGTGGGAGTGGGAGTGAAAGGTTTAGACATGGTCATTTAGCATTTACTCGTGTAATTCAATATTGCAGCTTATAATCCTCGCTCGCACGGCGGGAGACGGGCTTATACGCTAGTAAATACATAATTGATTCTTACCTACAATGCAACCTTTTCCAGGCTACATAGCGATTGTGATTTGTGAAGCGAGTTATATCAAAAAATAATGAATCACGTGGCCCATATCACACCCCCTTGATGAAATATGCATATTTCCTAGCAAAGTTCAGGGCGGACGTTTGTATGACTTCATGAACGCAAAGGTAAGTGCCTCCTGATTCCTAATTTTTGGCTTGATTTTTATGATATAACTCGCTTTCCAATCCTGGTGTAGCTTGAAAAAAGGTCCCACTGTTAGTATAAATGTATCACTTCAATTATATGCTACATGTATAGTTTAAGATTAGAGTCCGACTAAAACCAATCAATTTTCATATCCACCACATCCCGAAATATTGCAGAAAAACAGTTTGAGGATACTTTCACTTAATTAAAATTCTATTTGCTTACTTGTGACCCATTTCATGCGCAAAAATTCTAACCCCGGAAAAACTCTGGCCCACATCTCGGTTTACCGTTGTTTTGGCCCTGTCTCGACAAGTCCCCCCTAACCACGCGACCTCACCGATGGATCCGAAATTTTCCGTACTCATTAAACCCACAGAATCAAAAGGGACGTAATTGGCGGCATTTGTAACCATGTAGTCACCTACGATTTAAACATGAGTCGCACAGGAAGTTAAATAAGCGTGACGGCCAACAATTTACCTCATAAATTCGTCGAAATTGCGAAATGTGCTTACTGAATTCATCCAAAATCCCGTGAATATCAAAACTTCCATCAAAATTGTTATAATTTTCCACAAACGGTTGGACACCTCGAGACTAGAATGTGACATCAATCAGGCTAAGGGTAAGAGTTTTGCTTTTGAAAACGCATACCCACGGGTTTTACCCGGGTTTTTGGGTTTTTGGGGTAGTATGGATTTTCGAAGCAAACTAGGACTGCCAATGAGTTCGAGTCAACTCATTTGACTCATTGAGTTAGTGAGTTGAGTTGAGTTTGAGTCGAGAGTATAACTCGACTCACTTTGAAATGAATTAGTTGAAAAACAATGAGTTTGAGTTGAGTTACGGAAAATGAGTTCGAGTTGACTCATGAGTCAACTCATTAAGGATTTTTTTACTGCCAGTTTGTCCATTTCGAGATTTTCACCTTGATGAAAGCAAGCTGCTAAATCTGTAGTCAGCGATTTGTGTTAAAATTACTCACATTTTTCGATTTTGCACATTTGCAACCTCGGGAATCACTTTCTCTCCAAATATTTCAAGATTGGATTCGCCGGGCCGGTTGAAAAAAAAATTGAAAAATGTGCAATTGTCAAAAAATTTTGAATGAAAAATTACACCGTTACACAAATACACATACTAAACTGTCCTCTCCATACCCGTCGTCATCATATACCGATTTGTTGATTAGCTTATCGAAATTAACACAACAATTTCATATTTGTAGATTATAGTCTTCTGTAGATGAAAATTGTAATTAGCGACTACCAATATCGTGCTCAACGGAAATTTTATTTAAAAATCATACGTTTAACGAGATTTCTAACCCCTTTTGAACTCATTTATTGAAATAAATATTTTACTCTAAAAGAAGCAAGTCGATATGAGTTTAGTTTGAGTCGTCAACATTTGAGCTGAGTCGAGTTTGTGTTGAGACTAATTTGAGTCGAGTTGAGTTTGAGTCGGTGATTTTTCTTATTGAGTTGAGTTGAGTTAACCCTCAACTCAACTCAACTTATTGGCAGTCCTAAAGCAAACTGAGGATAAATTGTGACAACAATCTTACTTTCCAGACATGTCGCAACAAAGTTGCTTACTAATTAAGTTTTAATCACTGATTAATTCGTAGAATTGTTGTAAAACCCTGTTATCATACTTAATTAAAGGTGAAAATCCCGACTACCCGTTGGAATTGCTCATATATATTTACTACCCCAAAACCCCCCAAGCACTGCAAAACCCCAATACCCCAAAAATATTACCTCCATCACGTAAATTCCCACCAACTGAAACGCAACATTTGGATCTCCTACGACGGAAAACAGATTGTTGACTCCTTTCACGAAGATGGCATAATATTCCGTAATCGTGGAAATGTCGCCGTTAAAAAGAGTGAAAAGTGAGAAATCGACGACCAAACCGAGCTCAACAACGGCCAAAGTTTGGATGCCGATCGTCCTACTGTTTAAGTTTGTTTGTTTCAACCAATCTTGCCCATCGCCGGGAATATTTACTAGAAAGAAGTACCGGCAGAACATTTTATCACTTGGTTTTTGACAAAAACGTTTTATCATTTAATAGTAAAATTTTATACCGAAATCTGCGTTTTGATCGGCAAATGTGGTAAGCTCTCCAATTTCGTGGACACCGGCGTCATCATGGTTTATCTGCCGGCCATTAACTATCCCTCGCTGAGTGATATAATTAGCAATAAAGATAGATTAAGTGAGCAATTTATTTATGTATTTGGTAATAAGCTTTATATGAAATTTTGAAAATTCGCAAAAAAGTTTAGAATTTTTATCTACTGTTCATCCGAAAAAATGTGGCCTTCGCCGAGCCAATTTTCTCTAAAATCTTACGTGGCAGCTATGTACAAATAATTTTAAGGAATATCTTAGCAACTTTGAATTCTAGCATCGAAATAAATTTCTATAAGGGATAAAATAACAAAAATAAGCAAACTGCACCAAGTGACCTTTTAGAATTTCTAGGGTCACATTTTTCTCGGATGATCAGTAGTCTTGCATAATAATTACTTGGGTACCAGATAATTCCCATCCGGGTTAACTTTAACGACCGCATTTTGCTCTGGATCCTCCAAAATGGAGTTTTCCATCTCCATCAGGGCATTTTTAGAGGGTGTGACATCCTCGTAAAGAGTATCCGCAGTGACGTTACGTCTTCGGACAGATACAATTTTGAAGTTGTCGTGAAAAACAGGGAAGCTTTTCAAATTAAAAAATATACGTTACACAAATTTTATAGATTTTCTAAACAAATAGTGAAATTCATACAGTAGAATTTTTGCGGCTAGTCATATTATTTATATATGCACATATGTACCAATTTCACGCATTTATTCTACATTGAGCATAGTGAGATTTATGCAAATAAAATGACACGTAGCAATAATTCCATAGTAGGGACCGTATGTTTAAATAGTTTTGCACCTGATTTTCTCAAGTTGAGATGGATCACATCTTCTCCTGGGGGATGCACCCTGGCTGAAAAGCCCTCATCACCACTCCCAACCTTCGAAACTTCGACATTCGTCGGAATTGCCTGCAATGAGACAATCACTGTCAAAAGGAAAACCAACAGGGCCTTCATTTTCGTAAAATTTCTAACCCACAAAATAATTGGTAAACCTTTGAAGTCTGCTTACAAAGTGAAGCAAGTTTCGTTTAATTTGAGATACTTATTTAATCCGAGGTTTAAACTGTCTATGACGCAAATGGTAGACGAGTTCAATTTATCCATCAATAAATTCCAGTTATTATGGATTTGAGGCACCGCATAAATTAATTTGAAATCATACTTACTTTCTTATCTACCGCATAAAAGTAGTTGAATTTCTGGCGTATTTATGCAAATTATTACATGTGATTTATGCGGTACCTCAATCAAATAATGGCTGGAATTTATTGATTGATAAATTTAACTTAAACTTAACTTTGCTTTAACAGCTTTTTAAATGTAATTCGCCTTCTATTTACGTCACGGATTAAATCTCGAGTCTCGAGTCTATGTAAGTATTTATCTCAAATTATGCACGGATTAATTTTTAATCTGCCGCATCAAATCAGTTTAATTTTCACCTGCATACAAATGTATGTAAATACAGAGAGTCCAGCACGTTGCTGAAAACGTATTTGACCTTAAAGAACCCCGGAACGGTTTGTCGTAGCGGGTCAAAATTTTGAACAGAGGAGCATGTTATCCTCAGACAGTTGTGTGCAAAAATTCAACTATCTACTTTCAAAAATGCCTCCCCTACAGTCCCCAGAATGTGAGACAGTCATTTCAACTTGTTCCAAAAAAAATTTCGCCGGTGTTTGCAAAAAAAATTATTTAAATTTTCTGTTGAGGAATTGGAGAGAGTTATTGGTGACAATTTACGAAGAACTATTTTCCCTACAAGTTACTAATTGGGTTCGAAGAGCTTAGTACACGACAAATGCCGAAAAAAAATTCAAGAATTTTGGTGCTTTTCAATGACGAGAACTTTTTCAAACATTTTATGGTTGGGGTGCAATGTCCGGTCGTGGTATCCTCCCACTTATCAAAGTCCACTAAAAAGTGAACGTATCTGTAAAGTATGATGTGGACCGTGTATTGAAACCACTTTTAGAATACCACATTCCTAAACTGCACGGTAAAAAAATAAATAAGGTGATTTTTCATGATGACGCAGCGTCTTCTCAGACGGCAAAGTTAACCCAAGATAATGCAAAGGACCTTGAGTAGGGATAAAAATAATTTCGAATAGTGAAATACCTGTACAATCCCCCGATGTAAGTCAAATTGATTACTTTGAGTTCGGATACTTGAAAATTAAAATTTTTCTGCGGGAACCATATTTTTTAGACGGAGTTTGGAAAGAGTTGAAATGACTGTCTTAACTTCTGGGGGCTGTGGGGGAGGCAGTTCTGAAAGTAGAGAGTTGAATTTTTGCACACAAGTATCTGAGGATAACATGCTCCTCTGTTCAAAATTTTGACCCGCTACGACAAACCGTTCCGGGGTTATTTAAGGTCAAATACGTTTTCAGCAACGTGCTGGACTCTCTGTATGTACGTGTTGCATAAAATTGTATAAAATCACGTTCTCTATGTTTTATTTCTTACCATAAGATATTATTAGAGCTGAACTGTGCATAAGTATTATTTTTGGAAGGATTTTATTTTTTTTTATAATGAACGAATCCGACAAGATAATTCTATTTTGACTTCATTTATTTTCCGGATATCCGTAATTTAAGTTTTGTTAATCTAATCGTTAGATGAGATGCCATTAGTTAAAAAATTCATTACAAAGCAACCAACCAAGAGGTGCAAGATCTGCGTAAACTGAATATCATGTTGGTTTTGTGGGCCGAAAATCGGTTAAAATTGATAAGTCCGCCGTGTTTTCGACATTTTTGACCACAAATTTTTAAAAAATTGAATTTTTTATAAAGGTTAAAATTTGGTCAAATGTAGCTCAATCTAATTTATAATATTAGTTTAGACTATTTAAAAAACAAATATTTAGTGTTTGGCCAGTCCTCAATTTTGGATCCCAGGTTCGCATTTTGTAAAATCATTACGTTTCTCTAAATATTATTTAGAATAGTTAATTCAACATTTGTGCTTTTATTGATTCATAATTTCCAAAAAAATAACTGATTAACAGCTTCCGATTACACAAAGGTTTCTGGTCGGATTAAAGCTAGAATTCGCCGGACAGGTGTACAAATACATGTTCAGTTTCCCCCCGATCGTTATACACCTGATGTATTTCGTACAATCTAATGGGTAAGGAAATGTCCCCTCAACCGTACAAGTAAAACCAGGAGTTTGGGTGGTGGTGGTCGTTGGTGCTACCGTAGTGGTCGTAGTTCGAGTCGTGGTAGGGGCGACCGTAGTGGTCGTTCGAAACGTGGTGGTCGTCGGTAGTTCCGCATCCGTCACACATTTCCCCAAGAAGCAGTGTTGTGTATTTACAATTGCCAATTCGAAATTTTATAAAGGCGCCAATTTATATTTCAAACTAACCTTTCCCGCGCCAACATCTCCGCACGGCGCGCCATCCGCCGCTGGTTGGTATTCAGTACCAACCCAATTGCAGGTCCGATCTTCGTTCGGCGGATTACAGGGCGCGGTCCACCTGCATCTTATCGTGTCACACATGGTATCGTCAACTATGACCGTGGCACCTGGTCCGTGCGCTTTCACGCAGTACATTTCTGTGTCAAATATATCTCCCGGGTTTTTGTCCGGAACGGGGACCGGATTACCAGGGTGCATTCTTTTCGAATAGGCAAGATCCCAGGGAAGTAATGTAACTTCGCATGGCGGCCTTACTACAGTCACTAAATTTGAAACGGTTCTCTCCACTTCCGCCAGCAGTGTGCATTATGTATCCGTCCGATAGAGGGCAGGCGGCCGAGGAGCCCTCACCGTCATGGGGCGAGCCGAGACTGATAAGTGAATAGATTTATGAAAGAAGGTGCAATAAATGAAGTTAAAAGTTTTGACAAATTGATTACACATTTGGCCTGCACCAACTCGTGTAACTCAATAATTACATAATATGCATATAAATTAATTGCTCGGCACTCACAATGGAACCTTTTTACAAGCTACACTAGCATTTTTAACGAGTTATATCCAAAAATCAAGCCAAAAATTATTTAGGAATCACATAGCGCTTATCATTCCGTTGAATGGCCCTATTGACGAAAAATATTGGCATCAGAGTTCAACTTGTTTTAGTAAATTTTCCCTCCACGAGACGAAAACCAAGGCGCCCGTGGGTACTTTGACCCCAAATATTTTTACTCAAACGGGCAGATCAACGGAATGATAAGCACCATGTGATTACTAATTCGTTGGTTTGATTTTTTGATAGAACGACCTCGTTAAAAATCCCAGTGTAGCTTGACAAAAGGTTCTATTGTCAGAGCTCGACGATGTCATGGATATTTGGATTCTGGGGGCGAGATATTTATTTGGAGGTTTTCATCCGATATCAGCCGAGCTGTGTTGCTACTTAATGGCGATGCAACTCATTAAATTTCATGTCAGCTTTAGGTTAGGATCCAAGTCAAACCAGTAAACTTTTCGTAATATCAGAGAAAAAGTATTTGACGATCTTATCCTCTAATTACAACCCTAAGTACTATCCACGAACTTAAGCTTGGCACCTCATTTGCATATTTTGACGCATTCGCATTCGAGACATACAGTTTATTCAACATGGAAAGCCCAATATCGCCGAAAATGGGCGTAGTGAGATTTATCAAATGAGGTTACAAGCCTAAAAACCAGGACAGTATTTACTTACTTGTGACCCATTTCATGCGCAAAAATTCTAACCCCATCAAAACTGCCCCCGTCTCGGTTCACTGTTGTTTTCGCCCTGTTTCGACAGGTCCCACCAACCCATGCGATCCCACCGATCGATCCAAAATTTTCCGTACTCATTAAACCCACAGAATCAAAAGGGACGTAATTGGCGGCATTTGTAACCATGTAGTCACCTAAATGCGATTTAAACACGAGTTCAGCAGGAATTTAAATATATCTACATAATGCACAAATTGAATAAAAATGTGAAATTTGCTTACTGAATCCTCCCAAAATACCACCAATATCGATATTCGTGAATATTTAATGTGTCCGTGGGAAAGAGCATGTTTTTGCGCAATTTCTTGTATGTATAATTTTCTATCCTATTAATTCTTTGGGGAATAATATTAAAATAAAATCAGGCATTTGCCTCTTTAATTTGTGCAAAATATGTGTCTTTTATATTGTTGATGTACATTAATAATTTACATTAATTTAACGATCATTGCATACTTTCATGTATCTACACAAAATTTATTTTACCAGTTGCCAGTTTGTACAGTAAGCAAAAGAACAGGGCGTACCTTTGCGTATCTATAATTGCGATACGGCCTAAATTCGAGTAATTGAAATATACAAAAGTAAATATATATAATATATTAATATATGCGTCAAAATTCTCTGAATTTCTTCGAAGTCAAAATTTTAGGCCTTAAAACCGTTTTTGGCGATAAAGGAGGAGGCACTGTCCTTATGTGAAATGCCCCGCCGTGATATTCGCCCCAAATTTTGATATGTTGTACATCTCGACAGGCTGAACAAAACATGTATTGGTCCCTAAGCCCTAAGTGACCTGGTTCAACCGGAAATAGAGGTCAAAGGTCAGTGCAGTTTTCCGCTCGAAACCCCATAAACCGCATATTTTTGGAAAGCTACTGACCTCACGAGTCCGAATATACACTATAATAGGGTCAAAGGTCAACCCTTGATTTTGAAGGTCAAGTCAATAAGTTGAGTCGACTCTATCGCTGTAGTAAGGATGTGCAACTGTGTTGCAAGAGCAACGCACATTTACAACTGTGTTGCTTGACTCCAAAAGGTCAAGGGTTGACCTCAGAAGGTCAAGGGTTGGCCATTTACCCTATTATGGTGTATATTCGGACTATTTTGGACTCGTGAGTTCCGAAGCTTCCAAAAAATATGCGGTTTGCGGGGTTTCGAGCGGAAAACTGCACTGACCTTTGACCTCTATTTCCGGTCGAACCAGGTCACTTAGGGCCTAGGGACCAATACATTTTTTGTTCAGCATCTCGGGATGTACAACATATCAAAATTTGGGGCGAATATCACGGTGAGGCATTTCACGTAGGCATGCATTTAAAGCCTCTCCAATTAAATAGGAAGTACCCTCCAAATATTTCAGAAGTACCCTTCATGGACACCTGCCTCTTAAAGTCATTTTTGAATTAGGGTTTTGGTGGCAAACTACCTCTTAAAATAATGTACATATCTACAACCCAAAATTTTAGGATTTTATATAAAAAACGTATCATTTATATGCAATTAAAGTTAAGGCTTCTGTTGAGGGAGCAGACCTACTACCCGTAGATAAGTCCTCACTTAAAAATTGCCGAGTGGAATGCGGTGTATGACTTTAAAACTCTTCTCGTGACTTATGATTCTTGCGATTCTTTACTTTAAAATCAAAGCTGGAACTAGTAAAGCCAATTACATTTACTAAACCACTTTATTTAATTAGAATCAATTAATTCGTTGGAACATTAATTTTACATGACTTCTCATGACCAACTCAAACCCAAGAATAATCCATACAATTATTCACTCACACAGCAACAGAAAAAATAGTGGCCCAAGCCCAAGAGAACCGGAAAACTCAAAATCACGAGGTTATGAGACACTCAATTACAATACAAAGAAATAAAGGCATTTTCATACAACTACAAAACATCATTACTTATGAAACCTTATACTAAATTCTACATCCTCCACCTTTTCTTTCGTGAGGAAACGAACAAAAGAAAACCAGATAATTTTATACAAATACATGAATTATAACTTTAACTTTTGACACTTTAATTCACTGGTCTTCTCACTTTACGTCCAAATCGGGTAGCTATCCCCGGCTCAGTTTCTTTCAACTTTTGCACCGCAGACTCCTTGTCCAATCTGGCAGTCTTCGTGACCTCTGGTGTCACTGCTGGCAATTCCTTCGATGATGAGATCTCCAATGGATAAAGACGTTGAATGGGTCGCAGGAACATTCCTCCCATCGTCTTAACTTTCGCCACGCGGGCTTGATCCTTTCCGAGGAAGTCCACAATTCTTCCCATTGGCCAGTCCAAACGCTTCTTATTATCCGCACCGATGAGAACAAGATCTCCAACTTCCAACTTATGCTCTTTCTTCATCTTGCCCTTATGGACCAAAAGTGCAAGATATTCCTTTCGGAAACGATTTCGCAGTTGCACTCGCAACGTCTTCAGTTTTTCATACTGCCTCCTCAGACCACTCCCATCCAAAACCGCTACTTCCGGAAATTCCGTCACAGTTATATCTTGAATAAACATAGCCGGTGTTAGTGGGATGAGGTCGTCTTGGTCCTCATTTACAAAGGTTAAGGGTCTTCCGTTCACGACAGCTTCCACTTCGCAAAGACATGTGAGAAGCTGATCGTAGTTCAATTTCTTATGACCCAGGACACGTTTCAATAAATCTTTAACATTTCTGATCAGCCGCTCCCAAAATCCTCCCCACCAGCTTGCTGTAGGGGGGTTGAACAGCCACTGAATCCTTTGAACTTGGGATTCGGCTTCAATCCTCTTCCAATCCAATTTTCGGAACAAATTGTCCGCTCCGACAAAGTTCGTCCCGTTGTCGCTGTAGATTGTGGTGGGTCGACCACGTCTACTCACGAAGCGAAACAACGCCAACAAAAACGAATCAGTGCTGATCGATGTCACCAACTCCAGATGGATTGCACGGTAGACTGCACACGTAAAAATCACGAACCAAGTCTTCGACCCGTCGGTCAGAGTGAGCGGACCTGCTAAATCCACTCCCGTGATTTGAAAAACTGCTGCGGTCTTCACACGATTTTCTGGCAATGCTGCCTCCGTCACATTTCCCGATTTGGCAGTAAAACGGCGACACGTCACGCACTTCCCAATAACTCTTCTAATTGCTTTCCTTGCTTGAATAATCCAAAAACTCTCTCTGAGCGATCCCATAAGAAACTGGACCCCAGCATGCCCGTTGATAGCATGACTCCATCTAATAAGTTGCTCCACCATGGGATGATCATTTGGCATTAAAATCGGCAACCGGAAGTGTTCTGAATCCATCCTATTCAGCAGCTTGGTCTTCACGCAGAGAATTCCATCAATATTCTTGACCACACGGAGTCCACAAATTACTTTCTGATCCATTGGAAATTCTTCTCGTTGCACCAACTGCACCAAGGTCACTTCGGCACGATTTAGTTCCTCCTTCGTTAGTTTTCCATTTTCACTGCTCCTTTTTCTGCATTTGTCGCCAAATCGAAGGAGGTAGGCAATGTGGCGAATATTCTTCATATAGCTTGAATAACGCTTCACATACCATGCATCGACTGTCTCCACGGAACTCATAAAAGCCTTCTTCTTTTCAAAATTGATTGCATTTTCATCCAGCTTTTCGGTATGCGCTGGCCAATTTTCAGCCGGACCCTTAAGCCAATCTGGTCCCTCCCACCAACGAGATTCCACTAATTTCGACGGCGAACAACCACGCGACAGCAAATCTGCAGGGTTAATTCCACCTGGAACATGGGACCACTGCTTCGGCTGACTTAAGGTGCAAATCTCCTTGACTCTGTTCCCAACAAAAGTACCCCACTCGTCGTTACGCCGAATCCATGCGATGGCAGTGGTCGAATCACTCCAAAAATAAGTGGGCACATCCTCCATAGATAAGGCTTTCTTGACTGATGCTGTTAAACGACTTGCAATTGTACAACCAAGTAATTCAAGTCGAGGGATTGTGACCTTCTTGATGGGGGCAACTCTTGATTTTGCCTGAATCAGTTGCACTGATACTTCGTCCCCCCGGTCCACACGAAGAAAGACAATCGCAGCGTATGCAAACTGACTAGCATCCGAAAATGTGTGGATTTGACATCTCTCCTGACGAGATGCACAAACATGTCGAGGAATGTGAATGTTGTCCAAATCAGGGACCTCGCTCCACCATTCCAAGAACTCCTTCTTCACATCTTCTTCCAGTTCTGCATCCCACGATGACTTCTCCTTCCATATTTTCTGCAGTAATAACTTTGGGATCAATGTCGCAGGGCTGAGAAATCCCAACGGGTCATAAATCTTCTGCACTTGCGACAACACCACACGTTTCGAAATTCTTACTGGCAGCTCTTCACGTGGAATCTCAACCTTCAAAATATCTTCATTCTTATTCCACTTGAGCCCCAACACAGTTGTCAAAGGTTGGGACGATCCTTCCGCAGAACTGACCTCCCACTGGCGAAGATCCATCTTGGCATCCTCCAAAAGATGAACTGACTTCTCCTTAAATTCTTCATATTCTTCCATAGTATCCACGGACGTCACACAGTTGTCGACGTAGAGAGATTGGAGTAGTTTTAACGCCACAGCAGAATATTCTCGACTTGCACTCTTCAAATGATATTCTATTACTGCTGCAAGTAGAAACGGGCTACAATTCACTCCAAATACTACTCTTGAATGCCTCAGCACCTTGAATTCTTTTCTCCCTGGACTTTCCCACCAGAGAAAACGAAGAAAGTCACGGTCCGCAGGATCCACCGCGATCATCTGGAAAGCCTTGCGAATATCCGAGATGACTCCAATTCTTCTTTCCCGGAACCGCATTAAAATCGATGGAATTAACTCCAATAAATTCGGGCCTTTTTGCAAACATTCATTTAGCGATGGATTTCTTGACATCTTGCACGATGCGTCGAAAACTGGGCGCACGGGCGTGGTCAAACTGTCCGGTTTGAAGACCGGGCGATGAGGCAGGTAGTGGACTAATTTTCCATTTTCTTGCAAGTCCTCGCCACTCACCTCCTCGACGATCCCTTCTTCTATCCACTGCTTAAAAATTCCATCATAGACATCATATTGATCTGCAGCCTTCAATTTTGTTGTTGCTGCCATCAGCCGCTTCTCCGCCACCATTCTATTACTTGGAATCGGGGGCGCCTCACCAATCCAGGGCAATTTCACCGAGTAGCGACCATCATCGGTTCTTGTTACCGTATTCAAGAAATGCTTTTTAGTTTCCAATTCTTGATCTTTATTCTTTACATCGACAGGATCCATAATTCCTAAAGTCTCCAGACTCCAAAGTTCCGACACGGACGACTGGCAAGACATAAGGGCGCTGGACAAGTGTAACATTGCTGTTGAATGATAACCCGCTGGTAATTTTCCACTCAAGGTCCATCCGAAGACTGACTCCATAGCGGTCAACCCACACGCCAACTGAACAACTCTTCCTGTCATTAGTTGCCCAAAATAGTCACTTCCCACGAGGACTTCAATTTCTGGATTCTGTGACTTCATGTCACTCAGCATTATCCGGTTCTGTGCTAATTCTTCTAACCACGGACCTTTTGGGATTCTGCGAAGTCGGCCACAAATTTCTGGTTCGTCCAAGACTTCCAAATCTCGTTGAGTATTTCCGTCCGGGCTGGATAATGTTACACGGAGTCGGTTGTGTCGCCGTCTTTCAGTTAACTGGCCGCCGAAGAGAACCTTTCTTGACCATACTTCCCCTACCGGCTCCAATCTTAATGCTTCTGCTGTGTCGCGACGAACACTTGACCCTTGACTCCCGTTATCAAATACAAGACGCGCCACACGGTATCTGCTCTTATCATTGTTGTAGATCCGAACTAGCAGCGTTTGTAATAAGACGTCCCCTGCACATTCATGGCTTGTCATTGCTGATGGGGCACCACCTCTTATTTCTTCTCTGTCGACCGGTCTCGCCTCCTGCTCTTGGGCCTTCTGGGCGACTTCCGGACACATTACCACCACATGTTGTCTTGAACAAATGATGCACTTTAACTTTGCTTTACAGTTGCTTGAAAAATGACCGGACCTTAAGCACTTATAGCAACACTTTCTGTCCTTCACTCTGCCATTCTTCTCTTTCATGGTCATCTGAGGTCCTCGCCAACAGTCAACACTGGCGTGATTCTTGTCACAAAAAATACAAGTTGAACTGTGCCCACTGAATAACCCAGCTGCTGTTGCGACGTCGCTCTTGTGATACCCTTCACCGCGATGATTATCTTTCTTCTTGTCCTTTTCCGGCTGTTTCTGCGATGGGATGACGAATGTGAGCCTCTGAGCTCCCTTAACTTCCGCGCGGATGAACTTCATGAGACAAGTCAGTCTCTCCTCCACCGGCTTAATTTCTTCGTCTCCATATCCGGACAAGGCACTTCTCTGCCACACTTTCACTAATTCAATTGGCAGTCCTGATTCAATCATTGGATAGAGGAACGCTGCACTTTCTTTAAATGTCACTCCAAGGGACTCGAGACCTCTCAAATTGGACTCGAGATCATCATACATACTCGCCAATGAGATATTTTCATTCTTCTTTCCAGCATTAGAGATGACCAATTGTTGCAGCTTCCTTACATACACCTCAGTGAGTAGCACTTTGTCGCCAAACCTGTCCTGCATAGCCTCGATAACTTTGGGATAATTCTTTGCAGACTGTGGCCAACTTTCAACAAGTTTTGCAGCTTTGGAGCCAGGAACCATGGATTGAACAAGATACTGAAATTTGTCACAATCGTGGAGTTCTTCATCTAAATGTATCTTCTCGAATTGTGACCAAAAACTAATCCATTCCGTCACTTCGCCTGCAAACTTCTTAATTTCAATTTTGGGCAGCTTGTAAGTCCGATTCTTTTTTAACGTAGTCGACTGCGACGACGATCCGGCTTCGGATTCCGACAGGACCCCAGGCAGGTGAAAAACGCGACGCACTTTCACACAAAAGTCCGACCACTCATCCCGGTACTTATCCATGCTGTCGTACTCTGCTTGGTACTCTTCTTCCGAACACTTATCTGCCAGCATCTTAGCAAGAATCTTGTCATCAGATAACTGCAGGTTTTCTATCGCCACCTTCATCCGTTCCATTTTCACCTCGACCTCCTCCTCATCTGGATTGTCAGAATCCAAAATGATCTTCAATTCGTTGAGTGTCCGAGTGAACTTCCTACGAAACGGAGTCCTTGTAGCCTTCAAATCTTCCATGACGAAATCTCAGGAAAATATAAAATCCAACAAATACCAAATATTAATATTTAAGTAAGTAACAGCAATTAAAACTGGAATTCTCCAACCTAGGTAGGCTGCGCTTAGGGCCGCAGCAAACCGCTCATTCGGTTCTTCTTATAAATTAACTCCTGGTTGGTCTCTGTTGCTCCACCCACTCGGTCTTCTCAAAGGGATGAACGACGGGCAATACGGCAGCAACGTGAATCTCTTCCTCCTCTTTGACCTTGGCACAAGTCCGTCTTTTAAGGCAGGAACCACTAACACCACACTACTCTCGACAATCACGTCGAGGTCACCAAAATGTTGAGGGAGCAGACCTACTACCCGTAGATAAGTCCTCACTTAAAAATTGCCGAGTGGAATGCGGTGTATGACTTTAAAACTCTTCTCGTGACTTATGATTCTTGCGATTCTTTACTTTAAAATCAAAGCTGGAACTAGTAAAGCCAATTACATTTACTAAACCACTTTATTTAATTAGAATCAATTAATTCGTTGGAACATTAATTTTACATGACTTCTCATGACCAACTCAAACCCAAGAATAATCCATACAATTATTCACTCACACAGCAACAGAAAAAATAGTGGCCCAAGCCCAAGAGAACCGGAAAACTCAAAATCACGAGGTTATGAGACACTCAATTACAATACAAAGAAATAAAGGCATTTTCATACAACTACAAAATATCATTACTTATGAAACCTTATACTAAATTCTACAGCTTCCATAAAAGCATGCACTTTTAAAAACCACATGGTAATCAAAGCTGTTGTGGACTTAACAGGTCCTCCACGCTTCCGCTTGGTACAGGTTTTGTGTTCACATCGAAAAATTCTTTTATAATTTAGACAAAGACGAAGTTCATCTTTACAAACATACAGTACCCGTTCGTAAAAAAACGGATACACGTGCATGTAGATTTTTTCACATCAGCACAGCAAAATAGAACTAACTATAGGGTTGAGATTTCCAGATAATGTCTTAAAAAGGTAAAATTCGGCCCAGTGAAATTGGCGATTAACACTTGCTTCACATGAAAGAATATGAAGTTACAAGTGAGCAAAGTGCAATCAGTGACCCTATACGGTGACCTATACCGTTTTTAAAAGTTATTATTTTCATCTTAAATTTAGTATAGATTGCAAAAACCACTAATGGATAGCACATACAGCTTTGGAATTTAGCTAAAAATCTGCATCTTTTGAAACACTCAAATAGTTTTTTTTACATATTTTAGCGCTTTTTCCAAAAAATATCTTTTTTTAGTAAAATCGCAGAAATTCACAATACATAAATAATTCCGATCATTAATGTAATATGAAACCAAAGCATGTGGATAGCTTGTTATTTGTCAGTGTGAAATATTAAAACAATTTTTGACATTTTTGCAGTCAAACAAATTAATTTTTAAGCAATTTAAAACGAATTAAAAAATGTTTTTCATAAATACATGTTTTGGGTATCTGATTAAACATTTTACATAATTATTTAGGATATTTAAGAACATAATCAACCGTACTCTGCACTCAAAATAAGGTAGTAATGAATCATTACCATGCAGAATGACTATGTGGCTCTACCACGTCGGTTACGATTTGTCGTAGAAGAAATGGTAATAATAATTTCAGGGAAATTCAAACTCATTACCAAATATTAAGGAAGTTAATACCATTATGTATTAAACTTGAATTTCCCTGAACTTATTATTACCATTTCTACTACAAATCGTAACCGACGTGGTAGAGCCACATAGTCATTCCGCATGGTAATGATTCATTACTACCTTATTTTGAGTGTGGTAGGTAGGCCCATCACTAATAAGAAATTTACACAGATTTGTGATATGCAAAATGAGAGGCTACTTCCATTTAACGGCAGGGAAAATTTAGAGCATTAAGAGGTTGCTTTCCATTTAGGTAACTTCTTAAATATTCGGAGGGTAATTTCCATTCTTTTGGAGAGACATTAAATTACTTCCTTTCACGTAAGGACAGTGCCTCCTCCTGTGGGCATCAATAATATTCCTACACAGTCCTGTGATAGCTCAATTTCTTCGTAAGGCCTTGCACCATCCAAACACAAAAGTTGGACGACCCCCAAAAAATTGTTTATGAAGTTGTTTGTATTTTTGGCCCCTCATTTTCAAATGTTAAAAAATTCTGACATTAGACCTGTCCATGACCTTAAAATCGACGACGCGGAATTATTCGTCAATGAAGTGGTTCAACTGCGTGCAGAGTTTCAAAGGGCTAAATATTAGGGATCAAGTCGCAATTTAAAATACGTAAATGTACGAGCTATTATTTTGCTTACTGTACATGTGCAACTGCAAAAAAACCAACTGGTTAAATAAATGCAGACCTGTAGATATGACATATATTAATTAAAGCATAGAACGAGCCTTAAAGTAATGCAAGTTACCAATATACGATATAAAGAACAACTTTTGCAAAATTTAAGAGGCAAATGCCTCATTTTATTTTAATAGTATTCCCCAAAGAATTAATGGAACAGAAAAGTATACATACAAGAACTTGCGCAAAAACATGCTCTTTGCGACTAACAAATTAAACGCTCGTGAACAACTCCATTTTTCAAGTGAGTATCAAAGATCTCGATTAAAATAATTATATCATATCATTTCCTGATTGGTTCAGTTAGAGAACTGCGCTTCGGATTACTTCGCAGAGTAAAGGTCCACTTGTTCTTATCTTCATAGGCAACGGCCGTGCTGCTGACAAAACAATATTTCCAACGGTCTTCCAAATCATTGATATATTTGACAGCCAATTTCAAACTCGCTTCCGGCCTATTGTTCATGAACCTAAGGAATTAATGAACAAAAAAGAAGACTATTAATTTTGTGAACACTTCGTTATCCCAAATGGTAAATTATTAATGTTAAACTCACGTAAATGTGTCTTTGACGCCATTAACCCAGTCGAACGAGCTGCTGGCGACTGACGAAGCTTCAACGATAAGAACGTCCACAGGTGACGTTGACTTCAGGTCGAATTCGGCATGGCATCTCCTCATTACGCTAGCTTCGGTGTCTTTTAAACCTAAAATGGATATGTTCCAAAAGATGTTACCATTAGTCTCACGCCTAGTCTCACACCTGTGGGTTTAATTAATTAAAAGTGTTTAAAAAATATAAATACCCTTTTTCGATGTACTTAATAATTAAGTTTGTAAGTACATATTCAAGAATTTATTTTAAAAACAACTAAACAAATTTACGCTTACGTTACTGTACAGAACCGCATAATGATGGGTGAAAAACGGAAACCTTGAGAAATTTAGGAGGAAATTGGTGTCGTGAAATTAATTTGTGAAATTACGAGACAAATTTTAACTCGAGATTGTAAATAAATTTTGAGCTTTGTGAGTGAAAGTCCGTTTCAACTAGGGAGAGATTGAGTCTGGCGGACAGGCAGCACCACCACGGAAATCTGTTCGTAAAAAGTGATTTGTCTCACTTTGTTTCGCTTTCCCCATGTAAAAATTGCATAATACTGGTCAACTTTCATTAATTATTTTGCAAAGATTGCATTTATAATCAAATATAGTAGCAAGTGGATGTTACTCTGCGTAAATAGAAATGTAATCCTCGCATCGATTCTGATAATCACTTTAAAAGTACTATGAATTTTTCATAAACATTTATTACTCAATATTATTGAGTAATTAATTTTAATTTTATTTTTAATTTTAAATTTTATAAAAAATTATAAAAAAAATATTGCATATTATGCAATATTTTTACAGGGAGACGGAGACAAAGTGAGACAAATCACTTTTTTACGTACAAAATCCCGTGGTGGTGGTGGCTTGTCTGCCAGAATCAATTTCTCCCTCGTTGAAACGGACTTTCACAATCTTGAATTAAAATTTGTCTCGTAATTTCACAAATTAATTTCACGACACCAATTTCTTCTTAAATTTCTCCCAGTTTCCGTTTTTTCCAATCATCCCATCATTATGTCGGTCTGTACAGCAACAGTAACGTAAGCATAAAGTATTTTGTTTTAATAAATTCATGATTCATAATACCACGAAAATGTTTTTGTGTTCTATTTATATTTTTGAAACACTTTTAATTAATTAAACCCACAGGTGTGAGGCTACTGTCGGCTCCCCCACTTCGTGGAATATCTCCATTTTTGGTTTAAATGAATTACAAGCTAAGGAAATGAGGAACTGCCGTCCGGAATTCAAGAAACGTTCAATGTCAGCGTCACCCGACATTCTTGTTGTTGAAGGTATGTCAGCTCTGGACGCCAACGTCGAGTTGCAAAAATGCGTCAATGCCACATTTGAGTGAGCCAACAAATAATCATTTCATTAATAATATTGATCTCATCGCATTTAAAATTCGTGATAAAGAAACCGTTCACAAAATTAATAATCTATAAATGCTTCCTTAGTGCCTTGGGAAACAGGCCGGAAGCGATTTTGACATTGGCTGCCAAATATATCAACGCCTTGGAAAACCGTTTCAAGTATTATGTTTACAACACCACGGCCGATTACATCGAAGGAAAGAGCAAATGGACCTTCACCCTGCAGAATCAAGCGAAACCTTTGCCGGACGCGAGTACTGAAGCAGAAATGAAATCTGTTTCTGGTGGCAACAATTGATAATCACTGGAAAAGTGCTGCTGTTCATGAATATTTAATTTGTCAGTCGCATGTTTTTGCGCAATTTCTTGTATAATTTGCTATCTCATTAATTCTTTGGGGAGTAAGATTAAAATAAAATGAAGCATTTGATTCTTTAATCTGTGCAGAATATGTCATTTATATTGTTAATGTCATATTAACAATGTACATTAATAATATACATATTAATTTAAGCCTCACTCCATACGTCCATATCTACATGCATACACATACATATTTTAATTCTTTTTTTGAAGATGCATATGTGTACAGTAAGAAAATGAGCAGATCGTACCTTTCCGTATTTTTAATTGCGATGATGTGATCCCATTGCGTAAACTTGGCGCTTTGAAACTCTGCACATACATGGTTGAACCAAATCATGTGAAAAATTCTGTAGATTTTTAAGGTCATCGACAGGTCAAATGTCAATTTTACAAAACTTCAAAGCGAACTTCACTTTGAAAAATTACAACTCCATGGATCATCTTTTTGTGGCCTTCCAATATTTTTTATTTAATGCTGCAAGACAGTGCTAGACTTAACGAAGAACATAAGTTATCATTGTGTACCATGTTTTGACGAATTTTTAGCCAAAAACGGTTTTAAGGCCTAAATTGTGGCCGCCGCGAAGCTCAACAAGGCATATATGGTGCTGTATATTTCAGGTATTTGAATTTTGGCCATATCGCAATTAAAAATACGTCATTGGTAATAGTACTATCTTTTGTTTTGCTTACTATACATGCGTAGGTAAAATTGCAGTATAGCGGGTTAGCTCGGATTTGGCTGAAATTTTTTTTGTGACTACCCTAAGGTCCCCTGAGCATAAAAATATTTTTTTTTCGCGGCGGTCTCAAAAACTGAAATTTCTAGATATTTTTGAAATTTTGTATAAAAATTATTTTTTTGTCTTAGATTTTCATGAAAATGACTTTCTAGACTAACTAAAGTATGTATCCTGAACACGAATCTGAAGAAATTTTTAAAAAATATTCAATAGCAAAAAAGTAATAATTATGCCCGTATTGGGGTATATTGTTGGTATTTTAGCGAGCAAAGCGAGCAGGTTAGGTTAGGTAAACTAGGTAGGCGGAAAGCGTGGAATTTTTACCTACCACAGAATATAGATTCTACCAGAAGAATCGATCTTATGTATTTGAGTGACGCTTATGGAGGAACGGGAGAGCCAACCAAATAACTCGGTGTACATTTGGCCCACCTCGGGGATGGCACCTCCGCATCATCATCATCGCCACATCTCCTGGCATCAATAAATGATGATGAAAGCACATAGGTGGCGCTGGCACCCCCATTTGTGCACCAGAACACACCATTCTGAGCTGCGTCTCCACAAATTTGATGCTCTACGAGGGTGTGTTCTGGTGCACAAATGGGGGTGCCACCGCCACCTATGTGCTTTCATCATCATTTTTTGATGCCAGGAGATGATGATGATGCGGAGGGCCATCCCCCAGGTGGGCCAAATGTACACCGAGTTATTTGGTTGGCTCTCCCCGTTCTTCCATAAGCGTCACTCGAATACATAAGATCGATTCTTCTGGTAGAATCTATATTCTGTGTTTACCTACTAGTGCTACCTAGGAGAGCTGGGTAGTAGTGCTACCTAGGAGAGCTAGGTAGTAGTGCTACCTAGGAGAGCTAGGTAGTAGTGCTACCTAGGAGAGCTAGCTAGTAGTGCTACCTAGGAGAGCTGGGTAGTAGTGCTACCTAGGAGAGCTAGGTAGTAGTGCTACCTAGGAGAGCTAGCTAGTAGTGCTACCTAGGAGAGCTAGCTAGTAGTGCTACCTAGGAGAGCTAGGTAGTTGTGCTACCTAGGAAAGCTAGCTAGTAGTGCTACCTAGGATAGCCGGAAACCAGAAATCTCATGTTACCCCGAAAATTTGATTTTACCCCACAAAATTCCTGACAGGGGGAAAGTGAGACAAAGTCTTGGAATTCTCTGAAACATCGAAGAACAATTTGTATGCAAAATTTGAAAAATTTATAACTTTTTTGCTATTGAATGTTTTTTAAAAATTCCTTCAGATTCGTGTTCAGGATACTTTAGTTAGTCAAGAAAATGGTTTTCATGAAAATCCAAGACAAGAAAATAATTTTTATAAAAAATTTCAAAAATTTCTAGAAATTTCAGTTTTTGAGACCGCCGCGAAAAAAATATATTTTTATGCTCAGGGGACCTTAGGGTGTTCACAAAAAATGGAGCGGACCCCAAAAAACGGTTCAGCCATATCCGAGCTAGGCCGCTATACTGCAATTTTTCCCATGCGTAACTGCAATAAACTACTAAAATAAATGTATGCACTAGTATTCAGAATATGATACATACGATACATATGAAACGAGCCTAACATTAACGCAAATAATTTACACACATTTAACAATATAAAAGACACATTTTGCAATATTAAAGAGGCAAATGCCTCATTTTATTTTAATATTATTCCCCAAAAAAATTAATGGGATAGAAAAATATACATACAATAACTTGCGCATGCTCTTTGCGATAGACAAATTAACTATTCACGAATAGCAGCAATCATTTTTCAAGTGATTATGAAACATCGCGATCAAAAAATGGTGCAATGATTACTTCATTTAATACATTGTTTCCACTTCGAACTTGGACTTTTACTCGGCGGACTTCGCAAAGTAAAGGTCCACTTGCTCTTTCCTTCGGAGACATCGGCCGTGGTGCTCTTCAGCTTATAATGTAAACTTTCCAAGCTGTTGATATATTTGGCAGCCAACTTCAAAATCGCTTCCGGCCTATTGCTCATGGCCCTGAGGAATTAATGAACAAAGTATTTAGAACATTAATTTTGTGAACGCTTGGTTATTACAAATTTTAAATGTAATTAATGTCAATATTATCTAATTAAATTATTATTTTTAACTCACCTAAATGTGTCCCTGACGCCATTGTGTACGACCAATTCAGGGCTGGTGGGCAGATCTCGCTTATAATGAACAATACAAGTGTCCACGGCTGACCCTGATCCGGGGTTAAGTTCGGTATGGCGTGACCTCATTTCGCTTGCAAGCTCGACATCTAAACCTAAAATCGAGATGTGCCAGGAATTAGGATAGCCGCTGCGAGCTTCACACCTTGTGGGTGTAATTAATGAAACGTGTTTAAAATATGTAAATAGAACAAAACAAAATTGTTCGTTGTATTCATGAATGAATTTATTTTTAGACAATAATTGCACAAAAGAACTTTACGCTTACGTCAATATGCAGATCGGCATAATGATGGGATGGGAGGAAAAAATGGAAACTGAGAGAAATTCAGGAGGAAATTGGAGGGTCGTGAAATTAATTTGGGAAATTACGAGACAAATTTTAATTGAAGATTGTAAATAAGTTTTGAGCTTTGTGAGTGAAAGTCCGTTTCCAATGAGGGTGAGATTGAGTCTGGCGGACAGGCAGCACCACCACACCGTGCGACGGATTGAACTTTTTGTGGCCACGCGCATTTTCAACTTTCCCGTAAGGATATCATGTGTTCTCTATATCTCTGTTATTCCCCATAATATCCATTCCTGGTAAGTACTAAAAAAAGTTCAAAAAATTAGAATTATTTTGATAAAAAAAAATTCTGCTATAAGTTTATACTTTTGGCATGAGCGGGGTTCAAAGTTGGGATTTACAAGGGTAGTGTCACAAGTGATAATCGCGGATTTCACATACAACACATCAAAATGAACACAATATTTGTTATAATGAACTGAAATTAACTGAAATGTGATTACTAGTCATAATACATGATATTATAGCACGATAATGCAATGTTCGCCCGATTTTGGTAAAAAAATAAATATTGGAAAAATAAATTATATTTGTGTCATATATGATTAATTTAACTAAAATATTTATTTATTTCGCAGAACCGAGGAATCGAAATATGAAGAGAAGCTTCCTTCGTGGACATGATGAAAATTACTTGGTTAAATGATCTAGGATGAATGTTTGGCAATTATCGTTGGGATGTTCGGTGTTATTGGTAAATGAGTTAAAATAATATTCTTGTTTCAGATTACAATTGATTACGGTAGCGACACGGACATTGACATGGATTGGACACCAATTTCGGAAACACCAAACACCGTGGGGGGCCCATCGGTGGGAAGTCAGGAAGCTGAACCCGGAGTGTATGATGATCTTTCCCATACGGACTCCACACAGCAACCTGACGGACCTAAATCGGGCTATTCGTTAAAAAATGAGCACAATTTGGAAGATGACGACACGGAAGGAGTACCAACAATTATAGAAAAGAAGTTTTTGGCCGAAAAGGTAATATAAGGGTTATTTTATTCTCAAAATTAATAAAAAAAATTTACTGTTTTTTTTACTTAAATAATTAAAATCATATGGGTTTCAGATAGTAAATTTAAAAACACCGTCTGAACAAGTTAATTTTATCAAGACAACTGTATCAGAATCTTTACCTGCAAGTTTGAACGATCTGCAACAGGATCACTTGGACAGATTAGCAAGAGCTTGGGCCTTCAAAACAGTCGCCAAATATCAGAAGTGCGCAAGAAGAATGAGTTTTTTCTTGGACAAGGAAAAACAATACTTGGACGGTTATTTTGTCTTGCCTAAAAACTTCTTCCCTTCAGAAAGGACCAAGCGACGAAGGGTTGAAGAACTTGAGAAATCCTTGTCCCCTGAGGATCCTGGCGACCTTGTCCATGCAGTTTCTAGGACGTTAAATAAGCACGGACATCCTGAGGCAGCCAGAATTATCAAAAAATCCCTGTCACCATCGAAACAGCAAGTAATACTGGATTCCCTCAGCAAACCTTCAACAACTCCAACCCCTTATACTGCTGAAGAAGCATTGTCCCTAATTTTGGATTTGGGATTGACACAAACACAGTACCAGAGGCTTCGAGAAGGAGCTAACCAGCATGGATGTCCTTTATATCCATCCTACCATGAAGTTCAAAAGTGCAAGATTTCCTCAAGACCACCAGCGGATGAATTGTGCGTGACAGAGTCCTCAGCATCAATTCCATTGAATTCCCTGTTACAGCATACTGCATCTCGTATTGTCAATATGCAGAATTCGGTCTTGCTTCAAATATTTGCCTCTCAACATATATGTGAGATCAAAGCAACACTAATTTGCTCATGGGGATTTGATGGATCATCTGGACAATCTAGATACAAGCAGAAGTCTTCAACATCTTTTGACGACTCCTCAATATTTGCAACAACTTTGACTCCAATCAGATTGACTGCCGCTAATGGAACTGTAATTTGGAACAATTCTTCGCCTCAATCCATTCGATTTTGCAGACCCCTACACCTGCAATACATCAAGGAGTCCCAGGAAAAAATATTGAACGAGCAAAAATATGTTGAAGATCAGATTGCAGTTCTCGACCCAATTGAAGTATTTGTGGACCTGGGGAAAACCATCACCATCAACTTCGACTTGAGATTTACTGTAATTGACGGAAAAGTATTATCAGCAATTTGTGGGGTCAAATCTTCAATGTGTTGCCCGATTTGTGAAGCAAAACCTTCAACATTTAATTCCATCGAAAATATTGGAAAAGGGTTGTTTACCCCGAAGCCCGGGCGTCTTAACCATGGTATCAGCCCTCTCCACGCTTGGATTCGACTTTTGGAACTTTGTTTACACATTGCATACCGCTTGGATATCCAGAAATGGCAGGCACGTGGACCTGTGCTTCAGGCAAGTGTAAAGAAGAGGAAGGAAGAGATCCAACAGTTACTGCTGAAAGAAATGGGACTGCGGGTGGATTTTCCAAATAATACTGGCAGTGGAACATCCAATGATGGCAACACCGCTCGTCGAGCATTCCGAAATTACGAAGAGTTCGCAAAGTTGACTGGATTAGATGTGGAGTTTGTTCGAAGGCTCTGGGTCATCTTGGTGGCCTTAACTTGTCAACTCCCCCTCAACGCTGACAAATTTGGAGAGTATTGCTTCAACGTAGTACAATATTACCTAACTTTGTATCAATGGTTCCCGATGCCTGCATCAATGCACAAGATCCTGATCCACGGAAAGGACATCATAAATTCTAGTATTATCCCCCTTGGATGCCTTGGAGAAGAAGGAGGTGAGTCTCGAAACAAGATGTACAAGTCGGATAGACTGCGTCATTCTCGAAAAATTAGTCGAACAGCCACTATGACAGACATATTCAATCGAGCCATGGATACCTCAGATCCCCTATTATCATCTCTTCATCTGGACAAAAGAGCCCGTTATCGAAAACAGTTGGCTCTACCTCAAGAAGTCCTACATATGCTAGAATGCCCATCTGTACCAACTACACAAGAATTTGGTGACGATGATCAACAAGTCGAACCCGATGAAAACAGTTTGGACTACGAAAATGAAATTGAACTTGAAAACGAGGTAAGTATTTTTTTCCCCATTATTTTATTCTAACTATACTAAGTATTAGCCCAACGATAAAAACCAACGACAACAAATGTTTTTAGTTTTATGAATCTAGTCATTTTTGATCATGTTATAAGGTATAAAGTTAAATTGAGTGATTATAAATTATGTTTGTTATTATGCCCATGTAGTTCTACTCAGCGGCCCCAAGCCATGTACCTTAATACTCTAATCCCAGGTAGTATTGCGGTTTTAACCGACAAGGGGCCCTACCTGGCTTAAATTTTCTATTTTCAGATCTTTGAATCGAGTTGGCATTTGCACATGTGAACAACTTCAAAATAATTACAACAAGGCGTACGTTACATTTAAGGTAATGTTTTTTTTATATATTTCCTGTATTTATTTTTTTTACCAAAATCGGGGGAACATTGCCCTATCGTGCTATAATATCATGTATTATGACTAGTAATCATATTTCAGCTAATTGTAGTTCATTATAACAAATATTGTGTTCATTTTGATGTGTTGTATGTGAAATCCGCGATTATCACTTGTGACACTACCCTTGTAAATCCCAACTTTGAACCCCGCTCATGCCAAAAGTATAAACTTATAGCAGAATTTTTTTTTATCAAAATAATTCTAATTTTTTGAACTTTTTTTTAGTACTTACCAGGAATGGATATTATGGGGAATAACAGAGATATAGAGAACACATGATATCCTTACGGGAAAGTTGAAAATGCGCGTGGCCACAAAAAGTTCAATCCGTCGCACGGTGCACCACGGAAATCTGTACGTAAAAAGTGATTTGTCGCACTTTGTCTCCTTTTCAGGGTATTCCGACCCAGGGTTTTATTGGGTTGGGTTTTTTGGGTTTTAATGGGTTTTAATGGGTTGTTAAAGAATAAAACCCATTGAGTTTTACCATGTTAAATGGGTTTTATTTGGGTTTTAATGGGTTTGAACTGTATTTCAGCTTAAAACTATATTCTAAAAGCTGAAAACAGCTGTCATACGTTAGACGAAGTTGTTTGATGGCAGCTAAGCAGTTTATTTGATTAATACTGTAAGTTTTGAAAACCAGGAATAAATCGGCGAGTGCCATTACAGGTTTCAAGTGACAAAAAAATAATAACTTCGGAACGAGGTATGTTTAACTGAGCATACATAATTTAATTACATTTAATTTACATTTTCCTGTCATAATTAATACTTTTTTCCCGAATACTTCCTCCCATCTCATCCTCAGCGAATAAATTAAACAATATACTATATATTTTTTTAATTTATAAAAATGTTTCAACCCGATCTTCATTATCACCTCTGGAAAAATCGAGTACTTATGGACAGCGAAGTACTTTATTATGAGCAAAAGAAGTGTGTCTGTAAAAAGCACATTCTCGATCATAAATTATCATTCGTAATACATACGTACTTTCGTTGTTCATAAGTACTCGATTTTTTCCAGAATTGATAATACACGTTAAGATCGCATTGAAATATTAAATTTTAAAAACTTTTAAGCAACTTGGATTTCATTATGATGAGAGGAAGTATTCGAGAAAAAGGTAATATATGTAATTATGGTCTCATAAAGTATTAAACTATGATCAGTTAAATAGGACCATTTCGAAACGGATACAAATTCTAACATGGACAAGGAGGATTTGCATATTAACTGAAATTGGATTGCAATAGTAGTGAAAATTGTTGTTCAATGTATTACTTATGTAAAACCTAATACACTAGGGGACAATATTGAGTAAATTGGAAGAATGATTTCATTCAAACATGGAAATCTCAAAAACTAATGGATGGAAATGAATAATTGTTTTTGCATAATGTGTAGAATTTAATCAGCTACGAAGTCAAACATAAATACATGTAATGGGTATATATCCTGTCTTGAAAAAATGCGCGATTTGTAAAGAAAAAAATACGGGATAGACAAAATTGAGTAGATTTTTTAATTTTGTCGTTATAACTTGATAAGGTAAGCAAATCTTTCTATCAAGTATGGTCATTATGGTGTAGATACAACTTGTGAACATTTTTATTCTTCCAATTAGGATGTCAAAGGTCAGGACTAAGACCACTGTGGCAGAAAGGGCGCGCATCATTGACGCATGGGAAGGAGACGAAAATGGGTCAAAAACTTTAAAAGAAATATCAGAAATTTTAAAAATCAAGTACACAACTGTTTGGAAGATCATTGACCGCTATAAAAAGTCAAACAGCATTGGCAACAAGGCAGGTAGGGGAAGAAAGCAGACTTTCACGGACCGAGAGAAACGTTCAATCGTGAAGTTTGTGAAAATAAATCCGAGATCCAGCGCCGTGGATATTTCGAATGCTACTGAAACTGCCACAGGAAAGAAGACCAGTCCTAAGACTATCAGAAGAATCCTAAATTCGAATGGATACAAAAATTTTCGAGCGAAGAGAAAGCCCTTCATTTCCAAGACGAACATGAAGAAACGACTGAAGTTTGCCAAGGAGCATCTCAACAAGGACCAAGCTTTCTGGGACAAAGTTTTATGGTCCGACGAAAGCAAATTCAACATTTTTGGGTCGGATGGTCGGATCAAAGTGTGGAGGAAGAAAAAGGAAGCTCTGAAAATGAAGAATTTGAACCCCACTGTCAAGCATGGTGGAGGAAGCGCCATGGTGTGGGGTTGTTTCAGCTCTTCAGGTCCTGGAAAAATGGAATTTGTCGAAACGACCATGAATCAACATGTTTACCAGGGCATAATCGACAGGAATGTCAAAAGTTCGGCAGCAAAACTGAAACTTGGCAGGCGTTTTATCTTCCAACAAGATAAGGATCCCAAGCACACCGCTAAGTCGACTTGGGCGTTTTTCAAGACCCAGAAGATAACGGTGCTGGACTGGCCACCACAAAGTCCCGATTTGAATCCAATTGAGCACCTCTGGGATCACATTGAGCGGGAAATTCGAAAAACGCCTATTTCGAACAAAAACGAGGTAAAAAGGCGGCTTTCCGAAGCATGGGAAACTACTCCACCGGAAGTAACAACAACGCTCGTCAACTCGATGAGAAGCCGCTGCATTGCCGTGATTGAAGCTAAAGGAGGTCCAACTAGATATTAATCGCAAAAAAATTCAAATTGATATCTTTCTTTAGAAAATAATAGTAAAAGTCTGAAAAATTTACTCAATTTTGACCCTTCCATATTTTTTTCTTCACGATTCGGGCATATTTTCAAAAAAGCGGTTATACTCAGTACCTTAATTGATCTTTGGTTTTATAGTTACTTAAATCCTACACATTATGCAAAAGAAATTATTCATTTCCATACTATAGTTTTTGAGATTTCCATGTTTGAATGAAATCATTCTTCCAATTTACTCAATATTGTCCCCTAGTGTAAAACCCAATAAAACCCATAAAACCCATTAAAACCCAAAAAACCCATTAAAACCCATTAAAATCCCTGGGTCGTTACTTTTTGATTAAAACCCTGGGTTTTTCCGAACCCTGCTCCTTTTCCCTGTAAAAAATTGGATCTTACTGGCCAATGTTTCATTTAATTAATATGAAATGCATGCAGGATGATCAAAATGCATGCGTTTTAATTAAAATTGTATATTGCATTGGCAAATTACAAAATAATCCGTTAATTAATTAAGTATTTTGAAAAACAAACGTACTTGGAGCTGATTTAGACAGTATTTTGGATTTTACATGTGGAGAAATGTATATGCATACACTTCAAAATACAAAATAAATACAGATTTGTCAAACTTCTTGTATTTCATTTGATTTTTTTGAAAAATAAATACATATGACATATATGGAAAATTTATTGAATTGAGCAACCTATATTAGATTAGATCCCGAGCTTTTTGCATCCTATCCTATATATTGAAAAAAAATATTGATTGTCTGTACCAATTCGTAAAATACATGTATAAATGTGTGTAGATATAATACGTATGAAAGTATGCAACGAGCCTTAAATTAATGTAAATAATTAATGTACATTAACAATATAAAACACACATATTTTGCACAGATTAAAGAGGCAAATGCCTCACTTTATTTTCATATTATTCCCCAAAGAATGAACGCAAATTATACAAGAACTTGAGCAAAAAACATGCTCTTTGCGAAGGACAAATTAAGTATTCACGAATATCAATATTTTTCAAGTGATTATCGAAAGTTGTGATAAAAAAAACTAGCATGATTACTTTATTTACTACTTCGTTTCAACTTCGAAAGTGGACTTTTACTCGGCGAACTTCGCAAAGTAAAGGTCCACTTGCTCTTTCCTTCGGAGGAACTGGGCGTGGTGCTCTTCAACTTATAATTTAAACTTTCCAAGGTGTTGATATATTTGGCAGCTAATTTCAAAATCGCTTCCGGCCTATTCTCCATGGCCCTGAGGAATTAATGGATAAAGTATTTAGAACATTAAGTTTGGGAACGCTTCGTTACTACAAATTTTAAATGGAATATCAATATTACTGAAATTATTATTTGTTCACTCACTCAAATATGTGATTGATCTCAGGTCGGACAAGAAATCGACAGACGATGGGCCGGACTTCATAATGAAAAAGACACATTTCAAAGGCCGACTCTGGTCCGGGGTCAAGGTCGGTATGGCGTGACCTCATTTCGCTTGCAGACTTGGAATCTAAACCTAAAATGGAGATGTGCCACGAATCGGGGTTGTCGTTGCGAACCTCACACCTGTGGGTGTAATTAATTAAACGTGTTTAAAATATGTAAATAGAAGAAAACACAATTTGTCGTCGTATTCATGAATTTATGTTTTAAAAGTATGTACAAAACAACTTTACGCTTACGTCAATATGCAGACCGGCATAATGATTAGAAATAACGGAAACTGGGAGAAATTTAAGAGGAAATTGGTGTCGGGAAATTACGAGATCAATTTTAATTGAAGATTGTAAGTTTGAGCTTTGTGAGGGAAAGGCCGTTTCAAACAAACGAGAGATTGAGTCTGGCGGATAGCCACCACCACGGAAATCTGTTCGTAAAAAAGTTGTTTGTCTCACTTTGTCTCCCTTTGCCTGGAAATATTGCATTTTCATTAATTCATGGTGAAAATCATTTTCAGACAATAAATGTGTTTCAAACATGTAAATAAATGTTTCTTTTCCCTGCACCCTGTAAAAATATTGCATCATTCCGGACAACGTTTACATATGATGTAATGCATGCAGGAATTGTCAAAATGCATGAATTTGAAATGCCAATTATGCGAAATTATTATTTTGCATAATTTGAAATTAGGCAAATTCCTATTGTGGGATATGGGTATTATGCAACATAAATTATGCAAATCAACCGGAGGCCTTTGAAATAAGATTGTATTTTGTAAATACGAAATACCATGAATGTATATTGGAAGATATACATTCATGGAGAAAGTAAATGAAAATTCCAGCGTTATCGGTAGTTGCTTATGCATATTGATCATGTGTATCTTATATTATACATTTGTTATTAAATATCGCATCAAACTTGGTCATAAACAAGGCTCGAAAAACAACCCAGGATGTTAATCAAAAATAACAACCCATGGGTTTTACTGGGTTTTAATAGGTTTTAGGCAATAAACTCAACAAAAAAGTCATGTAACTGTTCCAAATCCAGTTCTAATTATAAACAAATCCTCCTTGTCCTTAGAAATTGTATCAGTTCCGAAATTATTTTTTTGTAGCACTGGATAGTGAGGGTCAGTGAGGGATGTTGTTCATTATTGATTTTTTCCTGGTTTTTAAAAATTACGATATTAATGAAATACAGGATGAATCGGTAACACGTGAACGCGGGCGATCTTGAATTGCTCCGAAACGGGTTGGAGTTTCGGTTCCAAATTTTGAGCATAACGACATGTGATTGTTGACAAGGGCTGAGCAAAAAATTAGCTCTCTAGATTCAAAAATGACCCGACCATTGACCTTAGAGTAAGAGGGTACCATAAAAACACTTTCCAAACTTAATTCTTCGTACACATACATAAGTAACCACTTCAAAACTCAAGGACAACAAGTTTCGAAAGGCCAGATACATAAGGTACTTAAAAATGAAGGTCAATAACGACAAGCTCGTACCAAAGGAAAACCATCATGCCTCAAACACGAGTCCGAAAAGTGCTAATTAGGCCCGTGCTTAAGAAAATTGACCTATTGACCTCTAAGGGCAACTCACCACCCCAGAGAGCAGTGGCTCGTCTAACCAAAGTGTCAGAGACTAATGTGCGTCGAGCAATTAAAATTTTGGGGCAGCCAAAAAGAAGAAAAATCCAAGTCAATCAGCTGACTGGGAAGCATAAAAAAATAGTCGTCTGACCTGCAAAAAAAATTTATGTGAATTACCTGACAAAAGATAAAAGTGGCTGTTTAGTGTCGTTGGATGAAGAATTATTTTCCTTACAAGATACCAACAGTCAGAGAAAAATTTACTATAGAACCAAAGGAGAAAATAATTCCAGAAGATTGGCCATCCCGCACACGGAAAACTTTTGCAACAAGTTCATGGTGGTAGGTGCATTATCTGGTCGTGGTGTCCTCCCACTTATCAAAGTTCCACAAAAAGTGAAGGTAACTACGAAGTACTATATTGACTTTGTTTTAAAACCGCTTTTGGAGATTTATGTCTCAAAACTAAATGGCCAGGACACCATAAAAGTGATAGTTCATCACGACGCAGCGTCATCGCACACCGCCCTTTTGACCCAGGATTACGCCAAGGACTTAAAAGCTAGACTCGGGATAACAATCATCCAGGATAGTGAAATACCTATTAAGTCACCCTATGTAAGTCCCATGGATTTTTTCGGCTTTGGATATCTGAAATAAAATCTTTTCTCCGCCACCCAAAAACTTTTGACGGAGTTTGGAAAGTTTTGAGAGACGAGTGGTCTAAACTTGACCTCGCCATGGTCAAATCAGTGTACAAAAGTTGAAATCGCCGATACCGACTTGTAGCTCGAGAAAAGGGCTTTCACATAAAAAATGTTCGGGACCTCCACTCCAAGCCGTTCAACCAGTAATTTAAGGTCAAAAACGTTCACGTGTTACCGATTCAACCTCGGTAAACGGATTAGCTCCTGTGAAACAACTTCCTCTAACGTATGAAAATCTAAAATAAAATACATTTAAAAAAATTGCAGATTTTTCCCAAATCCTTTCAATTTCAGTACTGTCATAGAAGAAACAAATTGTGGTGGTGGATGGATACCCGCCAGAATCGGTCTATCTCGCTGAAAACGAATTTTCGTACACGCCATAATTTATTTCCTGTGTTTCTTCACTTCACTTAAAATTTCTCTTAATTAATTTAATGACCCCGATTTTCCTTCAATCATCACATCATCATCATCATGCCAGTGTGCATACTGACGTACGTGTAAAGTTGTTTTGTAACTTCTTTTTTTAATTTTGAACACTTAATATATTTATTTTTATTCATGTGCAAGCCAAAACTTCGTTCCTGGGACCGTCCATAAATTATGTCACGCGAGAGGGGAGAGGGGGGGCCCAAGGCTCTAATGATATTATGCCTATGTGACACATGTTAAAGGATGGGAGGGGAGATCTAGAAAATCGTGATTTTTGCGTGACATAATTTATGGATCTCCCCTCTGATCTTTATATTTTAAAAAAATCTTTAATTAATTATACCCACAGGTGTGAGACTTACCACCCTCACCAGGACAGATGGAACATTTCAATTTTAGGCTTACCAGGCACCTTTGCCAAGAAAATGGGGTCAAAACATCCCGAACTCTTGTCAGGATCATCCAGCATTCTCGCTGTTGAAGCCATGTCATACCACGACGCCAGGAACAGTGATCATTTCATGTTCCAAAATGGCGTCAGGGATACATTTTCGTAAGCTGCCAAATAATGATTTAATTAATATTGCAATCATCATCAAAATTATGCTCTACTTATTTGATTCCTCAGAGCTATGAAGAATAAGCCCCAAGCGATTTTGAATTTGGCTACCACATATATCAATTCCTTGGAAGTTTTCAAGTACCATGTTATCAGCACTGAGACCACTTCCAGCCACGGATCTTGCAACTGGACTTTTACTTTGGAAATGAAGGAAATGTGCCCATAAAAACGTTTAGGAAGTGCTTAAAAACATTCGTAGTTTTTCAGTCACAATTTCTTGTATTCTTTTGTGTTCCATTAATTTTGTATTTAATTCCGTTTAGGGAACAATGCTAAAATAAAATAAAGCATTTTTGACTCTTAAATCTCGTAAGATATGGTTTTCAAACATATCTTACATACATACATATGTATAACCAATTTAGATTTAGTGAGTTTTTTGCAGAGCAACCAAAATATATATAGTCAAATTATTTATGCTAGTCACCTCATTTGCATAGTTTGACGCATTCGGGCGAGACATAGAGTTTATTCAACATGGGAGGCCCGTATCGCCGAAAATGGGCGTATTCAGATTTATGCAAATTAGGCGTGTCACGTTATTTGCATCTCATTATTATCATGGGCTTTCTACGTTATGTCTCTTGCGAATGCGTCAAAATATGTATGCAAATGAAGTTACTAACGCAAATAATTCAACTATACATGTTTCACTAAATGTATTCGAACTTCCTTAACAAGTTATGTATCGTACAACTGATGAGGTAACAAATCCAAATTTTACAGGGTTAGGGGCCGTCCATAAATTACGTAAGAGGGGGGTCTAGGGCTCCAGTGATATCGTGCCTATGTTACACATGTTAACAGGGGAGGGGGGTCTCAAAAATCGCAATTTTTGCGTTACGAAATTTATGGACGGCCCCTTAAAGATAATTGTATTTGTGATAAGATGCGACATCTACTTTGGAACAGTATTGACAAGGTGAAAGCATTTTTTACCTCAAATCCCCAAAGTCACCGACCTTAAGGAAATTTTGTTGTTAAAATGCATGCTTTCTTTGTCTTTTCATCTCTGGTAATAGCAGCGTTCTCTTTGTTGGGAGAAAAAGGGATACATATGTATTACAGATGTATACATACACATAGACTGTATATCTACTGTGGGGATATATCTTGTCTGCTGCTATGGAGGCGCATCCCGATTGACACACAAATGCGTGTATGGTCTAGAGGTGAGCTGGATATGCATTTTTTAGATCCCTGGCCAAGAATGGATCGGCTTTTTTGGAGAGTTTCGAATTAATCGGATTTAGATGGATTGGGTTTCGGTGGATTTAATTTTGACGAATTGGATTAAATTTCATCGCCACATTGCATGCGGCGGTAGGTATCCTTACTTATATATGTAAATATACATAGGTACATATTTATACTTTTCAAAAACCTGATCATGTCCCTAAAACTAATAACTGGGTCATTCCTTCATTGGAACAAGAGATACATCCATTCTTAAATGCCATTTACCCGTAACACTCGAGGTGAGCTGGATATGTATCAATTTTTTTGGATAATAATTATCCCTCCCGCGATAAGACTCAACCACTCAACTGGATCTGAACAGTAAATCGGATTTGGATACATTGTGGGTATAATTTTATTGGGTAAATCGGATTTGGCGAATTTAGAGTGAATAGAATTTCGATGGATCGTATCTGAAATGCTTTGGGTGAATCGGATCTCAAAACATGGCGATCCAACTTATCTCTAAACTAGTCTCCTGTACCCTTTTTACATACCTGTGCTGTTCAAATGCCCCTTTCAAGTCCACCATCATAACGGATTCCGTTCCTTGTAGGACTGAAGCTAATATTTATTTACAATATCAAATATTCTGTGAAAATTTCGTTCGAAGCACAGAAATTAATTTCGCGCACCAATTTTCTCTTAAATTTCTCTCAGGTTTTTATACATATAGGTATTCTCAATTATCCCATAATTATGCCAGTCTGCATATTGACGTAAGTGTGAAGTTGTTTTGTAATGTTTCTTAATAAATTCTTGTATACCATTATTTAACAAAATTTATGTACATAAATCAATACAACGATAAATTGTCAGTATACACACATTTTGTAAGTACCTTTAATTAATAAAACCCGCAGGTGTGAGGCAAGCTATTCTTCTGTGGACGATTGGAACATCTCCATATTTGGCTTAGAAGTCACCCAAGCCGAGGAATTGAAGTCACGACATCCCGAACTAAACATCGTATCATCCGACATTCTTACTGTTGACGCTATGCCAAACCTGGACGCCAACAGCACTCATTTTGAGTTCCAACAACGTGTGAAGGACACATTTTCGTGAGCTAGCAAAAAATGATTTAATTGATAATGAAGGATTCATGATTCTTTCGTACCCTGAGTAACCTTTTTATCGTACATATGCAAAATATCTAAATTGTGACGGGTACGAAATTTTGTAAACGTCGTCTGATTTATTCGTCTTCAAAAATTGTGTTACCAAGGTTACGATTTTTATGAAACATTACCTCCAGTTCTTTCTTGGCAAACTATTTTACGATACTAAAGATACGTACGAAGAAATAATAAAGTTCCTCATTGATATTGTCATCACATTTAAAATTTGTATGTAATAATGGCCCACAAAATTAATAATCTATTTTTTACCGATTCCTCAGAGTCATGAAGGATAAGCCGGAAGCGATTTTGAGTTTGGCCGCCACATACATCAACGCTTTGGCAGATTTAAAATACGTTGTTATCAACACTACGGCAGTTTCTATTGGTGGACTTAATAAGTGGACTTATGCTCTGCAAATGTAGATTTAAGCTTTACAGCCTGGGAAGTTTTCTCAATTTTTATAAGAAATCCACATTTATGGAGTAATACTATCATAAATAAAATCAAGAATTTTACTCATGAAGCTCGCATAATGTTTGTTTTAAATTATTTGACGCACATTAATAATTCAAATGAAGTTGAGACTCGTTCTCGTTGAGCTGCTCAATTGGTTTCAATAGGTTTTACAAGGAGTGTTTAATTTACATAACTAGTGAGTGTTTAATGTGGAATGCATATTGTTGGAAATAGATATGAAATACATATGTACATATTTACACTAAACAAAGCTACACGTATGTATTTATATAGAAAGCTAAACCCAAACATAATACATATGTGCTTATTCATCTCTATCCTAACACTGTGGTACCCTTCACAAAGCATGTGATTAAAGATACGTTTCTGTTAAAGATATGGGTTAGTTTGCCTTTAAACATCGTCTAATCTTTATAACGGGATTAAGTATTAATGCAGAATGAACGTTAAGAGTTAGTCTTCCAAAACTGGAACTTTCTTATATCCTTTTTATAATTACGTGCTTACAGTCAATGGAAAAAGTATTGGCAACCCCCACGCTAGCTAAATAAAATTGGCTATAACCATGGAATGCATCATACAATTGGCATGTAAATTTGTAGGCCTTTAGCAAATATAATGTAGTTTTCGATTATAGTCATGTTTTATTGATTAAAATTAGATAAACACAGTTTTTAAATAATTTGTTGGAAAATTTGCAAACTTTACCCGCAAAAAGTATTGGCAACCCTTAACTTAAAAAATCATAAATCAATGAAACGCCAATTTTATTATGACAAACTGCTTCTAATATTACGTAGCACCTCCCCTCGACGCAATACGAGCAAAAATACGTCGTGGAATTTATTCGACAAGTTCCTATATAACGTTTTTTTATATGGCTGCCCACACTTCCTTCGAACTTTTGACGAGCTCATTTTTCGAAGAGTGGTTTCTAACCAGTCCCTCTTTTCTCAATCCGGACAATCAGAATCACATCGGGAGACTGTGTGGCCAACGAAAGAAGATTAACCTTTTCGATATCCAAAACCTTACATCGTTAAATTGGCTGCATGTTTGGGGTCACTGAATTTTCGGAATATAAAATTCTTTCATAGGTTAGATTTTTATCAAACAATTTCAAATTATCGTTTAGAATGATTATTTGGACCTCATTGGTCATGATTCCATCGATAATGACCAGCTACCTACGCCACGACCTAGTCATTTAACCCCAAACCATAATCGCTCCTCTTCTGTGTTTAGCTGTCATAGGAACATATTCGTTTTTGTGAGCCTATTATGGCATCCGCCAGACTTGAACCATTCAATTGGCTCCGAATAAGCAAAATATGCTTATGTCAGACCAGCAGAACATTTTTCATTCATTGGAAGTCTATTCAGGGTGGTATTTAGTCCATTCCAATTTATTGAGTTGGTTCGTTTTGGGGACCCTCGCGTCAGTCGAGCTTCTGGACCCTGAAACCCCTTGGCATGATTTTTGATTGATCACAATATTGCATGATATGTTGACCCCACAGTTGGTTCTCAAATTCAACATGGTTTTGGGAGCTGAAATCTTCCGATCTCGAGTGATAATTTGCTTGATTCATCAGTGGCTCGTGGGCGTAGGTGACTTTTTCCTTTCGCACCATGGAAAAGTAGAAACTGAGATTGCCATTTTGTATTTCTTGGCTACGTTTTCAATAGTAAATATGGAAAAGTATGTTTTCTCTTTGAATTTTCGATAAGAAAGCTTTTTTGTGAAAGAGACATGCTTATTTCTCCCGGCGCCAATACAGCTCGTTTGGTGTCGCCATTTTGGCTCCAGACAACACAACTGTAGACTTAAAATGTAGCTAACGTCATATTTGGTCACCTAATTAACTTACCGTAATGAAATGTGGTAGCTGATTAAAAAAATTGTTTCGCGTAATTAATTTGGCCACATGTTGCCAATACTTTTTGCGGGTTAATTTTGCAAATTTTCCAACAAATTATTTAAAAACTGTGCTTATCTAGTTTTAATCAATAAAACATGACTATAATCGAAAACTACATTATATTGGCTAAAGGCCTACAAATTTTCATGCCAATTGTATAATGCATTCCAACATTACAGCCAATTGTATTTAGCTGGCGTGGGGGTTGCCAATACTTTTTCCATTGACTGTATGCTGTTTCTCAAATGTATGTACATTCCAGAAACTGTGCTTCGGTAAATACAGTCTTCGCCGCCTTGCAGGAAGGAACTAATCTTTAATTACAGTCAAAATTTCTTCTATAGCTAATAAATTACTACTTATCTACAATCTCGAGTTAAAATCTGTCTCGTCATTCCAAAAATTAATTTTACGACACCAATTTTGTCCTAAATTATTCCAAATAAGTATCTCTCATCATTATGCCAGTCTGCGTGTTGACGTAAGTGTAAAGTTCTTTTATATCTTTTTTTTATAAATTATTGAATACTTAAAAACTTCGGGTACGTTCATCCTTAAATTACGTAGAATTTGTGTGATAAATTTGTGTTTTTTTTTCACTCTGCAGGTGTGAGGCTTGCATCTACACGACTCATAAAGTTTGGAACATCAGCATTTTTGGCTTAGGAGCCACCCATGCCCAGGAAATGAGGGCACGCTATCCCGAACTCAACCTGGGGACAGCGAACATTCTTTCTGTCGACGCCTGGCCAAACTTGAGGTCCACAGATCCGCGTTTCGAGTTCCAACAACGCGTGGAGGCCACGTTTTCGTAAGCAAGCAAATAATGATTTATTAAGTACTAGAGTAGAGGCCCGTTCAAGAACGGGTTCTAGGCCCCCAGAGGGGGGTGTGCCCATAGCGCAAAATCCCTAAACTTTAAATAATTTCCAGTAGAGACTTTGTCCCTTGTCATAGCGCATACATGCATCAAAGTGCCCAAGTCATGCTGTATTTCAATTTCCCTGGTTACGGAACAATCTGATTTCCCCCTGTGGGAGTGGCTGGATAGCTAACCACTTAAATTCTCACGTTCCACGCTCCCATTGACTTCCACAAACCCCGTTAACTTCCACAAACCCCGTTGACTTCCACAAACCCCGTTAACTTCCACAAACCCCGTTAACTTCCACAAACCCCGTAAGCTTACACAAACCCCGTTAACTTCCACAATCCCCTTTAACTTCTACAATTAACGCCAAGCTATTGACGGCGTTGGATTCAGCGTCAAAAATACATTCGAATTGATATGCGACATCACGAATAAGCAATATTTGAACCCCACAGTCACGGGAAGGTCACGGGGGCCTCGCAGGTCAAAACCATTGGCGGCGTTGGATTCAGCGTCAAAAATACATTCGAATTGATATGCGACATCACGAATAAGCAATATTTGAACCCCACGGTCACGGGAAGGTCACGGAGGCCTCGCAGGTCAAAACCATTGGCGGCGTTGGATTCAGCGTCAAAAATACATTCGAATTGATATGCGACATCACGAATAAGCAATATTTGAACCCCACGGTCACGGGAAGGTCACGGGGGCCTCGCAGGTCAAAACCATTGGCGGCGTTGGATTCAGCGTCAAAAATACATTCGAATTGATATGCGACATCACGAATAAGCAATATTTGAACCCCACGGTCACGGGAAGGTCACGGGGGCCTCGCAGGTCAAAACCATTGACGGCGTTGGATTCAGCGTCAAAAATACATTCGAATTTTTATGCCACTCGCTGTGGGTGGAGTTTATCAAAGTAAAATAATTAATTAATAGTGTTTATGAAGATCACTTATCATGATAACCACTATTGATGAGTAATGTATGTATACTGCTCACTCAGTCAATTTACTTGCACACTGTGTTTATATATAAAGGCATTTAATTTGAGTTTGATGGCAAGTGTACGCACGTGAAAGTCACGTGCAGGCGAAGTTCTGACTCATGCAGTAGGGAGCAGCATTTTCATGCATGCAATTCACTCCACGTCCTTCTTTGTCTTCTCTATGGGGCAACTTGCATTCGATCACACAGGGATTACACTGGCAGTTTATGAGTAGTGATTGATACTATGATTAAATTTTAAATTTGTAATATTTATCGACGAATCCAAACAATTAATCGGAAGCGTCATATTTGCATACATACATAAGTATTTCACGTAAGCAGCACTTCACTCAGCCAACCATAGCTCGCAATGGACCATGGTCCACTGGACCAAAATCATCCTGGACCATGGTCCACAATTGGTCCATTGGACCACAAAAAAATTGGTCCATCGATGGACCATGGACCATAGACCAATTTTCTGATGGTCTATCGATGGACCATGTACCATGGACAAACTTATTGCGAGCCATGCAGCCAACAGGATGGTTTATTGTTTTCTTGATATTTGTTATAGTATGATTAATAAGGTTTCACCTAGACGGAGGAAGTTTTCTGTTTATGTATTTTATTTAACTTAAAAAAGTCACTAACCATAAATAGTGTTTCACACTGGTCGGATTCTTCCAATTTCGAAACACGGACCCAGTGCCACTGATCCGAAACCCGAGAGCCGCGGGTTCCGAAATTTCATACGCGAAGCAAAACCCAAACCCTATCCCGAAGGTAGAATCCGAACCTGTGAGAAACACTAGCTCGTTCACGAAATTGATTTCGCAATAATAGCAATGCTCCGAAGATGTGTTGTTCCGCCGTGATTGGGTGATTTGAATACGTTCAACCTATTCTATTCATTGATTCTTTAGAAATCTTCTGCGGAATAAGCCCGACGCGATTTTGAACTTGGCTACCTCATATCTCACCGCCTTGGAAGATTTCACAGAATATAGATTCTACCAGAAGAATCGATCTTATGTATTCGAGTGACGCTTATGGAAGAACGGGGAGAGCCAACCAAATAACTCGGTGTACATTTGGCCCACCTGGGGGATGGCCCTCCGCATCATTATCATCTCCTGGCATCAAAAAATGATGATGACAGCACATAGGTGGCGGTGGCACCCCCATTTGTGCACCAGAACACCCTCGTAGAGCATCAAATTTGTGGAGACGCAGCTCAGAATGGTGTGTTCTGGTGCACAAATGGGGGTGCCAGCGCCACCTATGTGCTGTCATCATCATTTTTTGATGCCAGGAGATGATAATGATGCGGAGGGCCATCCCCCAGGTGGGCCAAATGTACACCGAGTTATTTGGTTGGCTCTCCCGTTCCTCCATAAGCGTCACTCAAATACATAAGATCGATTCTTCTGGTAGAATCTATATTCTGTGGGAAGATTTCAAATACCATGTCATCAGCACCACTGCCATCTCGAAGAAGAATGGGACTAAAGAGTGGATCTTTACTATGGAAACAAAGTAAATGTATGGCAAACCGCCTGCAATCCTGGCATCCATGAAAACTTTGGATATTCGGATAAACATAAGACCTATATTATTGATGAATATATATATAATTTTTCGCAAAGGTGTCAAACAATTTTTGTGCCAAACAATTTTTTGTGTTTCTTTATTAATTTTTCGAGAAATCCACATTTTTGTAACAATACTAAAGTAAATTAATGCATTTGATTTAATTCTCAAATCTCGCAAGATATGTTGTATATTTTTTTATAATGGACTTATGTACATATTAATACACAATGCACATTAATAACTGAAATCAATTTAAGATTGGTTAGATATTAATTTTACATGTGATATTTTTTGTCAGTGGTTTGCATACATATGTAGATAAATTTGAAGAAATGTCGAAAGTGCGAAAATTTGGCTGCTCAAGGTATACAGATTAAGGAGTAAAATTTGCGATGACACAACTGATTGTGCAAAATTTACTGAACAAAGGTAAAATCTACTCAACGTTGTGCGAAATTTCTACAACGTTGGATACATTTTAAGTTAAAATTTTACTCAACCTTGAGTAAATTTTAACCAAATTTATTTAGCGTGTACAAGAAGTTAAAATGAGCTTAATTTAACCAGTAACTTTTAGTTATTGTGGGATTCGTATTCTCGGAAACATACCTCGATTGATACGTACGTTTTTAGTACATATCTACATAAACATATCTAAACGTTTAAATGCGTAGTGCATATTTATCAAAAAAAGGCGTCAACGTTTGATTAATTTACTTAAGTATTTGATCAATATGGCCTTATATTCACAGCAAACTTCATATTTTGTTTGCAAAATTAGTCCACGCAAAACATATCTAATATACATACACATTGTTGAATTTTCGTATTGAGTGATCGTAGAAGTTTTTCCTTACAGTAGCAATTTTTACGTCTGTATATAGGTAACTCCCCCTAATACATACCATACATGTATGAACATTAGTACATATATGTATATTGTTAGGACACGTTTGTTAGGACACAATTTCATCCTTAGTTAGCGACCCAATTTAATTAATGTGTAACCCATATTTGGACGCAAGTTGCATGTGGGAAACACATAAAACACATAATAATGTCGTCGTGTAATGGTTGCGTGAGAGAGAGCTCTCCAGCTCTCCAGTTATAACATGATTCATTTAAGACGAGATGGTTTTGTGCTGAGGCAGCACTTTTAGTTATCTTTAAATGACCACCACTAGTACCTAAGTAACGTGCATAATTAAATAACAGTGCTTCATTCAATGAGTGCTTAATTAAATGTCTTAATCTTAAAATCCATTGAATTGTGTACAATCGTTTTGCCAAATTGGCACTTTAGGTTAATCATCATTTTAGACTTACCCATCCTGTGTGGACAGGAATAGTTTAGTCGTTCTGTGGAGCGTGTGTGGACAAGATATTTCAATAAACCTGATCGATTCCAAAACTGAAGAGGCAGTTTGCGATACATTCATTTGCACAGGTCTCCTCTCCGTAAAACTTACAGTGCATAATATTTTGGACACAACAATATATACATACATACTTGCTGTCGCAGCATACAACAATTTGCAATTTGCAAACGATTAAGATATTACTACTGTTTATATCATGTAATCAATTTTTATCTTAATGCATGAATATGTACCTGCAAAAATAATTTGAATACCGATCATCACTATACAAAAGGCGTTAGGTGATGGTTTTGACGAATTCGCGGGTGAATATCTCTGGCAGGGAGTAGAATTTTGAAGTGATTTTTGGTAGAATGCAAGATAATACTCTCAAAAAGGTATTTCCAAAATTTTAAGGTGATAGCTTCAAAAATGACACCTCCAGTGTCCTCAGAGTTGGAGGGTGCCGTAAAAACACTTTCCAAACTTAAGTACTCGTATAGCATAATAACCTAAGAGGTCAGAGGTGAATTATTCTTAATATTATAACCCTAGATAATCATTGCATGTAATAATAAAAGAATCCACAATGAATTACATAACGTTGGCCTTCCATTGTCAATGAAATTTTTCCATGAAAAGTGATAAATCGGACCGTGCACGGGAAAATTGACCTGCTGACCTTGAATGCAGACCCACTGGGTCAAATGAAGATTGAGGGTAAAGCTGGAAGTGTCCTGAGTAATATCAAACAAAATAGTTAAGATTTTGAGTAAACAGTCTTGGAGAAGGACCCAAGCTAATCAGCTGACGGGGAATCATAAAAAACTCGTAAACTAATTTGGAAAATTAATGGTCAAATTTTGTTGAAAATAAATTTTAATAACGTTTTTGTGTCCCCTGCTACAGAACTATTTTGCCTACAAGGTACAAGTGACAAAATAATAAAATTACCAAGTTTTGGTTAGTTAAATTATTTTTGAAGTTCAACCTTGATGACGACGGAAACTTTTTCAAAAATTTTATTGGGTTTGATGAAAACTCATTTCGTGGGGTGTAACCACTTATCAAAATTTAATCAAAAATATTTACAGTGCAATATACTATATGTACCTTGGATAAAAACAACGTTAGGGATTTTTAGAATCAAAGTCCTAAAATGTGGGGGCCTTAAAAGTCGAGGAGTTGCGTTAACGAGAGCATTCCATTAGGACAAGTATGAAGCTAGACTACAAAAGTGACTTAAAAGATAAGCATGAGACAAAAATGGTTTTATATAGTGAAAAGTATGCTAAGTCTCTTGATAATACTCGCAAAGACGATTTTTGCATCAGGACCTAAGAAAAAAATCTTTTGTTCAACGCCATTTTATAAGAACACTGGTTTGGAAAACTAAAAAAGGACACCTCTCTATATTTGACCTTCCCTCATTTCGCAGAGTACACAAAACCGGAAGCCAGACATGTTTACCTATAGTTTGAGACACGGGCTTTCACATAAAAAATGTTAGAAATCTCTACAACTAAAAACCATCCCGCAATTAAAATATGAATTCGTCAAAACCATGTCCTAACGCCTTTTGTATATTTAATTGCGGAAACTTTCTTACAGATAATCGTTAGTAACTAATTTATTTTGACACTTTTGTAGATAACAATTAGAAAAAAACTGTATTCAGGAAATTCACGTATATATGTACATCGTCACTGATAACGTTATAAACTAAGTAAGTTTTGTACAAATAATTTTACAAACCCTTACAAAATAAGAGTCACGATCTAACAATAAGTAAGTTTACACAAATGTTTAAATTAATTTAGAAAATCTAAGATAATCTAAAAATCTGAGAAATATTTGTAAGACTTTGTAAAACTGTGAAAGTTTATAGAATTTACGGATTTTACAATGTTACCAAGGCATACGGATGTGTCAAATAAATGAGTTTAATCAATCCTTCTCCACCCAGTAACTTCCGGGCGGGCAGCAATAAAACGTGCCACCAATAGCGCCCGGGTAATCTCTGAACCAAGGTGTGACAGGGACCGAGTATTTTTCTGTGGAATTTTTGCACGCCTCGTCACGTGCAATCCAATCGTTGTGAAAACATGCTGGTCCCATGACAAGAGGATCCGAGCAGCAGTACTTCGTCCACATAAGAAGTTTATAGCTGTACCTGTAATTAAGTAAGTAATTATGCACTTTTAGAAATATGTTTATAGTCCGGCAAGTATTGATTTCTCGGTATTAAAGTTGCCACCGCTTGGTATTCAAATTATACCGGTTCTTAAAAATTGGCTACCGATATGGTAAAACTTGAACACCGAGCCATTGCTACTCGGCATTACGTATCAAAACTAGACTACACGTTTAACCCTTTTTTTAGCCATAAGGTGACAGAAATCATTCAATTTCCCAGCGTTTTACGACATTTTTCGGCATATTAATCACCAGAGCGAAGTTAACTGATTTTTGATTTTTTTTATTCTTACCTTAAGTCCTCTCGCAGTCCTTGGCACTGGGCGTCACGGGCCGTAGAGTCATCCCACCAGCACGAAGTATTAGGCGCATCTTCACAGCAAAAGTTTCTCTTTTGAGTTTTGGTGAGTGAGAAGCTGAATCTCTTATCGTAACGGGGGCCCCGACATTCCAGGTCCCGCCATCTCCAATTGTTCCCGAAGCATTTTCCCTCCGTCGGGATTAGCAGAGTAAAGGCCACAAAAGTGAGAAGCAGTAGGAACTTCATTTCGTCAGACAAATTTCCCCAGCTATTATGCACTTCAAGGATGTGTCCTTGAAGTTCGAATTTGATTTCCAGCTTTTTTATAAAAGTTTACCAAGCTTTGTAATACATACTGAGCGATAAAACTTTGAATTTGAAAAATTGAATTTAAAAAATCTAAATTTTAATAATTTGAAAATTTGAACTTACCAAAGTTAGTTAGTCGATGGTTGACTAGAGAATGAAATGATAGAAGTATTTGAATCTGGTTTAAATATGAAAGCTGGAAGGAACCTAATTCATGGATTAATTAGTGCTATTGGGTCATATTGTAGGAAACTAATTGTATTTGACTGTTATGTAAATTTACAACTTGGTAGTCCTACATTATACAAGGAAAATAAACTTTTATTAATTAATTCTAGACCATAGTTTGCACAATAAAAACAATTTCGTATCGAGTGAATTATATCGCAATATGTCAATGAGAGTTCGATCCAGAATCGCAGTAAGCTATAATATTTATTTAAGACCTTATTTAATAGTGTTTAATAAATGCTAAGGTTGCCGCGGGTAGTTGCATTACCCGGCCAATATTTACCAATTACCCGAACCCGGCCGGGTACCCTGCCGGGTACCCGCCCCGGCTTTCCCATAAATCATGCGAGCACTAGATTGTATAGTTTTAACAATAAATGATTGGGTCGTTCTTCTTATTAAGTAATGTAGTGGCAATTAATGTAACAATTTAAGTTTAATGCGAATTTGAAATGATCTTTTTAAAATCAAATTTATAAATGAAATGGTGAACATGGCAAAATTATCGTGTGTACGATATTAGTCAATTTTTTATATATGTATTCCAGATCTTTAGCAGTAGAGCCTACAGCGTTTCATACTTATAGGAAACGCTGATTTGGATTTCCTTTCGACCCCAAAGCAATCAGATCGATTTCAGCTTTGAGGGAGTCTTTGGTTCTACTATTAAAGATCGACAACATATCAAAAATTGTACCGACGAGAATTTTGTCTTATTCTTTCTGATAGTAATACAAATATTTTAATGAGGCAAAACTTAAACTAACAAATTAACTATTTTAATGAAAAAATCGTATAAAAATATATAAATATGCGTAGAAAACGTAAAAAATAAAATTGAAATTACCCGGCCGGGTAATTGTCAATACCCGGCTACGCCGGGTACCCGGCTTTTTGGCTCAAAATGGCCGGGTAGCAGGGTAGCCTGGTACCCGACCCGGTACCCGCGGCAACCTTAATAAATACCTGTGTTTCGTGATTAAACTGACAGTGATTAGAATTGTAAATAGATGGAATAAACCAAATATCCAGCAGTTAATCCATATTACACGAATATGTTTGAAAATTTATTTTTAATCATTAATTACAATTTCAATTTGAAAGTTTTTGACTTCATGTGAAAATATGCAATCGCATACATATGCTAATTCACAATGACTATGATCGAAAAATTGACCATTAAGATGAGCAAAAAATCGCTGGAAAATCGCCGGGTAGAAAAAGAATGCAATAATTTTTCGGCTATTGTACATAAATATATGTAAAAACCCCTAAATTTATTTGTCCTGTTCAAGATCATTTAAGTATCATATACATTTATCATACCGCAGTTCAGGTCAATAATTTATTCATGTTTAACCCAGGAGAAACTTCGAACATACCACCTTACGAAATGAAATATACCGATCGCTAAACGAAAAACACAACGAACCACCACTCTCTTAATGAAATTTCTAACCTCTACGGTAAATTCTACGAACGAAATTAGCACGCAAACAGAAAACACGACAAATATCGTGGCCACATTACCCCACAATTTTAAAGCCTTCACCGTGGCAAGGGACCCTTGCTTAAACCCTACCCTTACCCTATCCCTCACGTCGTACATCCGTCTCCACTCATCCACAATGCCGGCCTCGCCCAATGCCACCAGCCTCTTGTAAATCCTTCTGTCCCGAAACTGCGAAAATCTCCAGCCCACCCTCGACTTAAAGAGCTGCTCAGATTTTTTCGCCTTGGAAATTGGTCCTGTCAAAGTTTCCCCTTTCATAATTAATTGCACCTCCATCTTCTCAAGTTCATCCGACCATCCGACATATGCCACCTTTCCACACGGCTCCAGTACATCAACAAATGTCTTCTTACCCGTAAAAATATCCGAATATCCGTCAAAAAACGTTACCTTGTTGAACAACGTGTTTATCGAAAAGTTAAACAGAGCAGGGTCCATTCTTTTCTTGAAATATTTACAGTTTTGGTGGGATCTCAACAAATCGTGAAACTCGCCATTTTGTCCGGAAATCAAACGGGCAAGTTCATACAATAAGCTATCAATTGAGCAGGGTGTCACTTGTCCAAGCCTTTTTTTAGCCTCGACAATGTCACCACTTATATTATAATCAACTATTTTAGTGTAAATTTCAAACTTCATCTCAACCAATTGAGCCCAGGTCGAAATTCCAACTGGTTTTAGGGGTGCCGTCAAATCTGTAATGTTTTGCCCCCGATACGCCGTCGATATTATGATAGCGGTCAGGATCCAAGGGGCGCAAACAAAATACATGTACCCTAAGTTTTTCGACTTCCTTTCTATGCAGTCCCCCTGTTCCAGGAGGACTTTAACCCCCATGAACAGCGGCTTCGCTTCCAAATTTTGCCCTGTAATTTTCGACACTGCAAGTGCAAGTAAGCCAACCCCAAGGAAGAATATGCCAATGCAAATCCACGAATCGAGATCGAACGGGGAAATAAATCCTTTAAAATCCAGCCCGGATATTGACCAGCCTCCACAAGTTATGAAGTCAAAGTGCTTCACGACTGGGAGAAAATGTGAATCGCTTTTTGAATCCTTCCAAATCCCTGGGATATTCCGCATCATTCGATTGCAAGTAGGTTCCACGTAAAAACACCAGTCTAGCTTGTCAAAAGTTAGATTTTTATCTTCCGGAAATGCTAAAATGACCAGGATTACGTCCACGTTGACGGAGTTATTGTGCAGGAAATCGTGCATGTTACGAAATGAGACGATGCCCATGGATACAGAGTATTTGACTTGGTTGAATAATGAGATTGCCAAGTCGTCTCGAGAAAGGTCTAAAATTTTGGAAAATTTTTCTGGATTCAAATGGACAGGAACATCAAAATGTGTGGCATCGATTTTTTGAAGAAATTGGGTTAGCTGTGAGAACGAGTTATCATTTGAAAAATCCGGGCGAAATGGTACATAATAATTTGCCATGTATCGATAACAATAATAACATCGGACCGAGATTGTTTCCACACTTAGGTGCAAAATGGAAGAAGGAGAATCCAGACTCTCTTTTGTGGGGATGATTAGTACGTTCGGAATTATGTAGTAGCTGCTGTCCTCTCTCAAAGTTGTATCCCAAGGGTTGAAATTGTAGTTCGGGGTAGGGATTAAAATGTGAAAGAGAAATTGTAAGGAATGGTCAAACGTAGAAGTGCTAAAGATTAAAGATAATTATAATGATGATTAATAACTTATTCTGTTCACTCTAAGAAAACTGGTATTAAATAATTTAATTACTGACTTGACTCAGGTTACCTGAGTTCCAATTAATGTAAATGTGTGACTCTACTAGATTTTTAAAATGTAAGGATTTAATATATGTACATACCTTGCAGTAAAGAAATCCAGACTTTGATACGGCCGCCAGAACTGTGACCAGGCAAAAGGAACTGCCATCTTGTCTCTGTCGTGCATCTGCCTTCCTTCAAATGTTCCATCCACTTCCGGTGGCAGTATGTAAAATTGTACTGAACACTTTAATTTCCAACGCACCTTGAGCATCTCTTCATAACTCGAAAATAATTCGTCTGAAACGAAGGACACGTTTACTTTGGCAATTGCAATTTGTGCAGAACGAAACGATGTGGAATCCTCATGTCGAAAGAATACGGGAGTCGGGTATTCATCACCCTCTCGTTGAATGACGACTACATCGTAACGAGATGTAACTACGGGATGAAGGAAAGGTTCGAAATTTACTCCTCTATAGTTGATCAGATGGATCAGGCATGATTTAAAGGTGGATAAGTAAAGGTCAAAATTTTGAAGGGATTCATATTGCTGGTGTGGGATTACGGGGGAGATGAAGAATGGTGAGATTAGGTAATAAAATAATTTCAAATTTACATACATTTTTGCAGAGATGTATGTAATACGCTCTAGTTTTGACTTGGGGTATGTATGTATGTGTATGTACATCGATGTGAGCAGACGCCACGTATATACATATGCATTCAAAAAAGTAAGAATTATTTAATTACGTCGAGTGTCGCGTGACTTATACCAGTCGAATTTATACATTTGACACAACAAATACTTTTAATCAACAAATAAATAGAAGTATGTATTATTCATGGGTGACATGTAAACTGAAGACGGTCATAAGTATGTGTATAGTTCGGCACAGGTAGATATCTACACGTAAATACGAGTATGTATGTACATATGTATTTATAGTTATTAGTACTGGCATAAACATATTTGTTTGTTTCAAATACGGACTGTGGACAAAAATTACACCCTTAAAATAATATGGTCGTTTTCAGATCTAGATAAATGTACTCTCAATATTCTACTCTAACAATGAGGAGGTGTAAGGTCGTTATCGCTGGTTTTGCCGGACTAATCTAAAATTATCCATGCTCATAAATAAGCGGATCCGTACTTTTTGGGTTTTCTAGAATGCGTATGTTTTCGCCTGGGACGGAATTTTAAAACAATTCAGCCACAATCCGGATTTTTTAAAACGCTGGAACTTTTCAACTCGATCTCAAAAATTGAACACAATTTTTGCTCAGAATTACTTCTCTGAAGTTATCTATAAAAATCCATTTTTAACATTATTTTTAATAGCTTACACTAATGCATTCATCAAAATATTACGTTGTACATATATATCCGGCCTGCATTATGTATCTGGAAAATTCTATTTGTGACTCACAGAAGGAAATTATAAGTTCAAGTATTTCCTCCCTAGATAATTTACATTGGGGGTATATATTTATATTCATTACGCGTTCGGATGATTAGCAACCTTAGCAAAAAATAAGTTCGCAAAAAAATTGGCTTGCAAATTCATTAGAGTACTTGCCCATCTTCTACATATGTAAGTGCTTCTGTCGCAGTTTTTTAAAATTTATGCTGCTCAGCGAACTCGTAATGAATACCCTCAATATACTATCGTAATTATAAAACTCCTAAAGTAAATAAATCATGAAATGCACAGGGTGGTTAAAATGTCACGCTACAATGGAAAATTTTTCGATGGGAAAAATCCATAAATTTCCATTAGTTACCGAAATTTTGTCTCTAAAATGCAAGATTTTAAGAATTTTGTCATCAGTTGTGTTAATAATTTATAAAAATCTCAATCCCAAATCTTGTAACTAATGGAGATTTAGAGAGTTTTCCCATTGAAAAATCTTCCATTGTGGCGTGACATTTTAACCACCCTGTATAACAGATACATAATTTTTCAGTATGACGATTCCGAATGTTGAACTGTAGTTTGTCAAATCCAACTATACGTCACTCGTTGGCAGCAACAAAACCTTATCCGTGCGGTCCTTATCAAGAATAAATTTGGGAGCAGTATTGCGTCGGTAAAACCCTTCATCGTACCTGATGCTGATCCCAATAGCAAAATATAGCGCTGTTAAAACCAAGATTCCCTGAACCTAGATACATAAATATATGTGTATATTTACGGAGATACGGTCAAAAGTAATAATTTTTTGCTTATCGAATGACATGAAAAAATATGTAGTCTCACATCTGCCATGAGATTTGTTGGGAAGGGTTGATACAGAATGCTGGGATCGTCAAAAACACTTACGGCAGCCCCGATCCCGATAATCAAAGCTCCGTAGATGTTAAGGTAGTAAATCTACCAGGATAAGATAAAATAGTTATCGGCATGCGTTTAATTCAAATGTACTCTTAGAAATCCAGTATAAAAATAATACCAAGGGGTATTAACTGTACATATTATTCTGCCAACGTGGTGTTGATTGGTAGTAATAGTTTGGTAGTAAAGTTATACCATATTGGCAGGAAATTTTTACAGACCGGTAAAATTTTTATACCAAGCGGTAGCAATCGAGAAATACCGAGAAATCAATACCTGGTGACTACATATATGAGATTTCTATCAGTTTAAATACTCCCGTGTGCACGAACTTACATAGGATATGAGACCTTTTGCCGAAGTTTGGAAGGTATGACAGGCAAATAGCATGGCAATCAGGATGGTGTGACATAACATGAAAACGGATGGAATTATGAGGAACAATTGGGACTTCCGGTAGTCGTAGAAACTTAACACCGAATTCAGTGATGCCCAAACCTGTTAAGAAAACTTGGTTAATTTATATTTTGCAACGATATTTTAGAAAATGTCCAATATGTACAGGTAGGCTATGACTTTAAGTGATACATATATGTTTCTCATAAGTCATCATTAGTTTCTCATAAGTTCGTACAATTGTCACCGTGTAGAGGGGAACACTTAAGGTGAGAGGGGCACAAGAGTGTAATTTGGAAGTTTCCATGACTACAGACAATATCCTGAAATTATTTAGGTATACATATAATTAGAGAAACGAAGACTTGAATCTGCGGGTTCGAACGACACAATTCTTGCATCGTAAACTTTTAGCAATATTTTCAAAGAAAAGTACATAGCTCACAAATTTTTGTAAGTTTACTCAGATGATGTGCGTACTCAGATTTTAAAAAAGTTGGTATTTTCCAAACGTTACAAAGTTACCAAGAACTGTGTGAATTCCCTCAATCACTTTTTACTTGTGCAATTACTCGTAACTTTAAGGTTTCATGTATGCTGCAAACTCTCGTCAAAATCCTTCTGACACAAAATTCGCAAGTTATGCAGTTGGCAGTGTTTGCAAATGATAGCACTTAAATAAATACATTTCTATTCTACTGAGAAATACACTACGGAGAAATGGAGATGTACTTATGTATTCCATGATGAAGAACTCATTTTTGTATATCTTACAAGCAACAAAGTGTGACGCATTTTGCCAAAACTCTGATTCCCTTAAGTTTAATTGAAGTTAAATGATGTCGAGGTTAACTCATGCCGGTTAACATATTTACATAACCACAATTGTAACGATTATGCATGCAATTATTTTTTTGGAGTGGTTGGTTACGGGATGTTTGAGGTACAGATTTATGCAATGATTAATTATATATTTCTGCGAATAGTGACTCATATCCTGAAGGTTTGCTGCCAATTTAAATCCACAATAACTATGTAAATGTGTATATACATATGTATGTATACCAACATATTTATTACTGATTTCTGGTCGGTTTAATTGAGATAAAACTCATCCTGCCTAAAATTCTTGGCAACTTTATATATGTAAATATTAATCTAGTAAAATGTAAAATGTACGAAAACTAACAAAATTACCGACGAAGGAGTAGGGTCTTTTTTGGGTGCTGGGGGGCCACGGGTTTTAATTTTTTAATTTTGAAGGTTACGATAGAGTAATAGTAAATAAAATGCGTAAAGTTGAAAAAAGTTACTTCCAACCACTTTTGGGGCTCGAAAGCCAAAGATCTCGGAACCTGGATTTTTTAGGGCTTCCGGGACCAATATTTCCGCAACGGTTACAAATCGCTGAATACAACCAATTTGAGAAATAAAGGTGCTTACATACGGTTGATAAAAAACCCAATCCTAATCCACCATCTCAAAGGGGTCGCAAAATATTTAAACATGTGCCAAATCTATTTGGTTATTTTAATTTATTGATTGATTTGCTTTTGAGATTTTTGGTTAAAAAACTGTGGAACCCCCCAGTGGGATTATTATTTTATTCGACGTACACAGGTAGTAGGTACGCCATGAAGTCAATAGTTAAGCCCAAATCGAGTATCCGTGGCCTACCAGACCCCCAAAAAGACCCTACTCCTTCACTTACACTCTTAGAAATCCAGTATTAAAATTATGTATGACCGTTGATAAACAATTCCGTGTATGTAAATAGTAATAAATACTTCGGGATTAACATTTTACCATGTCGGTAGCAAATTCTTACGGTTCGGTATAATCCGCATAAATTCCAAGTTGTAGCACTTTACCCCAAACTTAATAGTTACCTGCGTGATTATATGTTATAACAGTGTAATTTCCATGCATTTCTTGTTATGTTCGTTCCCCTGGCAGCAGGTTTGTACACACATCCTCAAAGAATGAGCTGAAGGAATTCTGCTATTTTTAAGAATTTGAGTTATTTCGTTTTTTAACCATTTTTCTTCATTTTATTTTTCTACGTTTTGAATTTTATTGTAAGTAAGATTGTCCGACTCCCTTGGGAAGTGAGTTTTTGCGATTTCTTGGATTTTATGTAGAAGTGACAAACATCAAACTCCGCTACACATAAACTAATTTTGTCAATATGTAAAATTTAACCTAAATAAAAGTTCAGAAGTGTATTTACATCGTGGACATCAATGATGTTACATCATAATTTGATTGCTAAGAAGTGAACATATCAAATTTAACTTTATCCATTTTTAGTCCTGACTCAGGGCTTATGTGCCCTTCATAGTTGTTCGGCTGTCCCAGTCTATTTGCCTATTTATTGATTAGGCTCATAAAACTTATCCAACCCATTTGAAAATTTGCATACATGCAAAATTTATAAACAGTCAAGTTGGAATATACGCAAAAGCGTAGAAAAGTATAACAAAAAGTATGTAGTGTAATCATTCATTAATTCTCAATGCATAATTACTTTAATTATTCGTATGTAACAACCTGACTCGGGCTGAAGAAGGGGTGCACTGTGAATTCTTATTAAATGCAGATTTCTCCCATGCACAATTTGCTTCACATACGCCGCCAGTTATTTGCCAATCAAATGATCAATTTTACCAACCAGCTCGATGAAAAGTGCTCCGAGCACCTTCTTCGGGTTTGAGTAGCTTTTTTACGCGACGTGACTTTCAGGGCACCTGTCTAAATACGTGCGTTATACTTGCATGCACTTGAACTTATGTAACTGATTCCCCACAGCGGTGAACTTTCTACTGGTTAGATAATACTTTAACGGATTTAGATGAGCATAAGTCGTATGTAATAAAGCTGTCCTTCCCGTGCAGATCAAGTTTTCCAGCACCACTTTCTCCAATCCCATTTAACCTCTAGCCAATGTAACAGTGTTTCTTTTTGTGTGAGAACTTGAGAACATTATTCTTATTTGTGTACATATGCTGCACAAAAGTGCATAAAAGTGTAGAGAAAGGAATGCAATGGATTATCTTCAATTCGTGCAGGGAATTGCATTGCATACGTATTTTCAAGACTTATTTATGTACACAAGTCTTGAAAAACGGAGTATAAAGGTATTCGTTATTACCTCATTTCCTTAGTATCGTATCTTTTTACGAATAAAAACAAGGGGTTAAGCTTCGTAAAACTCGTAAGCTTTGTAACACGATTTTCGATGGTGACGAAATCTCGTACGCTATTTTACGAATTATGAGTTGGCATTATTAACAAATATGTTTATCCTCTAATTTCGTGTGGGTATTTGTAACAGCATAAATACTGATACATAGACAGGTTGATGCTAATTGATATAAAGAGAAAGCAGAAATACGGCGAAGGAACGAACCAAATTTTTCATTTTGCACATGAAACACAAGCAAATCTTATTTTATCTGTGTACATACAGAAGCGTAATACTTTCCAAAGTCTCAGTTTGCCATGAACCTTCCGACTGGGAGCATCTCTTGACTTTCTCCTGCCAAGTCATCATAGAAATCAAGACGTACATACATATTTATTTAAAAGAAAATCAGCATGGGTTGCCCTCCCATTAATAAAACGTTGCCCTCCATCGTAGCTGAGACCGATGACGACTTAATCCTTGTCACTGACAGCCTGAGGACCCTTGACCTTATCGCGGATAAGTACGTGGACGTCGTTATCTTAACATTACTAGGATTGTTTTTCATTTCGTTGGAAACTTGTGCATTTGTTGTCATCCTGAAACGTGAAAGGTTTCGGTATGTATGTATATATTTCTTACCATTAGCTTTTATAGAAATTCTCACTTAAGTTAATTAATTAGACTAATTGTTTAATTGAAGGCAAGTAATTAGTCGGTCATCCTTCTTCAACTTGAATGCTTCTCTCCTCTTCGTGGTTCTGAGCCCAACTCTGCGCCTCTTCAGACAGCTTAATATCGTTCCCCCGGGGGAATGGAGCTGTGGTTTGTGTGGTGTGGCGATTCGTAAGTCGAGTTATGTAAATATGTACAAATGTACATACATAAGTACATACATACATACATACAGTATCGGCAGAAAGTCATTATACCCTCATACTTTTTCCACTCCAAGCATGATATTGTTCGAGAAGCTTGAGGGGATGAACTGCAATTTTGCACAATCACTTATGATAATGTAAGGTTTTCGGAACCATACCTTGAATGACGGCGGGGCACAAGTAACGATACGGTTGAATTATATTTAAAATTCCAACAGGAAAAAAGTCTTTACACCCCTAATAAAGTTTAATAAAAAATTTGTTCATAGTGTTTCTTGGTTAAATAATAGCCAAATTAGAATCTGGGCTGTCCACCTCGATCGTTTAGTAAGGCAAAGACACATCTTGGCATCGACTCAAAAAATGAGCTCCTAACAGAAGTGTCGAAATTCTACTTTTCAAGCCTTATGGCGTCGATCAATCCTTTAAAGTTTGATAGCGTGTGCTGGGCAATTTTAGGCTTCACAATTTACATTAAATGTTCATGAACATGCTGTCCGTTGACTATAGAGGGCAATCCAACAATTCTAACTTCGTTGTAAACCAAATCTTCAATAATTTTGATGTATACTTAGAATCACATTCGTATTTAAAAATAAAATTATTCCCCAACGGTTATTTCCTCCCGTCAGTATCAAATTGCAACCCAGAACGTCGCAATAGTAGTTGGAGTACATGATTACTTCGATTTTGTTAAAGCTTCGGACGCCCTTCCACGGCGTATCGCCCAAACACTTCGACTTCAACCCCCATTCTTAATGGTTAGCGCACCGTAGTTGGTTTGGCCAGCTTCTCTTTGCTGAATGCATATTCCACTGGTCCCAATTTGACCAAACAGGTTCATGTTGACGTCGCCGAGCAATGTCAGGAGTTTCCAACATTTAACCGTCGAACAGTGATGCTTTTTGGCCTGTTTAGTATGGGCCTTCAATATAGGCCTCGCGGAGAAATTGATTTCTCCATGTTGCTCGCTATTCAAATCGATCTTAACTGATCCTATTGTCTATAGTTCCCACAGAAACTTGAAGATGATATTCCTCCCTCGTTTCCAAGTTGATTTTTGGTAAAGATAACCGTGAAGTCTTTGGCTTTTGGAGCAGTTGCCGTGATGAGTCCATGGGGGTGTGACCCATGTACATGATAAAGCTGTTAAGTCCCGACCATCTCAACTTTTTTGTAGTTCTGGACTATGCTGGCAACTTTGCCAATCCTAATGGTTAATCGGAAATTCTTTGGTGTCGAAGCGTTTTATCATCAAAATTTACGACATTTTTCCCCAGGACGGGGCTGAGGTGTTTTTGAGTGATTATGAGCTAATATTGATAACAGATAAGTAGTGCAACATAAGAAAAATGTTATTTTTCAAAGAATAATGCATCACCTGGTGGGTGAAGAACGTTTTAAGAGGGTGTTTTCAGAAATTACACTAAAAGTACAAAAAAGTCAGAGGGTGTAAAGACTTTTTTCCTGTCGGAATTTTGAATATAATTCCACCTTGTCGTTGCTTGTGCAACGCCGTTACCCAAATTATGGTTTCGAAAACCTTTCATCATGATAAGTATTTGTGCAAAATTGCAGTTCATCCTCTCAAGCTTCTCGAACAATATGAGGCTTTATGCGCAAAAAGTATGAGGGTATAATGACTTTCTGCCTATACTGTATGTATGCACACATCTCATACGCATTGTACATGTACATAAATACATAAATATTTCATACATGTACGATACATGCATACATATGCATTTCATGAATACGACAGCATTAAAAAAATAAACGCTTATAAACAAATATAGAAAAGTAGCGTCGGAACGATCGATTTTTTTTAGTGACGCCATATATCACAGTCATGAATCCTTTGACCACTGACCTCGTCCTCAAGGTCATGAGGTCAAAAATGTTAACGTCCTTGAAATCGCGGTCAAATTTCCTTTGAAATGACACCCTCATGAAAAATAAAGTTTAATTTAATTTTGACCACACCCCCTAGCGCTGTGGGGTGTGGTCGAACTCGACCGTGAACTCGACTTTTTCGAACTCGACCGTGAACTAAAAATTAGAAATACATTGGCACCGACTGCATTTGATTGTGTTGACTCGTTCTGGAGATATCCTGCTGACGGACGGACGATCAAAATCGTCGGTCAAATTGACCAAAGGGTAGTAACTTGTATGCAAACATAGGAATTTCCATGAAATTGAGTGGAGTGGAGCCATCTGCGCCTTTGGTCCGGAATTTGCAGCTCCACTCTCGCTCCAAAACCAAAATCCAGGGTATGCTACCCCGGGTTTTTGGGGTATTGGGGTATTGCGGGTTTTGGTGGGTTTTGGGGTAGCAAATTTGAGCAATACCCACGGGTAGTCGGGGTAGTCGGGGTTTTCAAATTTTACAAAATATGATAACAGGGCATTACTAGCAATTCAACAAATTATTTACTTATTAAAATATAATTAATAAGCAGTTTTGTTGCGAAATTACTGAAAAACTGATTTTTTTATTAATTTCTAAACTTAATACATGAGACACTGACTCAGTTTACCCCCAAAACCCCGACTACCCCGACTACCCCGACTACCCGCAAAACCCAGGTAAAACCCCGGGGTATGGGTTTTCAATAGCAAAACCCCGGGGTTTTCCTTACCCTGCCAAAATCTTCATCTCAATTTTTCACAACCAAACAACACACATTCGTCATCATCATCAAAACTAATTAATTAATACTTACCAAAGCGTTATAATTGCTCCCATAATTATTTAAAAAATTGTGCATAGTACAAGCAATGATTTGATCAGTAAATGGGTAAATTTGCAACTCTGATATTTTTATTTAATTATTTATTTTGAATTATTTGAGTCAAGAATTCATCATGATGGAAAGACGGGGTGTGCCCACTCATTGCGTTATTGCGGTGTATTTTTATGCTTTTCAAAATTATGTTTGAAACCGTTTTTCAAATTTGATTTAACATTATTTTCAATCAATAAATAAAAGGCCTCTTTACAACATGGTGGGTGGACACTTCCACACCGGCTAAGCCTTTATGGTCAAAATCTAGGACCAGCTCGGATTTGACTGAAATTTTTTGTGTGAATACCCTATGGTCCCCTGAGCAAGAAAATACCTTTTTTCGTGGCGGTCTCAAAAAATTAAATTTCTAGAAATTTTCGAAATTTTGTATAAAAAATATTTTTTGCCTCAGATTTTCATGAAAATGATTTTTTAGACTAATTAAACTATGCTGAGCAAGAATATGAAGGAATTTGTTAATTTAAAAAACATCAATTTCGGAAATTTTGTAAAATTATTTTTGTCTCATATTTTCATGAAAATGAATTTCTAAACTAGCTAAACTATGCTTAATCACGATATGAAGGAATTTTTGAAAAAGGAGAGCTAGGCGAGCTTGCTAGTATAAGGAAAGCTTGCTAGTAGAGAAATTGTTATTAGAGCTAGCTAGTAGAGCTAGCTAGGAGAGCTAGCTATGAGAGCTTGCTAGTAGAGCTGGAAACCTAAAATCTTATCTTACCCCGAAAATCTGACTTTATCATAAAAAATTTCTGCTATGGGTGAAAGAGACAAAGTCTTGGATTATCTGAAGTGTCCAAGAATAATGTGTATACAAAATTTCTGAAATTGATAGTTTTTTTAATTAAAAAAATTCCTTAATATTCTTGTTCAGCAAAGTTTCATTAGTCTAGAAAATCATTTTCATGAAAATCTGAGGCAAAAAATATTTTTTATACAAAATTTCGAAAATTTCTAGAGATTTTATTTTTTGAGACCGCTACGAAAAAACGGTATTTTCTTGCTCAGGGGACCATAGGGTATTCACACAAAAAAATTTCAGTCAAATCCGAGCTACTCCACTGAACTAGATTTTATCCAACCTGGTCTTAACCAAGGTGACTATGTTGGAATCGCACACTGAATTCGCCTCCTGACTGGTCCCGAAATTGGAGACCATGCTTACTTGACAAAGACTCAGCCTGTGCATTCTAGTAATATTAAGTTTCTATGAAATTGACGGACAAAACGATCACAATAAGCAGCTGTCTCTACTTAAGCAATAATGAGGCGTTTCCCGTCAACCCGTAACTTACGAAACTTGTGAGGAGACTTTGATTATTTCTGACAAAATTTTCTGGCTTACGAAATTATAAAAAGTTACAAAGATCAAAGGAATATGTTTTTCGTACGTAAGCGGATCTTCGCAAACTTATGTATGTACATACGTGGTAACGGACTTGGTTACGTACGAAGATTGACATGAAATGTCTCAAATTTGATCTTTGCACGTGCACATACTTATTTGTCTCAGACGTACATATCCCATGCTGTGATGGCATGAAAAGAATAAATGTTTGCCTCGCTTTTAAGGAAGCCTCGTCTCAATTTATCCATTCTGCATGGTCGTCATCTTCTCCGAGTTGACAAACTCGAGAGAAACCAAACCTCCGTCGGGTATCTTTCTTTTTTTGTTTCCATGGATGTCGGCAATTCTAGTCTCACTTCCGGTATATTGGACATATAATTACATTCAGGAACAGCATGGATTCCAAAAGAGTGGGGCTTGTGCCAGGGTGAGAATTTTGTGTAATTTATTATGTTTTGATTTTTTAAGCGAGACACTTTCGAGAGGCTCTCCCTTTAATAATAAAATCATATAATTTGTTTTGCGTCGTAATGTATTTGATCATAAGATAAGTAGTTATCTCAAAAATCTCAGGTCGTACTGATGGGTTCCTCAATCGCATATTATGGATATGAGTCGATTTCCGTTTTTCTGAGATTTTTGGCACCAACAACATATATGATTTACGGTATTTGCTTATCTAATTTAGCGTGGGCTAAAAATGCGCGCATACATATGGATGTAACAAATTTGATGAAATTGAATTCTCAGCAATGCAACGGATTGGATTTCGAATTAAATTTCTATTCATTTTTAAGGTAATTTAATATGTATCCAATATCTTAAGTGAGATGAAAGCTTGGATTAACTTTTAATCAATTTTTTATGTAGCCGATACCTGCCAACATTCCGTTAAATTTGATCCGACGCGTACGCTTTGTATTCTGTCACATGATATTTTTCATACTCACCTGGGTACCAGTTGGAGCTTTCAACCTTAATCACGTTCTCACCAGCCTGCCCTCAGCTTGTCCGGTTGTGGAAAAGCCGGATAAAATCGTGGGTGTCTCTTTCAGCATCGTTTTTCTTCTACAGACAATTTCTCAACCCTTTTTATACTTCATTACCGTGTATGACACTCCGTTATGTGATTATCTTCAGAACATTATGTCCGTCTTGATTTCAGAAGAAATTGGAGCAGTGGGAGGAGACTGACATTCTCAAGATGTATGTATAGTATGTATAGTACAGATCAAGTTAATTTTCCATTAAAATTTGTTAAACTATTCTGAACAGATATATCTAGGTTGTTCTAATCATGGATAAGTATTTAGATGAATTAATCAAAATTTTAATTATCCACACCTGTTTAATTTTAGACAATAAAAATGAATCGAAAATTGACAAATACTTATAATTGCTCTAACACGGGAGGTCTCGCAGCTAATTCTTTCCGATTTTGATAAAATTTGTGTCAATCGATCACAAATTTAAGTAATATTAAATTTGCCAAAGGTAGGTAATGTCACAATGTGTTCCTATTTACATATGTATGTATTTGGACGCAAACCTGCGAATTGATAAATGTACAGGTGTATTTAGTGTGTCTTATGCAAATTTTATACTAATTAAATTTGTAATCAGTAGACCCTAATTTAGTCAAAATTAGACAACATATTCTCAAAGACGTTTATTGTATGTATGTAAGTTGTCAGCTCTGACAAGAGTTTGAAAATATGTATGTACGTGCTTATACTGTTGATGTATATAAATATCTGTACATAATCCAGCAAATATGTATGTACATACTTGAGACGCAAGCACAGTAAACAAGTAATATACATATGTATAATGCCCGATTATATGTATATGTACGTTCACGCATTTCGGATGAGAACAAGTACCTATGTACGTATAATAGTGAGATAGCTGTGTATGTATGTACTACATACGAGTATGAATATATGTAATTCGAATTTCAGGAAACTTGTATATTATGAAACAAAATATGAAATTTAAACAATAATATATGATGATATGAAATTTAAACATACATACCTATTCGCTATAGTAACTATCTAATATTATATATAATTCGTCATTTTACACAGCTACATACCCATGTCAATTAGTACACTCTTAGAAAACGGGAATTAAATAATTACCGACCGGAGTGCATAGCGTCAGCGCTTGTAATAACGAGAATTACCTTTCAGTAATGTTGTGGTATTGAAAAATTTACCACTCTGGAACAAATTACTACCAATCCGGTAGGAAGTTGTTACCAAATCAATATCAGCACTGAGTATCTGTGAGACTCTACCAGATTTTTAACAGTGTGGGTACATATTCGTATATTTATTATAGAAGTCTGTAAATTTATACACTGAAAAAAATACGGGGATGTTTCCCACCGCGCGGTATATACATATCCATCACTGGATTTTTTGGAGTGTCGTTAGTTACGACACTCTAAATTATCAATATTTTGTGCCTCACATACGTAATCGCAGTCCTAATTAATATATAGTTGCTCCTCAGTCGGAGACATTTGACACGCCGATGTCAATTTTACCCGTATATACATAGGTTACGTAAGTCTTCAAATTTACGTAAATTTGACCCGAATGTTGTTACAGTAAATACATGGATGTAAATATGTTCTAGCGGTTACAGTATAGGCGGGAAGTCTTTCCACCCCCATACTTTTTTCACTTAAAGTGTAATATTGCTGGAGAACCTTGAGGGCATGAACTGTAATTTGGCACAATTACTTATCATGATGCAAGGTTTTCAGAACCATACTTTGGATGGCGGCGTGGCAATGACAACGACACGGTGAAATTATATCCAAAATTCGAACAGGAAAAAAGTCTTTCCACCCTGATTAAAGTTTAATGCATTATTTCGCTTAAATTTTTGTTTGTTAAATAACAGTCAAATTGTCGTTTGATATGTCAACTGTGATCCTTTAGGAAGCTAATGATACTTATTCGCATCGACTAAATAAATGGACTGGTGAGAGATGTGTCCGAATCCTACAATTCAAATTGTATGGCGTCGTCCAAGCCCTTCAGGTCTGATAGCTTGCGCGGACAAATTTTGGGCTGCATAATTGATTATAAATGTTCACTACCATTCTATCGGGTAATTGTGGAGGGCAATCCAACTGTCCAATCTTCTTGGTTGTAAACCATGTCTTCAATAATGTTGATGTGGACTTAAGCTGGTCATGGTATTTGAAAATAAAATTATTACCCCAACGTTAATTGCTTCCCGTCCGTATCAATTACAACCCAGAATGTCGCAATAGTACCTGGGGTTCATGATTCTTTCGATTGTCACCAAATTGCTGCCGCCAATCCTCGACATACACACCTAAACAATTTGATTTCCACCCTTATGTTTAATGTTTTGCGTACGGTACTTGGTTTTGCCGGTATTTCATGGTCGTCACCAGACCTGTGGGACCCCATTTGAACCAAATAGGTCAATCTTGGTCTCGTAGCTCAAAATGATGCGTTTCCAGATTTTTCCGGTACAATTTGGACAGTTTTGAGCCCATTTCAAACCGCTATCAATATGGCCCTGGAGGTAAAATGAGCTTTTCCGCCCTGCTAGGCTTTAAGTTCTGTTTCTTGAGTCCCATTCTTTACAGCTCGTACAGAAACTTGAGGGACATATTCTTCCCTCATTCCAGGTTGATTTATAGTGCAGGTAACCGAAAATGTCGCCGGTTTTGGCGGTGCGCATGACTCATCCATGGGGGTATGATACTTAGTCGTCAAGAAGCAGGTAAATTCTTCACCACCCCTAATTTTTTGGGCTTCCTGTCTATTCTGGCAATCATGTCATTCTTGATGAGCAGTTTATCAGAATTTCTTTGGTGTCGAAGCACATTATCATGAAATTTTACGACCTTTTGCCCCAGGTCGGAGCATAGGCGTTTTCTAGCCATTATGAGCTACTATTGACAACAAGCAATAAGTTGGACATTGTACAAACGTTATTTTACAAAGAATGATATATCGCCAGGTTGATGGAGAACAATTTTCGAGAATGTTTTTAAGAATTACATTAAAACAGCAAAAAAGTCAGAAGGTGGAAAGACTTTTTACCTGTTCGAATTTTCGATATAATTTCACCGTGTCGTTGCCAGTGCCACGCCGCTATCCAAAGTATGATTCTGAAAACCTTGCATCATGATAAGTAATTGTGCCAAATTGCAGTTCATGCCCTCAAGGTTCTCCAGCAATATAAGCTTTAAGTGAAAAAAGTATGGGGGTGGAAAGACTTCCCGCCTATACTGTATATAAGGACGCATAAACATGACAGAATTTCACTGGACGGTCTGCACTCCTACAAGTAAATATTATTATGAGAATTACATAACTTTAAACATAAACATGTGCATACCTTCGGCAAATGGGCAGTCAATGGTGACTACTCCATTGCAAATACTGTCGAGAGTGGTAAACTGGAGAATTCTAAAAAACAAATGTACTACATATGTACACCCGTAGAAATAGGGTTATGATTATGTATAACTAACTAGTAAACGTATGTGACTCTACCGCCGTGGTTGTAAATTTGACATTAAGTGGTTACAATTGTCACGGACTAATTATAAACTTTCACCGATTTTGGTATTAAATTGTCACCAGAGCTAATAAATTTATAACCAGTTGGTGACAGACTCATACCCACGGCGGTTGAGTCAGGTACGTTTACTTTTTGGTTATATTTAATCGTAGCATTATTTCCAAGAGTGTACTGTCTCTCACACCCGTGGTTTTTTAGTTAGGTTTGTTTTGTTGGTCATACCCTCGTCACAAATATCGTCACATCTTGACGAAAAGTGAGTTCTACATGGAAATTCCTTCAGTTCGTTGATTAAGTTATACATTGTGGTCATTTTGGTATAGATGTCGACCCCCAACTCGTTGGACACCTTGTTAGATACCCATTCGTTATCATTCTTTTCCTTAATACTTTAGCTGCACAGTGTTGTATTAGGTGAAAGTTTCTTAATGGTCTATTGTTGTATGCATGCATGTATGTATGTACATACCCCGTCCTGGTATTGATTTCGTAATAACTTCTTATCAGATTCATATAGTAGTTTATTTGTTCTAAGGGGTAATTTTTCATTGACATTTTTAAACGGCGATGCCTATTATTCCCACTGTCGTAGAGTCATGTGTATGTATACATTTGTAAGTACTCAGGTCAGGAATGATTTAATACCAGTTTTCAAAGAGTATGTACACTATGAATAACTTGTGGAAAAATCGACCCCAGTATAGATACTCTATTTCTGGGTAATGATTGGCGTAGCATTTTATCACCAGGGGGATATATGTAAGACAAAAAATCGTGTACCAAAACTTGACGTCAGCATTAAAAAAATTATATGCTCAAAAAAAGTTTAATCTGTAGATATGTATGTAAAAATTTAAAATTTTATAAATAACGACGTAGCGTGTGTTTGGTGCACGAATTTTTTTATTTGTTTCTAGTTTGTGATAATAAATATGTACGTCTGCTTAATTATTACGCAGAAATAGAGCATAAAAGTAACTCTGCGGGGGACGATTTATCTCCAAATTATTTAGAGGGTAATCATCCCTTGCTTGTTTTGATACATCGATATGAAAATGTCTGGAAAAAGAAACTCTACATTGTCTTTTATTATTAAAGGGAAGTCGAGATAGTTCTCATGCACAATTTACTTCACGTTGCCCACGTATATACATATGTACCAGTTACATAAATAATTGCCCTATGAAATAGTCAATTTACCAACCCCCTCGATGAAAACTGCTCGAAACAATTCCTTGCTAGACGCATTTCTTTGTCAGGCTTGACTATACCTTTGTTTTCTTTAAGAGACTCGAATTTTCAGATAATTGCATACAGACATACGAAATTATGTAACTAGTTCCCACAGCGGAGAAGTTTCTATTCATTTATTAGATACTACTTTTACAGATTTCACCGAGCAGAATAAAGCTCTTCTTCCCGTTCAGATGCTATCCCACTTTCTGAACCACTTTCTCCAATCACGTTCCACCACCTACGTGCATACATATATGCACACGTTGATGCTAATTGACAAAGAGTGAAAGCAAAGTGAGAGGAAACCCAAATTATTCATTCTGCACACCATACGTACATACGAATGAAGTTAAATTTTATGTGTGTATGTACAGAAGCGCAATGTTTTCTCAGTCTCAGTATGACATGAACCTTCCGACTGTGAGCATCTCTTAACTTTCTCATTTCAAGAAAATCACGACATATTTATTTAGTACGCACTTAAAAATAGTGTTACCCTTTTAAAAAGTATATGCAGCCTGAATTCTA